TCCGTTAGAGCCGCTGTGGAGAAAAAAAAAACACCCCTGAACGTCTTCGGAAGCCGTGGCGTCGCGCTGCGCCCTGAGCGGATGTGGCCGAGCCGCGTCACTGGATCAGCCGGCAGGTTGCGCCTCCATGTGCACGCTCTGCGTTCAGCAAAAGAAAAAAAATAATAAAAATAAAAAATCAACGATGTTTACCACGATTAGAGCATCGGAAATCAAATAAAAAATAATTCGGCTGTGTTGAGAATTGTCCAAACAAGCGTAAAATGGGTCAGTTCGGGAGAGCGTGGTTGGGAATAAGCATTAGAATAAGTACTGTGTAACAAATTCAAATACGATTTAAACCTTATAAGTGTCTTCATGGATGAAGATGATGTATTTTTTGTCTTTAAATCCCCAAAAATAGTCTTTAAAAAAATCTACTGGGGTCTTAAATATGACTAATGAAATATTCAGTAAATACATTTTGGACTTAAGGTGTCAAAAAGCTCTGAAACGTGAGCTGTTGTGGATGAATAAACCATATTTGCTACTCAAATCCTGTTGAAAGCACGACGGATTATACAAGGATTATATATTATATTGATTTTAATAATAGCAACATAAGTCTTTAAGTGCTCACTCAAGGACTGTATTAGAAGAATTGGGAAGTTTGTGTTTGTGATGTGACCAGAGGTTTATTGAATTCTGATGCTCTCATTGTGCATTTGAGAGGTAACCTATATAAACCATGGTAAGATCAGTTATTTTGAAAATTTCAAATGATTCAGGGAGAACGTCTTTGACATAACCCAAAAAATGAAACGCATTCATATTCATATCCATGGGGTTATTCAAATACATTTGTTTTCATATTCGATTAACAAGTCAGGATTTTTTTAAATCATAAATCTAGCTTCATATATGAATAATGGCCACAATTATGTATTTTGTGAGACAAAGGCAGAACACTTCTACATAGTGGAAAATATCTATACAGGACATTTCAGAATTTCACAATTCTGGGATAGACAAAGTACATTTTACCGTATCTTAATCTGTCAGCATCCGTGGTTAACCTTTTTTGTTAAGTGTGTTATTGTGTTTCTTGCCCTCTCTGCTGGTTCAACAGTTGCTCCTGATGCCGGCCTCTAGTAGCTCCACCTGTGGGCGTGGTGTCCAAGACTTCCAGTGTTGGACACCGGATCAATGCTTTACCTCAGTGGGAACCACATCATTTTTCATCAGAATGGCAGCAACAGGAAATGGATGGAAGACACCACTATGGCTCCACAGGGAATCAACCAAGTTTAGCCTGCCTCTCCCCTCACAGAACCACAGAGAAGAACTAACCTTAACATTTGTACATTCTTTTCTAAAAAAAACATCTCTTACTCTTTACTCACCAGTTCCTTATCAGCTCCTCTTTGGGATTTGCGTGACAACCTTTTCACCTTTCAACAAACGAAAGAAAGAAGAAACACAAACCAAAAATCTAAATAGTATATATTTATGCTTGTGCTTCACATTGCTTTCCAGTGGTGTTTTGATTTGGGAAAAAAGTCAAAATAAGACAACTGGGTTAATCCCAACCATGGAAACTGGAACTTCCACAAATTTATGCAATTTAAGGACCGATAACATGGAAAAAATCAACAGACAGAAATCTTAATACCAACAATCCATTCATTTACTGATCTATCAGACACAACGCCAACTAATCACAATGGTGAGGGCATTTATTCACCCTCTGAGGGTCCAGTTTAGTTTTTTAGTTTTAGTTAGACTAACCAGACCTGTGTGCTCTTTAGACAGCGGGAAGAGAGACCACACACAAAAAGAGCACCATCATCAAACTGAGGGTCTTGCCTCATTGCAGGTCGGATAAACCCCAAAGGAGAAGAAAATAATAGATGGAGGCATAGTCAACAAGAAATCATATTATACTGACATTAAGATTAAGAACGTGATTACACAAAGCAATTACACAAGTCAGTGCTCCTAATCTGGGGAAAAAAGAAAAACGGTTTGATGCTAAATGATTTTTAAATGATGTAAACATCCACTGGGTGCAATGTTTGGACCTGTTCTTCAGCTTTGTACAGTGTGACCGCGGAGGTCCTGAGCAGTGTGCTTATGTGCAGTCAAGTCATCCACAGCGCCTGTAAGATGTCCACAGCCAGCCCAGTTAGAGATCACTTTTAGCTTAAAGGGAAACGGAAGAATCTCAGCTCAGCAAAAAGCGAAAGCCGAAAGCCCCAGAGGGAGCCATCAAGTGGACAACAAGCTGAGGTTTTCTTTTTTGGTTTGGATGAGCGAACCTTCCCCACAAATAAAGGTCACTTGGTATTGCTCTAATGTCCCAGAAGCCTCAGGAAACCACCCCAGCTTGTGAGTTTTAGAGGGAAATGTGCGCAATTCAGTGTAAAAACGTCTTCAAAACTGATTCTGACACTAAATACCCCTTCACTCATTTCAATCTCCAATCTTACCTTTTTAAATATAAAAATAAGAGTAAGATCATGGGCGGAAACAAATATTTTCCTTTAATTAACTGCAGATAGCTTACAAAGACATCTAAAACAAAACACAGTCAGTCACAGAAACAGACAACAGTGCTAAAATTCAAGTGTGTTCAGTCAGTAGTAAAGACACAGACCCCCCCCCCCAAAAAAAAAAAAATCATCCAGACTTAATCAATCCTTCGTTGTCGGCTCTCCCTAAAACTGTGAAGCAGAATTCACCAAGCGTTGGAGGGGATGCCAGCTGAGCTCAGATCGCCGTGGGACAGGTCACTTTTACCCAACTGATGATGTGCTGTTGCTATGGTAATGGAAAAACAAGGGAAGGGGAGCTTTCCTTTCATAAAAAAGGCCACGTGCAGCAGCAGATTTGTCAACCAGTGGCATCAACAGGTGCGGTTGTGAATCACGTGACATGGACTTTTTGAGAAATAGGCATTATTTTCATCATAGTCAGGGATGGGTTTGGTTTGGTTTGCAGATTTTAGTGAGACCTTAAACAAATATTCTGTCTGCAGCTGTGCTCTCTTATTACTCACCGTTTAATAAACACACATATACTCAAATATGTATTAACATACGTACACCGCTACATTTCTTGTACTTTTAGATGTTAGTTTCTGTCAGGAAGACGTGAAAGAGTTAATATCTTATCCATCCCCCAATTTTTGGGAGGCAGTTAAAGACAATATTAATTCTTGCATGAGATGGATGGAGATGCATGATGCAGAAAGAGTTCTTCTCACTCGTGTGAGACTGCTCTTTACATTTAAGGTTTACTCAGTCTGAGGCATTCATCCGTGTGAGAGTGCAGGAATGAAGGAGCTGTAAGTTTTGGCTCACGTGCTCCCAAAGGCACCAGTTTCCTCATGTGAATTCCGCGGTTCCCTGATATGCTTTGCTCCTCACATGCTGGAGTTCTTCCATCTCCACAAAGCCGTCCGCCCTCTTCGGTCCGCGTGCCGCCGGCCTCTATACTGACCCGAACTCGGCCATCCAGGCTTCGTATTTTTCCAGGTCTGCGGCAGAGACAGACTTTGAGATCTTCTTGAGGGTGAGGGTGAAGTCCTCCATGGTCACGGGCATCTGCAGCTCGTCCTTGGACAGTGCTCGGATCTCCTCGGGGCTCAGGCCTTGAATTCGACGTCGCATTGCCATCATGGAGGCGTCTCTGAAGCAGAGGGGGAGCGAAAACCATCAGGTTATCAACAGTTCCTCTAAACAATGCAAACAAGATAGCCTTAAGAATAAAAAAGGAAAGAATTAGGACTTGTGGAAACAGGGGAAGAATGGGGGCGGATTTGTTGCTTCATGTGGTTCCCAAATTAATTCTGTGTAATTTACACCACAGCGCTGGAAGAAACATTACAAGATGTAAACAGACACTTAAACATTAAATGCGGTTTTTAATGAGCCAATACCTCTTAGTTTTAATTCGCTCTACGTAGGGAATCCACAGGCCTTGACACAGTAGAGAGTAGGAAGTCAATAACTTAACGCCTGCTGTTGCTGGGACAGGTACGGGTGCGTTTTTAGGCATTGTGGGGAAAAAAAGAGCTCCCAAAAGACGATATCTACAAAATGTGCAACCAGCTGATTGATAGGTTTTGAATGGAATCGGCTTATCAGACGGATACAGCCCATCCCAACAATGGCACCAACGGGCCTCTGATGCAGGGTCATGAATCAAACATTGTGCAATCTTAATACGCTCCCCACACTTTCATGTGCAAACTGGAGCACAGAGATGGGAAAATGCCAAACGGGCTGCGGATTTGCTCAGCAAATGAACGCGCTTAGTGAGGGAACCTAATCTAATTTTGCAGATGTTGACACACGCACTTATCAAAGGAATCCTGAGTTGCGGAGCCTCATTTCAAGCTCGGCTGTGAAGAAGAGCTCACTGCCCCTCAAGCTGATTCCGAAATGATCAAGAGAGGGTTTGTTATAGCGCTGGATGACACTCTCACCGGATTCCACCATTAAAAACTAAAATTTTGGGACCAGGTTTGTGACTGCTACACACAAGCCAAACTGGCCATTAGTTCTCCGTCAGTTATACTGGCAAAAGAATGACGCTGAACATGCCTGAAAAAGGATGCCAAATCAACTGCAATATTGCAACATGCAAACGTGAAATATTCTGATTTGTGCATGGCTTTACTGCCATTTTAAGATAAAAAACTAAATATTTGGAACAATGTCAACATCCCAGAATCTAATTTGATGTAAGTTCTGACAGAAAGAGGCTTAGAATTTCCCCCCATAACTCTGCCCTGCCCCCTCCCGTTAAAGGCGGAATGCGTCGCAGAGGGTGCCACGACGCCTCGTTTTATGCACAGATGGGGCTCCAGAGTGTTGGACTGATAATGAAGAGTCTCGTGTACACACACCTGCAGACATTGGTGATATCGGCCCCTGAATAGCCCTCGATCTTCTCGGCTATGAGGTCCAGGTCCACATCGGCAGAAAGCTCCACCTCTCTCAGGTTGATCTTTAAAAGCTCCACACGCCCCACAGCTCCACACACAAACACACCGGACAGCATTGATTGGACATTAGACTGACGTAACGAGCATCGTTTATAGAGGAGAGGGTACGTGAGTTCCCTTAAAAGCATTAGACGAGGAAATAAAACACTACTGATGTGCACATCCGCAGTGAGAACAGCTACTCTGTGAAGTCACCTGTAGGAAGGGGGATGTAGATCCGCTTCTCCAGGCGTCGCCGCAAGGCTTCGTCGATGTCCCAGGGGAAGTTTGTAGCAGCCAGCACCATCACCATCTTTGAGGGGTCATCATTCTCCAGGGCACCCCCGACACCTGCAAACCACATACAGACACAATGAGGAACAAGACATGCACGCGGCTGCACAGCTCCGCTAACAGGTCGTGTTCTTTGACTACCGGTACTCAGTTAGATGTTGCCCTATTTGGAAGATTAACCGCCACCCGCATGCAGGCACGCTGCCTCGTGGTCTCACTGACCGTCCATCTGTATCAGAAGCTCGGATTTGACCCTGCGGCTGGCTTCGTGCTCATCAGATGTTCCTCTCCTGCCACAGATGGAGTCGATCTCGTCTATGAAGATGGTTGTCGGCGCGTAAAATCTGGCCTGAGGGCATGCACAGTTTTTTTTTTTTTTAATGGTTCCTGCCTTCAGTGAGAACCCCAGCTGACCCCCGCGTGTGAGTGCTCACCATTTCAAACAGAAGGCGGACTAGTTTCTCAGATTCGCCTCTGTATTTGGACGTCAGGGTGGAGGAAGACACGTTGAAGAACGTAGTCCCGCATTCTGTGGCCACGGCTTTGGCTAACATGGTCTTCCCGGTTCCCGGTGGGCCGACCATTAACACTCCCTGTGAGAAAACGTATCAGGTCAGGTTAAAATAAAGCAAAGTTCTGTATAAAAACAAAAGCAGGAGGAACCAACTTGATTGGGATCATCTGATGTACCAAATGAGCTCTCCTCTGATAGAAAAGACTGATATTACAGGACTCATGATCATTTCTTCTCATGAAAATATTAACATGAAGCCAAGTGTGAGCCCATGTTTGCATTTTAATAAGTCTTTCATATCAAATAAAACTGTCATGCCAGAGTCAAATTTCTCCTGCAGCTATTCATATAAATGCCACTCTGAAGTCTAAAGTTTCTATAGCTGATTTGTATCCGTTGCCAAGGAGATGGCATGAATTCGCGAAGGGACAGAAGGGTGATTCATTATGCTTCTGAGAAAAGGCAGCACTGAATGTCTCAGAATCAATTTAGTCATGTATTTAATGCAGAGGAGGATCTTTAAAGCTTTAAAAAGCTAAGTGACCAGTCCTTCATTTTGCTGCATGTCCAGTGTTTTTTAATGCAGTTGATGCAGCATCTAATCCAGGATCTGGTGTGAAAAGCTAAAGTGGAACTGTTTGAAAGTCAGAAAATGGTATATGCGGGCCAACAAAGTGCATCCCACACAACCATTAGCTGAAATCTGGATAATGCATCCTTGAGAAATCTAAGGAAAAAGGACAAAAGGGGAGGTGGTAGGCCTCAAAAACATCTAGATGAATCGCAAGTCGATGTCATTGACAAAGAGGAAAAAAGGAGAAATCAAACAAAGACCTGGTCTCCATGGAAAGGTGGCTGTCAGGAGACCAGTTTTAAGAAAAGGGAACAGGAGGGGAAAGCTGAATATCCAAGTACCTTCCAAGGCCGCCGAATCCCCTTAAAGAAGTCTGGCATCCACATTGGCAGAACCACCGCTTCCCTCAGCAGCTTTTTAGCATCTTCCAGATCAGCAATGTCCTCCCTGCAGGTCACCGCCAGAAATCAGCCCGCAGCACAAAGCAGAACGGAACAGAAGAAAAACGCAGAGAAAGGGGGAATGGAGGAGGAAGAATGTTCCTTTTGTACCAGTGGACGTTGGGGTTACGAGACACGATGTCCCTCTCCAGAGAGTCCACCAGGTCGCTGTCATAGCCGGTGCTGTCGAACTTCTTCTGTTCCACATCGCCCTGGGCATCTCCTTTCTTTCCCTTATAAAAAAAAGAGGATCATCTTTAGGAGGGGCAGCACAAGCATTTGTATTTACACGCCTCGTCCAGCCGCCGCGTCCCCACCTTGTCGTCTTTGGCCTTGGTGCCGCGGCCCTCTCTGTTCCCGGGCCGGTCTGCTTTGGCGTTGGCCTGAGCGCGGCCTCCTGCTCCTCCGCCCCGGTGCTGCAGGCCCGGCGAGTCCTTCTTCTGTGGTTGCTTCACTCCTGTGTTGGGCCGCTTCACTGCAACAGGATTCCTCCAAAGACACAGACACCAGAGTACACACAGCTATTCAAATGAGTAACGGATGACTCGCTGATAGGTAAATCCGCCGTATCGCCAAACGCTGCCCTTCTTTAAAACCAGCTGTTCTAGTTATTTGTGGAGGTGAAGCCTCCAGATAACACAGATTATGCAAATCACTTCGCTTTGGACATCAAAGTCCTTCCCTTTGGACGCGTTTTTCCGCGCAGAGCTTCCGGGCAGCACCATTAAACGTTTGCTTTTGCAAAACTTCCAAACAGAGATTTCATCAAAGAAAATCTCCGTAACCGCAGCTGGTTCATGAGAGTGTAACCAATCCGCAGTACCAGGTGAAAAAGGAAAAGATGTAACCTGATGGGCCTCCCTGGGACACACCTGTGCTCAGCAGGGACGGGTGGGGGCCAAACGGCCGGGTCCTCCTGCCGCTCCTCCAGCTGAGGAAGCAGGACGTCAGACGGCTTCTCACACTTGAAGCTGTCCAGGGTCCCAATGATTTCCTTCACCTGTTCGTATTCCTCCGTCAGCTGCTGCCTGACCTGGTCGCAAACAGAAGAAAGGACAGCACCGTCAACACCCAGCCATTAATGTATGTCGGGTGGACATTTTAAAAAGCGTCTGAGGTTTTAATGCTTTAAGGAACAAAACCCCATACAATTTTACCACATAACACACATAAAAACGGCCTGTAATAATGTCAACCTCTAACAGCTTTTGCAGAAACATAAGGGCTTCTTCCTGTACCTGCCTGCTGTTTCAGCTCTCTTGAGTATTAATAAGTCATTTTTGCAATGACAGATTTATGCTCTCTATAAATGTTTGCAAATGGGTTTAGCTTCCAGCCACTCAGTTTAAAACATCCCTTTTGAAAAAAAAATGTTATGCCATCATTTGCTACGGATTGTTCTCCGGCTTAAAAATCAATGATTTTTTTAATTCTTAACACAGGTAGCAAAGCAGCCCCACAGAGTGAAACAGCCCACACCGTGCTTTACTCTAGGCAGGTTGTTCTTTGCATCCAGGGTTTCGTGTATACAGCAACAAACAGACAGATGCACAGTGTTCCCACAGAGCTCCACCACAGTTTGGTTTGTCTCTGTACGACTATTCCAAGATGTATCCTGCTCTATTAAAAAATTTTCTGACTCCCTGCTTTGCCAGTAGGATGAGGCCCTGTTTGTTTTTCTGTATAGCGTATGGTACAGACTGAAACAGCTCTTTATGCTCTTTATCCCAGAATTCACAGCCTGTTTTCTCTGAGTGTCTTTATGGCGCCACATCCCGGGGGCTTCTTATACAAAAGCCTTATGACTGAGAAACATTGTGACAGCATTCCTCTCTGATGAAATGTGACTACTCTGAGACATCCTCCCGGTCTTTTTGAGGCCGTTTTACTGTTGTTCTTTGGTAGGACTTCTGATACTCGTGGAAACGTATTTTGCTTTCAATATTGTGATGAAGAAATTAGGATAAAATTGCCTTATTTCATATAACAAAATCATAATAACAAAGTCATGTGTTGGCTCATTTGGATCATGTGAATACTGAAAATTAAGCACAGATAAGTCATTTTTTATTCCTAAATTCAAGATCAAGAGCATAAGATAAACCAAACCCAAATCAACAGATCAATTCCAGGACAAAGGGACTCACTTGTTGCCATCGGACTTTCAGTGCAGGGTCCCTGAGGGACTGACAGTGCTTGTGGATCTGCTGGATGACGCCCTGGTAGTAAACAACGGAGGAGTCATAGTTCCCCAGCAAGGCATATTCACGGCCCTTTTTGGCATTGTCACAAATCTCTGCCAAATTCATGCTGCAACGGCAGGACCAGAAAGGGGAAACAAAATAACAAGAAAGCGCTGTTACCAAACAGTGTGAGAGTAACTTGACAAACAGAAAATGACTTCTTAAGTTATCATTCCAACCCAAACGTCATTAAGGGTACACTGCCCGTCGTCACAGGGTGGTGGAGCTCGAGGCAACACTGCCACGGCGCTTATCAGATAAGTTGGAATCAAACAACAAGACACCTGCTACACAATAGTTAAGCTAGCTGGTGTCGGGGGCAGTGATTTTTTTTTAAAGAACACGTTTTACCTGCCAGCTAAATCACGCCACCACTTCAATGGGTTTATCCAAGTCATTATTTTTATTGACATTAGCCCCTTTTCGCTAGCTTGCAGCGAGGCCACGGAGAAAACAAAACGAACCGTGTGTCCGTTAGTAAACGCTACTTAATCCTCTAGACAAGCGATAAAAACGCATGCAGACAAAATAAAACCACCATTATTTGGACTTGCGCGTCTAAGAACGCATCCGAATTAAAGATATTCATCATACCTTCATGTAATTTGTTTGTAAATGGGGTGCACTGTTTAAATCGGCCGTTCGGTGGTGGCAGAAGTGTTACCATGGCCGCAGAGAGACGCCGTGTGAAGCATACAGACAGCCCGGTCATCGTGATGCCTTCACGACCTGGAGGGGAACTAGCTGTTCTGGTTGAACAAAAATAAATCTCGTCTAAATAAATGTAGATTAATAAAAAAGAACTAATATATCACGGGATATGTGACAAAATCAACGGTATTATTAATAATCTAGTTAAAAATTGTGCTAGAACCTATTTTTCCCGTTTTGTGGGGTGAGGTTTACACATATGCTCGGTTTCCGAGGGTTCCGAAATCTATCAACACAGCTATTGCTGTACCAGAACTGACCACTAGTAGTCGCTAAAAAGGGGTCAAACAATCAGAAATTACTTGGGTCATTTTATAGCTGTTGTGTTGCCTTTGAAAAATATACTTTTATGTCATGTCAACGGTAAATGATCGCTTACTCCAGAAATATGATTATTATCTAAGCATTCATTATGTACTTCAGTAAATTATTAAATTAAATTACAAGAACAAAGGATCATATCACAAAGCTACCACTTTCAGATAGATCTAATCCTTTTAAAAACAATAGTTCAAACACTATTTTAGAACAAGATAGGTGATCTATGTAAAAAGTTATAGAAACACAATTAGGATTAACTGCCTGGGATGTCCACATATTAGATTCTATTTTGTGATTTAAAAAGCACCAGAAACCAACAAAGAAAATCCCGAAAACCATTTTATTTTCAGCTTGACATTTTCACAATTCTCCAAACTGATGGAGGCATAATGCATCATTGTACACATGCAATAACAATTATAAGTCAACTGTGAATGGTTTCCATTTTATATTAAGGACCAATGAGTTTGCATTTGAACATGCTTTTCAAGTAAACTTTGTGAACTTGCATTTCAGCTACATTTTATCACGTGTACTTCGTTTTCATTGAGCTCCCTCTTTGCATACCAGAGTATTTCAGAAACAGCAGCATACTCATTTTGCAGTTATACTTCTTACCAACTAAAACATCACTTTAAAACATTTAAGAAAATTGTTGCGGTTTTATTCAGATGCGTTTTTTTTGGTCCCTTTACTGACACGGAAAACTGTTTCCTATAATTTGCTGTGGTGGGTTATATAGATCGAGCACAATCTCCTATAATGTGCAATGATTGCAAATCATTTCCAATCGTTCAGCTTCTAAAGTGCAAATACTTGGTAAATGTCCACATCCACATTTGCATTGAATTGAAATGTCGGTTTAATGGTGTGCAAACCAGCTGGGCCTCACATCAAGCAGAGATCGTTGTAAAAATCACAGGGAGATTCCGTCCTTTCTCAGTTTTGTACCAGATTTAGTGTCGATCATGGTTCAGCGCTACGATTCTCAGCACCATTATTTCTCCTGAAGATTGCACTGACCTTGGAAAACACTAAAGAGGCCACTAACCCTCAGCATTGACATGATGTTGCTTCCGGCTCTCTCTGGCTCCCCAGATGCCCGATGCTGCTTTCACCCAGCTGTTTCAGTCTCAAAGGCTTGTGGCTCTTAAGCCGGTACGCCAAAGTCAGGAAAATGGAATCCACATGCTCTTTCTCAGCGGGGTCCTTAGCAGAAGTCTCAAACAGCGGGAAGTTGTAGCGGTCGGCGAGACACTGGGCCGCTGAGGTGGGCACCTCCCTGCGCTCCCTCAGGTCGCACTTGTTTCCCACCATGATGCGGGGCACCAGGGGCCCCACGGAGTGCCGGGTGCACTCTTCGATCCACTCGGGGATACTCTCGAAGGAGAGGCGGCTGGTCACGTCGTAGACGAAGATGACGGCGTGAACGCTGCGGTAGTAGTGCTCCACCATGCTCTTCCTGAAGCGCTCCTGACCGGCCGTGTCCCAGATCTGCAACTGTAACAGAAATAAACTAAATGTCATCATCTCTTAACAACAAAACTAACAATGAGTTCATTCATATTTAACACTTAGAAATAACTCTTTTTTTCCCTTTGACATTGGGTAAACATTTCTTATTGTATAAAGCTTGAAATAGGCAAGGTAATAAGAGTGTGTGGGACAAAAACTGCATTTAAATAATTGACTAAAACTAAAAACTACTTTTGGTTTGATTTTTGACATTGTCCATGGTGACTGTCAGACTGAAATGGTTTATGAGCATTCAAATAGGCAAGGCAAGGCAAGGCAAGTTTAGGATGGCAAATAGGATGACAAATTAGAATACCTAGTCTTAAACAGCATTGGCCTGAAACAATCAGCATTAAAAACCAAAAGACATTATATAGAAATACAGTGGACGGTGAAGGAGCTGAAAATATTTCTGAAATACAATGAAATAAGATTTCCCAAGTAATCACCTAAAGCTTTAGAATCATTATCTATCACAAACCTTTCATCCTTAATCTTATACCATTTAACAGGTAGAAAATAGCTTTCTAGCAATAGCAATAGCAATACCAGCCATGAATTTTATTTTCCAAGTGGAATAAGCGAGGTCATCTGTCTCCTCCGGGCCACCGTTGGCCATTCCATAGATGCAGGCCGGCGTTTTGCTCACCGATAGACATATAACGTTAACTTAAACCAATAGTATAGTTGGCAGAAAACGCACAACCGGCAGGTATGTGCGTGCATTTATTCCTACCTTGATACGCTCCCCATCCAGCTCCACTGTCCTCTCCCTGAAATCGACCCCAATAGTTGCCTCTGGGTTTTTCAGGAAAGTCCCCCCACAGAATCGGTATGTCAAACAAGTCTTCCCCACGTTTGAATCGCCTATGACGATTATCTTGAAGATTCGAGCGTGGGAACCGTCATAGTCGTGATGAGAAGACAGCTCTACAGAGTCATTTGCACTGAAAACTGTGTCAAATTCCTCTCCAGGTTTGTTTTCTCTTGCCATTGCTCATCTTCTCGCGGTCTGGGTCCTGTTTGTTTCGAAATGTCGCGAGAATTCGAACTACCGCCTCTAGGAATCGCACAAAGACCGTCAACCTTTCATTTTTAAATAGCAAATTACTTTTGATTCTTATACTTTTTTATTTCCAAGCTTCCAGATCTTCCACTGATCAAATTTAAATTTTATCAACTGAAAGATTAATTTTTCAAATATGGTTAAAAAAAGAATAATTTTGACAACCTATTTGGTAATATGGAGATGTCAAACAATTAAGTTGAATAAATACGAAATCCCACACAATTATATGAAGTCCATTATAGTTTAAAGTACAAAATTATTTGAGCTAACGATTAATGCACCTTGAATAGATTCATTTTGTGCAGGTTGTTATCATAATAAAATACATTTTTTTCTTTAAAAATTATACCATCAGTTAAACCTCTTGCTCATGTTTTTGTTCCTAGTTATGAGACAAAGTCTTATAAAACCAATCAAGTGTACTTTTTTAAAAACGCAACATTAAGCTTACAACACGGATCTATCTCATTTTATACCGTCACTGTCAGTATGGGGCATAACACCAGAACTATTACTAGTAACATTGTTTTCCCTTTCACTCATACACACAAACGACCAAAAGCTACTACAGTTTAGCAGTTTATAATGCACCTTAAGCCAAAAACCATGAAGAAAATATTTTAAAGATGTGATTACCCATCACAGTGAGATGTTTCATAATTTATCCTTTTTTTAAATAATTTAATCTGCAAAAATTTTAAGCCTTGAGCTTTGAAACATGGTAAACTGTGGGAGCTGCTAAGTGAGGACAGCAGCTGCCCAAACATTGGGTGACATACAAAGAGAAAATCTAGGATCCAAACGATATTAAAAGAAAAAAAATAATTTTAATTTCTTATTAGAGCACAGACATTAAATAAAATAGAGACAAGAAAACATATATATAAATGTATATATACACCCAACAGTTTCAAATAAACCAGCTCTTCCCAGGAACAAAATCAATCATGGCAAACAGGCTCTCGTTGAAGCCTTAACCTGAGAGAGAGAAAGATTCACAAATTCAAGCTGTGCATCATCATACTGACATCAACAGGAAGTTAACTTTAAAGCCCTGTTTTTTTAATTGAGTTTTTTGCCTAGTTTATGTCAGATGATGAAAACATTTCACTTTCAGCTGCTGTCATTCCACAGACAGAAGGCATGATTTTACACCAGTTTTATGAAACCTTCATATAATAATCCTGTCACAGAGCACCAATGGAAACCCCTCCCGCCATTTTAGTTGAGTTCTTTTTTTTAGTAATGCAGAGCAGCACCTGGTTTTTCTTTAACTGTAGTACATGTCACAGCTTAAGTAGAGTCTGCTTTACACTTTAGAACAAAGTATCTGACGAAAGCGCGATGGCTACTTGCTTTACCACCCGAATGATCATTGAGGGTCATTCTCAGTTGCTGCCATAAGAATTCGGTCCTGTTTGGTTAGATTGCGCAAACTGGATCAATTCGTTTCGAATGTGGGGAAAGCATGAGAGCGAATAAGTCACAGTAACTCAAGTTACAGGTCATAACTCTTTAAAGGGAGCCACAGTCTTTATGTACCCGTTATCAAGGTAAACACTTTACTCTGTTTAAACATCATTCCAGTCTGAGATGAGCAGGGTGGGTTGAGAGTCAAGGGGGAAACGATAACAGCGGTGGTTCTGTTCTGGTCCTGTTTATAACAGTAATTTCTCTGCTACGTAAAAGTGTGTTTATTTATTTCTTTTTTGCCTTTAATCATGGACATTCACTCCACAAAGTGATCATTGTCGGAAATATCTGCCTTACGGGGAGGGTGAGATTTTTAAAAACATAAAGTTTATTGGCCTCCAAAAATCTGAGTTTGACCAGTCGCTGTTAAAAATGTCTCTGTATCAAATAATAATACAAGATGTCTGACATTTTCATATCTAGTCATACACCTGTTTTATTCAATAGTGCATGAGAGGACAGACTTCTGCCTGCGTACGGAGCCCTTTTCTGCTTTTTCTGCAACTTCTCTGCAAACAAAGGTACTCCCTCGCTTAAAGAACAAAGCCCCCCTCTTTTGACTTTTGACCTCACTGTACAAACAAAACAAACAATATCAATAAATAAACAACTGAAACCAACTCAAGCTTGTTTCTACTCGCTTCACATATCCACATTTGTGAGAGATGTACACCAATCATCCAAAACATCGAATACGCCCTGTTTAAAAACATAGATCTGGTAGCTGGTGTATTTTTTTAAATGGAGGTGGAGGACTAAATGTATTTCCTTGTCTGATCGCACTGCAAACGGGAGTGACTGACCTAAGAATGACGATAACTGGTGATGTACAAACTGGCAAGGGAGATGAAAATATGCTCTTTGCACATTGTATGACTGGGGAAAGCTGCAGAGTGCCACTGGTCAGTGGTTTTAATGTTGCAGCTGACTGCAGTAGACAGATTTCTGCCAAACATTAGTGTTTTAAAATAAAAAAAAGACTCCTTTAATACTGAATTAATACTTCCACGCACACAAAACCACCCTGTGAAAAATCCTCGAAAATCTTAAATAGGTCGAGCTTTTCTTGAACGAGGCGACGCTCGCTTCACTACCAGTTTTCATCGGAGAAAGAGCTGGAGCTGCCAGAGTCGGAGTCTGCGTCGGTCAGCCCGTCCAGGTCCCAGTCGGCGCTGGAGCCGCTGTCGTCGTCCTCCTCCGTGGAGAAGCTGTGGGCCGAGCCCAGGCACGCCGGGTACACGCGGGTGGACACGCACACGGGGCCCAGGGTGGACACGTACACCGCCATGATGTTCTTCCACGAGTCCCTGGCGGGGTCGTACTCGTGGATGAGGACCCTGTTCTTGTTGTGCTGCAGTAAGGTCTGCGTGAGCAGGAGCAGCTTGCCGTTGTGCTGGATCACCTGGTAGTTGAGGGCGTGGCTGTCTATGGGAATGTCCCCCAGCCGCCTCCACTCCCCCCTGCTGGGGCTGTAGGCTTTGACCACGGGAATGTCGCACACGCAGACGATCTGGTCCTGGAAGACGCAGGCTTTGTGGAGCTTGTCCCTTCGGAGGGAGCCGCAGTGGCGCCAGCGGTTCCTCTTGGGGTCGTAGCAGAGCATTCTCCTCTTGTTCACCACATACAGGTGGTCGTTCAGCGCCACCACCTGCATTTTCCCCAGAGAGTGGGGCAGCGGCGCCACAAACGTCCACTGGTTCCTCTGGATGCTGTAGCACTCCACCTCCTTCAACCTGTCGTCGGTGACGGGATTTCTTCCTCCCAGAAGGTACACGTGCCCGTTGAGGTAGCCCATCCCGGAGTGGATCCTGCCCAGTGGCCTCTCCGCCAGCTCCTGCCAGCGGTTCAGAACCGGGTTGTGCAGCCAGAAGTGTTTGGAAAGGTGAGAGGCCAGGTACAGGTTGTTGTCGGGGGTGGCACAGGCGATGAGGGACTCCATGGTGGAGCGTTTGTAATCCTGACTGCTGAGATCTTCCAAAGGAGGAGCCATGAAATACAGGTCCTCCGAGTAGGGGTCACAACACATTATGTTGTCGTTGGGCTGGCCGAAGAAGAGGATCATCTCCTTGGCGCTCACGCCTATTCTGTGTCGGGGCACGTCCAGGGCCGCCGACACCCCGCAGCTGTCCTTCGGAGACCGGTCGAAGAAGGACGGCAGGTGCTTCTCGACGGAGGGCCTCGCCATGAGACCCTCCAGGTAACACTTGTCCTTCTCGCTGAACAGGTTCCAGCGCACGCACTTGAGCGCCTGCAGCGCGTCCTCCTCGCTCAGCGGCGCGTTGCTCTCGATCCACTGCAGGGCGGCCGAGCAGATCTTCTCCTCGCAGTCCACGTCCAGGGTGTCCAGGGACAGCAGCTCCTTCAGCTGGGCCAGGTCCAGCTCGCAGAGCTCCCCGCCGCCGCACACCTGGCCGAAGTTCCGGGCTATGAAAGCCTGGGCGCTCTCCTTCAGCTCGGGGTTGTCGTAGGTGTCGGCGAACTTCAGCAAGCCCACGCAGTTGGAGAGATCCAGCCTCCTGGTCATGAAGCTGGAGCAAGCCTTCCGGATGTACTCCAGCTGGAGCATGTTGGAGGCCGCGTACAGCCTCTGCACGTTGTTTTCCGTGATGGTCACCCTGCCCGTGTAGCAGTAATCGACAATGACAGACATGGACTCGGAGTCCACCCCGCGGATGAGCACCCCCTCCTGAACGCTCTCGTTCAAGCCCCCGGTGAACATGCTTTTGAAGTAAGGGCTGGCGGCGGCCAGGACGTTGCGGCTGCACAGGAAAAGTTGGCCCCGGTCCCCGCCACCGGCCGACCCCCCGCTGGGCCCCAGCGGCTCTTCGTCGCCCTCCACCCGGATGGTCACGTCCCCGAGCAGCCGGCAGTCGTACAGCGACTTGAGCTCGTTCACCAAACCCCGGGCGTGATGGGCGTCCTCCAGCACCTCGGGACCCGCGAAGCAGCTCAGCGCCGCTGCCATTGCTTTTCGTACACTTTTATCGACGTCGACTCAAAACGGGCTCAAAACACTCGCTGTCGGCCAGCTGCCATTGTCATTGAGGCGAAGCCGCATCCGCGTTGGCGCCGACACAGTTCCTCGTTGAAGGAAACCCCAAAATACGCTGGCGAGAAATACATTACCGGCGACTTCACCGCCGACCGTCGCCTCTTTGTCCGAATTCCAACGTCTGCCAGGCCACGCTCCGTCATAACGTCGCGCTTAAACCACGGGAAATTAATTCATTTTGTCTGCATTATATCGGCTTCAAAAGGCGCAACAGTTTCTCTTATGTTCTCGTTTCTGCTCTTTTTCTTGTGTCGGGAGTAGCACAGCTGTACGTATCAATGAAGAATACAAAAAAGCTACATAAAAATTTCCGGGTGAAAACACCAAATTAAAAGTATAGTTCAATTAGTCAACATTAAAATGTTTTCTTTTTTAAAAAACTTGAAGTAATGTAAATATATTATTTACTACCTTAAATGCATTCTTATAACATATCACCGCTGATAGTGTAATTTAAGCCCGTACGTAGAAAGCATCGTATTTTATTTTGAAGGTAGTCTTATCAAGCTTCCGTGTTGGCTAACCGTGCACTGACAACCTTGCTAGCAAAGTGTTCGCCTTTTGATTGGTTTGAAACTGGGTCAACTGGATTTTGCTGATTGAGATCAGTTTAAAACTACTACGAAACTATTTGAGCAAACGAAAAACTTTTTTGAGTGATTTAACATTTTTAAGTAATAGGAATCATTATATGGTTATAACAACATGTATCATAAAATGCATATTGCGATAAGTGCCTTATGATTACCATGAGTATTTCTGTTGTTTAAAAAAATGTTAGAGAAATAAATGTGGCAGCACAAATTTACAGAAAAACAAAACAGCAAGACGACAAAGCACAAAAGCATGTCAAAGATGGATGAAAAGGAAGCAAAAATGGTAAAATATATGGAATACATAAAATAACTCTTATGAAAGAAAGAAATTAAAAGGAAAACTTACTAAAATGACCTTATTCTAAGCGAAATTATAAGGTGGAGTGTTGATTGAGCAAAGGGCTGTAGGTAAATTAGGTTGAAGTCTATTCCTTCATGTATTTTGAGGAATCCCTTTTGCATTTTGTGTCCTTACACCTCTATGGTAATACTTTTTATATAATTTTTATATAATTGACCTTTAAAGATCACGTTGCCTCTGTTTCTCGATCCTGTCGCTTCGCATTACTAAACATAAGAAAGATCCGGCCGTACCTAACACAACATGCTACCCAGCTCCTGGTGCAGTCTATGGTCATCTCCCGCCTAGACTATTGCAACGCACTCCTGACTGGTCTCCCGGCCTGTACAGTAAAACCTTTACAAATGATCCAGAACGCGGCGGCGCGTCTGGTCTTCAATCTGCCCAAAAAATCTCACGTCACCCCTCTGTTCATTGAACTCCACTGGTTACCTCTGGCTGCCCGTATCAAATTCAAGTCCCTGATGCTAGCCTACAAAGTGCTTAAGGGTATGGCTCCCATCTACTTGAATCCCCTTGCAAAGGCTTATGTCACAACTCGATCACTCCGGTCATCAATGGATTGTCGTCTAGCAGTGCCTTCACCACGCTTAAGACAATCCAGACTGTTTGCATGTGTCGTTCCAAGATGGTGGAACGAGCTACCAAGCTCCACAAGAACAGCAGAGTCCCTGTCTGTTTTCAAGAAACTCTTGAAGACCCACCTCTTCAAAGAGCATCTCCTATCCTAACCCTAACCCGTACCTCTACCCCCCCACAGCTCCTTCTGTAGCCCCTCTACCTCTATCTCTATCTCACCACTGACTCTGATCAGTGTTTCTGTTCTATATAGTTTATTGTCATTGTGATGAGAAATGTAATATTGTGTCTACTCTGTAAGTCGCTTTGGATAAAAGCGTCTGCCAAATGCATAAACATGAACATAAACATAAACAATTAAAGCCTAATCATGTCTTAACCTTTAAAATAATAAATAAAAAATCCCCTTTTTTTCTTTAGAAATAATTGTTCTATCATCGACAATTTGATTTTACTTTTTCTCCTTGGATTTAGCTGAATTAAGTTTGCTATGTGTTGATGTGTACTTGCAACTGCAGATTAGAAAAAACAAGCTTTCCCTACCCTACAGGTAGTTGTGGCTGTACACCATGTACCAAAACAACTCAACACAAAGCCAGTATAATTCTTTATTTGAATGGAGAATATGTTGATAAGTCTTACTCTATGACCTTCCTAAGAGCCGTAGAAAATGGATGCATGAAAGAATTGAAAGGTAAATCATACTTAGAACGAGGCCTTAGGTCTCCTATGGAGCTACATTGAAAAGACAGTTTATTTCAGTGTAGGATAGTCCGCACTGTAGGCATAAGGTAAGAGCAATCATGCTTAAAGCTGTACAGATTCATTTCAATCCATTTTTAAGTGAACCTGCGGCTGAGGTCGTTGATTCTGCGCAGAGCGTCTCGGTTGTGTATGGTCTTATGGACTGTGATGATAAAGGGGAAAGCAGAGGGGAGCTCCACCCTTTTGCTCAGTTTCTGATGACCCCAGTGGAGGCAGCGCAGCCTCTCAGCCAGATCACGTCTGCCGGCCTGCTCCAGCCCATCCTGCAGCAGTTTGGTCTTATTGGGCTTGTCCCATGACCTCTCATACCTTCGAATAGACAGAGTTTCAGTAACGAAATCCAAAATTAGTTCAAGCTTAACAGGAATAATAAAAAAAACACAATGTACACATTATGTTGCATTTTTAGCTCTTTATCCATTTATAATTTAAAGGCAATTATTTCCCAAGAGGAAGCTGCACACATGCTATACCAGCTTTCCAGCATGATCCTGGCCTGCACGCTTTTCTCTGTAGATCCGGAGTGAAACCGCCCTATCTCAGCTCTGTTGAAGCCAAGCTCGCATGCCAAAACGGTCCACTCAAATCCCAGCTGCATAGAAATCTCCTGCAGGGTCTTAAGGTTGATCACAGCGTCCTAAAAAAAGTAAATAAATCAGCACCGTCAAATACTAGAATGAGATGCATGAAAGTTCAAACTCAAACATCTTGCACAAACCTCTTGAGCTTTGTTGGGCATGATCATGAATTCCAAGAACTCAGCAGTGCAGTCACACACTAAACGTCCTGTCCCTGATCCAATGTGTGTATTTAGTGAAGAAAAATATCAAACCCACGTTTGGGGACCAAATGTCCAAGGTGAAAGTAATGCTTTTAGTAGCACGCGATGAGGCGTGTGTACAACAAATGTAAAATGTTTGAGGGTTACTGGGGAGATTCATTATCAACACACAAGCCTGTTAAAGATTAGTCATGATAGCCTCTACAAAGCTCCTTGTGCAGCAAACTGTCCACTCAAGGTTTGTTTCAAAACCATGTAAGCAAGGGGAGTGAATTTTGAATTTAATTCACACTTAGAATCTGAGTTGCTTAGAACAGGATTCATATAGCATTATTTTTCTTCAACTTTATTTACATATTTCTTTCGAAAGTTGTTTCTTTGGCCCGTCTTATATTCAGTCTTTTGACATATTTCCTGTCATTTTTATGTCTGCTGTTTTCTTCCTTTTTTCCCGCTTTCTGAATAGTTCCTGAAATGCTGTTGCATATTTGTACGTTGTTCGTTTAATTTCTAACTTTAACATTGAAGTTGTTCTTTTTTGTTGGCATTTTTTATTTCTTGGTGTTTTGGGGATCTTGATTCCCATTGTTTTATGTTTTATATTTGTTCAATAAAGCTACATACATTTCACAAACTACAGTATCAGTGAGATCAGAATATTACCCTGCAAAAGCACACAGTGGTGCAACACTGGAGCCTGCAGGACATTTAAAACTTTAACAAATAAAAAATAAACTAAGGACTGAAACAATAAACTTTCAAATGTTTTTTATTCTCTTCAAAAAATTAACCTCCTCTTTAATGGGTCATCCATAAAAAGCATTGGGGCTGTATGTGCAATTTCACTGCATCCATTATGTTGATCAAAGACAAAACTTTCATGTAAACAGTGAATAAAGAGAAAAAAATCCATAACATAAGTTTTCTTACTGATATAAATCAATTTCATACTTGACATAAGAAACCAAGCAAATAAGTTATTTGATCATATTCATCATAGCTCTAATGCAATGTGCCGTAAGGTCCAGCCAATAAATATAACAAACACAAATTACACTACCTTTAAACAGGCACGGGGAGTAACTTAATTCCAACTTCAGTTTCATCTTTATTCTTGACACCAAAAAAGTTGCAAAATCATATGAAATCATTAACAGCATTTACAAAAGCAATGGTTACTATTTTACGAGCTTCCAGGTTCAGAGAACCTTTTATTCAACTGAATTAGAGCATCACTTATCGAGAATGACAAAAAAAAAAAGAGGTCAGTACCGATTTCACATTGAGTAACTGATTTCCAGTGTATTGCATGTTATTGAGATTGTGTGTGCACGTGTGTTTGAGCAGGTATTAAAGGTCCAGCCTGCTGGACCCGTATTGTTCCCAATCTCAACTTTTTCCTTCGGTCAAGAGTAGTGCTTTTAATTCATTTTAACAGTCACTTTCTCTGGGACGTCCTGGCAGCATCGTTTTAAATCAGTTGGGTCCCATGCAGCGTCGTTACCCTGTGCACCTCTCAAACTTCACTTCATTTGGGTTCAGTAGCAGCCGTCCTTCCAGCTGCCGTCCCTCAGGGCGCTCAAAGCAGCCAGGCTCTTTGGAGGAGTCAGCAAACTGCGGAGAGAAACACGCCGTAAAAACGACACATCTTGACATTTTTACTTTCACCTGGAACTATAGCCAACATTTGAACCCCAACTGTGTGCCCAATTTCTAACAAGTCATGCAAAGTTAACACGAGAGCTGCCACCAAAGGCAGCTGACCTATATTAGACCTAAAATGTGTTAAATGCCATGTAAAAGCACACAATGGTCTAAATATGGCAATCCTGAGACCAGAGTGTGGACCACTAATCTGGGGATTAGAAGAAACCCGCACTCTAGTGATGGAGCTTAAATGGAGTCCTTTACTATCAGTTCCAGTGGAGACACTTTCAATAATTTTAATCTAAAACGGAGATCAGGAAAATGAAAACAAACTAAGGAAATAGAGCCAAAGAAAAAAACATGAGAAGCTCAAAGTGGGAAACCACAAAAGAAACCCTTAATCATTAATACTAACCCTAACCCTAACTGGAAAACCCCAAAAACAACTTCCACAAAGCATGTAACCTTTGACACCCAGCTTGACAAAAATGACAAAAAGTGAAAAATCTATAGAAAACTAGGGTAAAATCCATCGTGCCGTGAAACAGATTCCCGTCTCTTCCTGACAGAGCCAGCGAGTGTGCCCTTACCTGCGTGTAGGCGGTGTGAGTTTACTTGCGCGCGGGAGCCCGCTGGCGCCTATGAAAGAGGCCGGCCGGGGGAGGGCGCTGCGTGGGGCAGCAGACTGGTTGGCGCCGCCTTTAAGGGCCTGCGGTAGGAAACCGCCGCCGGGTTTGAGGGGCTGAGGCAGCGCGCTGCTGGGGATGGAGTTTAAGCTGGCGGAGGTGGACAGAGAGCTGGCTGTGGGACCCTGCTGCACCGTAGGGCTCACGTAGGCTGTTGCCTTCAGCGGGTGTCGAGCCATGGTGGGGAAGTTCCCCACGCTCTGGACTCGCTGGCTGAGTTGGCCTGGGGAAGGAACTGGAAGCACAGTGACAGAGTTAATATAAAGAGATGGATGATAAAAAGAGTATCCCTTCACTTGCTTACAGGAAAGAGGAGAATATATATGTGCCAATTTGTGCCACAAAGCTTATTGCCAGACAGACAAGGACACAAGCGTCTTACTGGAGGACTGGAGACGTGCAAGTCCATTGGACGAATCAAAGCTCAGGCTGCTCCGGAGGGAGGGCATCGCTGGCAAAGAGGAAGGGCCGTTGGAAGGCGGGTTGGCAGGAGATGCCAGGCAAGGAATACTGGGAACGCTAGGCATGCTGGGAGCTCGGATCAGGTTGGGCATGCTTCTCCGTAGCTTGTCTATGCAAGAATATCAGAAAATCTGATCAGGTCTTGCATACGAGAAGTCCCTTTGGTTCCACTCGCAATCCCAACATGTAAGGAAGAGGTGGACACTTTTGTTTCTCAAATCTAAACTGAGCGAGCCGGCCACTAGAGGGCGCTTCAGATCTATTCTACAGTGGCCTGGATCGTCTCACTTGCAAAACGTTGGACCGTTCCACAAGGGAATGTAGTAATAAAGCAGATTTTGGACATTTTATGAACGGTTCAAAGAAAGAAAAAATGAAAATGCAAAATATCCATAAGAGTCAAACAGGAGATCAGGTTATTTTAGGGGGGGATTTAGGGATCTTGCAATTTAAAGAGGGCAAGGAATCCATGAACCACTCACCTGTGCTGCTTCTGTACGCTGTGTGTGCTTCTGCCATCAGGCTGGAGGGTCCAGAGAACTGCGAGAGTCCGCTGAGGGAGAACTGAGAGGTGGCCGAGCTGCGCCTGCAGTCGCGGATACTGGAGAAGGTGTGGGAGTGGGGCAGGCTGCCCCGCTGCATAGACCCGGTGCGGAAGAGCCGCGGCTGAGGAGGAGGGAGCTGGTCGTAGCCTTCGTCCTCCTCGTCCTCCTCCTCCAGATCCATCTCGCTGCGCCTCAGGGAGTGCAGGGAGAAGCTGGAGCTGCGGCGGGTGGCTGTGGCTGAGGTAGAGGCGTAGTCCTGTCTGAGACCTGCCAGCGATGGATCAAGGCTTTTACCGGTCGAGGAAAACGTATGGCTGAATTCCGTATAGCATATTACTTTTTTTTCTAAAGGGCTGCTCTCATCCATTATTCAGCCACTGAATCTGTGAACCAGACTGATACGGGAAGTTTTTCTGATAAGTCCTGCATAATTTAACAGCTGTCTACTCAAGTTAAACCGTTTAAAGGTCAGACGTATATCTTAAATTTAGCCATTCATCACAAATGTAGCAGAATAATCAATTTCAGCCTCACAGAGTTATGATGCAGATCAGCATTTATCTTTAAACTTGCCACGCAATGTTGACCTAAGCAATAAAATGGAGCCGCAAGTACCACCGTCTGATAACAGCTATTGTGATCCATAAACGTAAATCTGACCCCACAACTTAAAAGTACCAATACTTTTTCAGGACCTAAAGAAATCTTAAACTTGACCAGAATACATAACAGTGTCACTGATTATTTATTAAAAGTTAAGCATGAATGCTTGACTTGTGTGTAAAATAAACTGTTTCTGTTCATTTAAATCAAATGCATTTCGGTATTTTTTCATCAGTCCATGCAGACTCTTCTGTATATTTAGCAGTTTTTGGTAGATGGAAGCTGCTCTGGAATATTCAGGAGTGTATTAACACAATTTCAAGGAGGAAAATCCCCCCCAAAATTGAAGTTTACTACAGCACAATATGAAAACAGACAAAACAAGTCGAGTGTATTTGATTGGAAAAGCCTCTTTTCTCAATTTAAAAAAACATTACAGGTTGACTTTGGTTTGCAAAGCTGCCTCTTAAAAAACCAACTCTAAGATTATAGAGTAGTGGAGATCACTGGTCATGATGCATAGTTGCATGTTTGGAGAAAACCAAACACAGCATATCTATTGTCCAGCCAGATGGCGGAGCGCTACCTGCCGCCCTGCAGCCTCTGAGTCGACCGTGAACATCTGCGTGTACCAAAGTAGCAAACAGTCACACGTGAGGCCCGGGCCGTTTCTCTACCAGCTAAATCTTGGCTGTAACAGGGTCATGTGACAGGACAATGATGTCAAACACAGCAGCAAAGATATAAAAAAGAGCTGCTGAATCGAAGGGTTTTCCCACACTGCTTCAGCATTTGCTTCTGATTTAGTTGAATATCTAATTACACGATATAATACGTTGTGTATTTCTGTTTATTTGTGGTTGTACTTTAGACCAGAGAACCTCTTCTTTTTTTTACTACACTATATAAATACATAAAACATGCTTCTGTAGTGGACTTACTCTCCTCCTGGAGCCTTGCCATGACCTCCACATCTGTCATGTCCTGCAGTTTGTAGCTCATAGAGATGGAGTCGTCCTCTATCTCCGATACACCTGCTTCACTGTCCAGGGAAGACTGGGGCGTGATGGTTGCATGGCGACGCCCAACATCTAAAATGACGAAGGTGGGGGGGGTAAGATGTCTTAGAATATACTGTATCACCTTTCAAAACCAAGACTGGCACGGCAAGGACAGTTCCACTGACAGTTGAGGAGCTCATGCGTGTACATCTTTTTATATATTTATATAAACAGTAATTGCAGGCGGCTGATTGAATGACTGACAGAGCAGACAAGATGTGTTGTCAGAGAGGTCTTACTGTGCAGAGAGGAGTTTGATAGAAAGGTGGGTGCTCTGTCACTGAGGCTGCAGCTGGCCCTGAGAGGGAGAGTCGGCTGGAGGAAGGACTGTCCAGATGAGGACAGCGGTGCTTTGACAGAGAAACACAGCAAAGTGGAGAAAATATTGAACCCTTTCCTCCTATCTGTGTCAGTATGAAATATGGATGAACAGGCACGCCGAGCTTTAAACTGGCAACGCTGGCTATTGCTCGTCTCATCTCCCTTAAGGGTCTGACCTTATAATCTCTCCCTTGTAATTTGCTGTAATCTGATTCTAAACCGCATTTCCCAGGTCATTTAAAAAACTGGGTTATATTCATATAGCTAAATCCTAAAGCAACAGATAGTTTTGGCTCTATGCACTTATTAATTGGCACGTGAACGTGAGGCATCAATTTTAATACTTAAGGCAAGAGTTTAAATTCGATATATCTAAATCCCTTTTAATGTAGCAAGTGCCAAATCATATGCGAATCAAATGCTTTTTTTAGCTATTGCTCTATTTTATCATTAGATTTGTTAATGTCAGCAGTCTTATAAAAGACGATTATATGGGAGAAAAATAACAGTCTATCTATTGAAAAAATGACAGCATGAAAATGACATAATGGAGGAAAAACATGATTTGTTTGTAAAATTAATATTAACATACTCAAATCTTCTCATGTTATGGAAATCTGCCCCACAATGGCACTCATTCGGAAGCTCATGCTTCGTTAGGAACAGAAAACAGCTATTTCTAAGTAGTTATTATTGCTTTTAACTTCACATGAATAATGCAAATGAAAACATCTCAATTTGGAATAATTGAACCAATAATCAGACAGACATCGTTAGTATGACGCTTTAGTGGTTGGGAAGAGTTAGATGCAGTATTCGTGTTACCTGGGGTGTCAGTTATTGCAGCAGGTTTAGTGTAAGGCAGGACGGGGCAGCTGAGGGGGGAGAACCCCTCTATGCAGCTGTATGGACGCACCGAGGAGACTCCTCGCCACCGCTTTGCTAAAAATGAGATTGCAGCACAGGCCATGTTAGTCTGATTGCTTCACCATGCAGCACCACATACGGCACATTCATTTATACATTTTCAGGACGCTCCAACCAAAGTTAATCTCTTACAGATCCGAATTGATGCTGTACATGATTGGGTCGAGGAAGCAAATACAGTAAGACAGTTTTTAGCTTACCGCTGCAGCTTTTTTTGGGCTAAATCACAGATTTGTGTTTTGGATGGATCTTAGGTTAAGCAGGGATTGTGCTTGTAGGCTCCATCCTTTTCCCAAAAACGGGATTAGATTACTATGGACTGATTTGGGGTGTGGACGTTGTATTCGGACGACTTTCAATTTCCAATGAATAAACTTCATTGTACACAGCTAATGCTTTATTAAATGGTCATTAACTAATGGCTTGTTAACTGTCTAGGAACCATTACGGCTCATCAGAAATCCATAACATATGTCAATTAAAACTAATAGCTTTATGAACACTAACACCTCTACAGAAGGTAAAATGAAATATATCTCACCGTCACGCTTACCAGTAGAGAGTAAATTTGCCTCAATTACATAATACCTGGTCAGTGTGTGTACACTCTGGGTTTACCCCCAGAAATTGGTAGTCAGTGAGGCGCCCGCTTGACAAAGTGGAGCATTTGGCATTACTTATACAATTAGGCTCAACCACTACTGGATAAAACTAGCATTCACAGCATGTCACACAAACAGCCGCCACTAAATCTCAGACACAAGGATGTATTCAGGCCCCCGACGAAGAGAGCCAACCTTCCCTGAATACAACTTTAGAAAAAGCGGAGGAACCTGAGCCGTACCCAAAAAACACACACACCGAGGAACATCCAGCACCAGCAATTGCTAATGTGCATTATTTAGTCACAGCGTGGACGCTCATCCTCAGTGGGAGAAGACTTGATCCTAGGGAATCCTTTTGAGTTTCACAAATCAAAGCGCAAATATGCACAGCATGAACCCCTGGGAGAGAAACCGCGTGCCACCACTGCACAAGATGCTCTTATGAAGGCTGTTGCAGCAGCGAGTGCTGGACACGTCTGCTACCAAAACCCATTTTATGTAAGCATGGTTTCTATGGTAACCATATCCTCATGCATAACTGTGGAGACTGTAAAGCACAAGATTTAAAAGTAGGTCCAGCAGCATTTTATATTATCTTAGCAAACAGGTCATTGCAGTGTTGATTGATGTATATGTAGCTATGTAGAATCAAGTTTCATTGTTTTACTAAATAATCGGAATAATCCTTTGTCCCAAGTAATGAGACAATGATTTAAAAATGGATACTTCTGCCTGGCGTGATGCAGGTTTGATTGTTGAAATGGACGGATTGCATATCTGGAAGCTCTCTGCTAATTTGTCAGTTTGAAATGGTACATAAAACCTGTCATATATTTAAAACTAGAGTTTTTATTTGGAAAAAGACAGTTTGTAATCTGTTTGAATTGGAAGGGGGCCAAAACGCCCTCTGCCACAGAGAATGAAACATCGACTCTCAGAGTCATCTCGTTTCTGCTAATCCTGTGTGTGAACAGGCAGGGAAATACTCCGTTTCAGCATGTTTCATGTAAGATATCAAAAATATCTTCCAGATATTACACATAAGGTGAAAACAACATGTCTTCACTTTAAACGAAGTTAAATATTTTAGGAAACTGACTTACTGCTACCTTTACCTCACTGCTTTCCAACTGAATTATTTTTAATTATGTTTTTTCTAACATTTTAAGCTAAACATTATTATCCTTTGTACAATAAAGTTTATTCTTGTGTGCAGCTATTCAACTACACAACAAATACAATAAATATGTAAAAGCAGAGATGTCAATCTCTGTTCTAACCACTCAGCAGAGTTTCCCGAGGACAAAATTTGATGTGAACTATCAAATGACAGAGACGGATTCGGTTCTGGCATTGCATCAAAAATCTTGTCATCCATGGTGACACTACAGTCACATCTTATGATTGCGGGCCAGCAGCCAGAGAGCCCGACGTCCTGCGGAAACCTGGGGGCTAAAAACGTCGTACCTTGGTCCAGTCTGTGACAGAAAGTCATCTTAGCCAGCTCCACCTCAGGCCCCGGGTGGTCCAGGACCTGCCTGCACCACTGAAGAGGGCTGAGGACACTCCCACCATGCAGCTTAGCTTTGGGACTCACATACAACCTGTCAAACAATGCACAAATACCAAATTCAATTTCACGACGTCTCCACGCCAGTTGAACAAGCACAAGGTTAATTTGTCCAAACAAGTCTTTAGCCTCGAAAAAAGTGTTTCAAAGAAGGTCAGAAAAGGTTGGAGCACTGGTGAAAAAGCATAATTTAGAGTGTAGATTATTGTAAGACACAGGAGGGTTTATGTTGTCTTAAAATGATAAGTGATACTTTACAGAGGATTGAGCAAATTTAGCAGAACTACTAAGTGTGTCAGCCTGTTTCAAACAACGACCAAACGAAATTGAAGTTGTGGATTCCTAAACGAATCCAGAAATGGTTGATGGCCCGACTTTGAAAACGACACATCCAATCTGCATCCAAGCAGAAGAAGGCCGACCTGACCTTTTATCCAGCGAGGCCCCGTAACGCTGACTTTAGGGTCAGCCGGTCATGTTGGATTGAGCTCGGCTTCAGCGGCGCGTGAAGCGCGAGGAGCCTGGATACCATCCACGCTGCATTTGAACTGTGTGCTACATTTTCCACGTCATTACACCGAATACTGGAAACGCTTTTGGTAGTCAGCGTGTCAGTGTGCGAGCTACCAAAGTCAGCAGATAGTGCTCCTCAAAGTAGTTCAGCCTTGGGGGGCTGAACGCCACACACAAAGCCGAGTTGTTTTGATCACAAGCTGAAGCGGGTCATTGTTTCTAATTTCATCCCAGAGCAGCCTACCTATATCCTAGATGCACTGTGCATGGCAGGATGCAGCTCCTGTCAGGTCAGGTTCAGTTGTTTGGGTGTTTTTTTCCCCCCTCCTGTATAAATCACTGTTTTCCAGTGTCTGCCAGGCTCTTCCTCCAGGGAGGAGGATCAATAACGCGATCGATTAAAGGATACATGACAGGGTAGAATTACACACACTGTCTTAAAAACTGGGGCTCGTCGGCTGTCCTTTGGCCCAGGAAGCATCAATTAGTGTCCCTCGAAAACAAGGGGGGCAGACACATTTTCACTCCATATTTCACAAAGGCAGCGGCTGACACAAACAAGAGCGGGTTTACCAGCTGTCGGGCTCCCTAACGGGCAGCACCGCGTTGAGGTCCAAAACGTCCACCTCGTCCAGGACAGTCGCGGCCCCGTCCGGTCCGCTCTCCTCCGCGGCGGCGTCGGGAGACGCCGAGGTGGGCTGGAAGTAGGCGAACGGCTCCTCCGCCGGGCTCCGCGGCGAAGGGGCACGCGGACGCGAGCGCGCGGGACCCGCCGCGTCGTGTTTAACCGAGAAACGCTCCGCGGGGCACGTTCCGCCCGCGTGCGGGCACGACGGCGCGGGCTGGAGACGAGGGCCGACGGAGCAATTGTTGGCGGCGTTATTGGCTCGCGTGCGCAATTGTTCGTTCTGCTTCTCCAATTTTCGGACCAGCTCCTGGAGCTTCAGCACCTCCAGCTCGGCGTCGGCGATTTTCTTGTTGCCGTTGACGTCCGCCATCCTCGGGGGGCTCAGCACCTCTGCTTCCATTTGGGCGGAAAGCACATTGAGGGCGGCCAAAAAGAAACGGCCTTGCCTGCGGAGGGTCCCGTTCGACACACAGAGGGTGTCCAGATCCTCTCTGCCTCCCCCCCCCCGTGTTTAAAGCCACCACATCTCAGACACTCTCGCAGACTCACGCGGATGCTGCCGCTGGGATGACAGGAAAGCCTGCATCTCATTGGTCAGCAGCCCGGAGTTCAGCTCGCGTCGCATCACCGTTTAGGAGGCGTTTGTTATTCCGCCTCCACGCATTTTACACACAGCCACAGTACATCTGTTAACTTTACCCCCCCCCCCCCCCAGAAAAAAATAAAAAAAAATATTAAAATTAAAACAATTATTTATTTTCATCTAAACCACACAGTTAGAAAAAATAAAATAAAAAAATAAACACACATCAGGGACAGAAACGTTTTACTTTTATTCTTTTAACTTTTTTTATTATTAGATTGCAGCATTATTGCACAAAGAAAAACACCCCCGGCCCTTCAAACTATCAATTATAATATCCCCTCCCACTTTGTTCACAAGAGTCCCCCAGAAAGAAGCAGGCCGGATAATACATGGCTACATAGAGGTACACAGATGGCAATATCACATCCCATTTCCTGTAATAGACCATAAGATATGTAGAGCACACATTGTATGAAAAAAGTGTTGTATTTGTCGAAAAAACACCCACATAAACATGCGTAAGCTTGTAAAAATGAGAGTCCACGAGAGCCCCAGTCACCCACATCACCATTATCTCTCCGAAGATTCACCGTCGCCATTTCTCTGTGGGAGAGAGGGGAAGCGTCAAATTAATGAAAAATTGCCAAAAAATAGTTAAGAAAAGTAAACAGGATTAATTAACAGGATTTGGATGATTAAACAATAAATTGGTGTACCTCTGGTGATTTCAAAGCAGGTCTCACAGTGCACCATGCGTTTGTAGATCCACATGCTGTCCCCAGCTCTCAGATTACTCAAACTACTGTTACACACATCACACTGTGAGGGCACAAACAGATGTTCAAATGAGGGCGGATATCAATGCTTGCACACAACTGCACTGCTGGTGACTGATGATATCTGCCTGCTGCCGGCTGAATGTCCCATAGTCCATTTGCAAAAGCATTTAAAAGCTGGTACTAATTAACTATATCAAAACGGGGAACATGTAGCTTTTTATGTATCCGGGAATGCTATGTACAGGTTTGAATTAAACACATATATATATATTCTGTGCATACTGGACTTCTTTTCCTCTCGCATAGAAAGCAGCACTTAGAACTGAAGAAGGATTAGGGATGAGAGTTGACATATCTTCAAAATTGTCCAGTTGTTTTTATTTAAGCTCATTTGGATATTTACATAGTATTTAAGTGAAACTACACCCAAGAACAGGAAGTCTACTTTTTAAGGCAGTAACGTTTTTGTCATGTAAACTGACTGATTAGGGACCTAAAGAGAAAGCATATTATATCAAAATAGAAATACTCACTTTAAAGCAGGTAGCATGGCAGTTGATCTTCATGTCATCCAGAACCATTTTGGCATCACCGATGAAGGGTTTACGGCAGATGTTGCAGAGGTCTTTCTCGTGCACCAGCCTACATCATATTAAAAAGTTGTTAGTATTTCCGGGATTTTTTTGGGATGATTCATCTTTATAAAACTAATGAACCTCAGCGAATTGAACCTTAACTGATATTTACAAGGATTTACAAGAATGTACAAGACTCTCCAGTCAACAGAGACTGAAATTGTTAGGTAACCACTGAGAATTTCTACTCCAAAAGTTTAATACCAGTTCATGGCATCCCAATCTCATGAGTAAATACGGAATGCATACATTTAATCTTTCCACTTTATCAAAACATAGTAGTTCCAAAGTTAAGTTTTTTAAATTGTGAAATAACAAGGCATTTCTAAACTGTTATTCTGCGTTGGGGAGCATTAACGTTGCAAAATACATATCACAACACAACAAAATATGTAAGCCAAGGCCAGTTATAGTTCTAGAATAGGCTAATGGTCTTTTAACATGCAAAACACGACCATTAATTCTACCGTGTACTTTTCCTGTCTATGTGAGCATGCTGGAATTTGCCTTTAGCCTAAAGCAAGGCTGAACTCAGGTGGACAGAGGAATAATAATTATGTTTAGCACAGCTTGGGTTAAATAAATTAGTTTTCTTACCGGTCAGAAGATGCATAGACATTCTTCATTGATGATTTCGAATAGATTGGATCTGCCAGGATGTCATCTGATCTGCTGTTAGGAGTTGTTGATGGAGTTTTACTCTCATGTAATGTTTGTACACCAATGTTCATTTTCACACAGTTCAGAAAATTCCCTACCTGCTACTCCTGTATGATGTTGTGGTGTACACACTGGGACTGGTCACACTAGTGTACTCATAGCTAAAAAACAAAAATAATCACACAAATTACATTTCAGTCGTCTTGTATTTTTTAATTGCTGTGTACAGAATAAGAGGTCTTAATTTGCTCTGTGAAGTGACGTACCTGGAGTCAGGTTTGGAGTAAGAATAGGTGTTGGAGCTGCTGCTGTATCCATTACTAAGGATGCAAACACAGAAAAGCTTAGGAATAATACAAAGACTAAACCTTGACAGGAACAGTGAATACATTCAGGGTACACTTGTGATACTGAAATGTTAACATGGTATGTATTCTAAGGCCTTGATCCAAAATGTTTTGCAAACTTCGACTTAAACAACAAAAATATTAATAAAACGAATAAACATTTGATTATACATATCATACAATATAGTCATGTTAGGGAATTACCTGTAACGTGTGTAGGATGGTGAGCTTAGGGTCGGGCTTTTCTCTCTAAAATAAGACAAAAGAAAATGACAGAGTTCATAGGCACACTGCAAACAAACACTCAGATACGAAGGAGAAAAACAACAAGAAAAGCCGGTTTTAGTTTTTAAAAATAATTTATTCTCAATCCTCACCCGTTGCTGCTTTCCACCGTCACAATCTCTTTCTTTGTGGTGCTTGTTCTGTTGGGAGAGAAACAATGGAGTCAATAACTGAATGGAATAACTTGTTTTTTTTGTCAGTGAGTAATTTTCACAGAGAAGTCTCACCTGGAAGAAGGTTCAGACGTAATTGATTTAGGCAGAAGGGTGTCGTACAGATCGTCCTCAGCCCTATCAACACAACAATATTACGATTAAGATTATTTGATATATTCATGCTAGCAGTGAATGATGGAGGGTTGTCTTACGTAGAGGAAGTGCTTATTGTTGTTGTGCTTTTAAAGCCATCCCTGTAACACAGCATTAAGACAGAATCTTTTAGCCGATTGTTGGGTATTATTGTCGCAGCTGTTGTGTATAATAGCACTGCAGGAACTCACCCATCAGGAGAGCTTTTCACTGTGACGGTCTCAGTGCTGGACACGGTCGTTTTGCTGTAATGAAGACAACATTAGTTATGGATTATTGTAGTAAGAAACTACTCCGCACTGGCTAGAATTGGAAATCTAATGAATTCCTCTGTTCATTACTTGATTTATTACCATCATGTTAAAAAAGCACTTCCTAGCAGGAATCTTATCCTTATGTTCTTCTACTTTCTTGTAATTTGTAGAAGTTAAAGAAGCTTCATAAGTGGCCTTTACCTGTCAGGGACGTCGCTTTTGATGGAACTGGGGATGAGTGAGTCGTAGAGGTGGTCCTCAGCACTGCAGAGGAACAATATTAGATAACATCAGAACATCTGACATTCGTTAGACAGTGAAAAATGCTTGTTTCCAACATGTTTACAGTATTGTACGGGATCAGCATTCAAGCTGCATACGTAGTCATCAGCATTACTACAAGTCCAGATTATTCTGAACTGAACAGTCTGCTGTATCTCAAGTAATTTAATATCAAGATGAATATACAGCTCAAACCACATCCTGTGAGGGTTTAGTTGTAATCCTCATGGTTTATAGGGTTTAGTGTTTGTTAATATTCTTTCAAAATCACTGCAAAAGAAAAATACTCTCACTTTAATGTAGAAATAAAATAAACTTCTACTTAAAAAGCCATATCTATGATCATTAGTTGGTCTATTGGCTCCACGTCTGTACTCTCTAAGTGCACTGTTCCCTCACATATCCTTCCACACACCTACAGACCATCTGGGTGTTAAATTAGCCTATTTCCCTCCAGCAGAGGATGGAAATCCATTATGTAAGGGATCAGAATAGGCTGTATTAGAGGCGATATGGCTGCTTGTCATGTCTCTCTCAGTGTGTGCAATAACGGGCTCCAGAAACATTATCTGTTGGGGACTATTTTTCATACGTTTGATAGTTAAGTTTAAGATCTGTCATCGAAATCTGACAATGACACTCTATATGAAGAAAAGATGTTCCCATCTTCTGACTGAATAAATGGCTAGGAAAATAAATCTCTAGGAGAGAACCCTCCCTGCATTATAACTCGTTAATGAAACTTACTCTTTTTCAAAGTTGCTTTTTACTGTCACAGTCTCAGTTGTGGTGACACTTGTTTTGCTGTAAAGACCAAAACACATCATTAGCTAATTAATCTTCATTATTATGTCCAATTTGATATGATGATACATTTCAGTTATGAAAATATCACCTGTCTTTGGTTGGGGAATCATCCTTGATAGACGAGAGGATGTGATCATTGAAAACCTTGTCCTCTGCACTGCAGAGAAATATGTTGGAGACGGCATTGATTAAAGATGTGGCATAAAATGACATCATCAGTGTAATTCTGTGATATGATGATGTCTTACTCCTTAGTAGTGCTGGTCACTGTAGTTGTTTTGGTGGGTGAGTAGGAAGAGTACTGCGCCCTGTGTGTGAAAGGATGGACAAATAAAAAGAGATGAGCATGTTATAGCTTCTGATAACAACATATGGAGACATTTTAGAAAGATATTTTTTAACATTACAAGGTGACAGTGAAAGGCACAAGTGTAAGAGGTAGTTAAAAGTTATATTTATTGAGATGCATTTTGTTCTAGACTGCTGTATAGTGGTGGGAAATTAAACATAATACGCGATGTAGTAATAAAATATATTACTGTATAAATATGTTGTTGATCGGCATGCCTAATTACATAATTTTAACTGTGTGTGATTGCAACTGAGAGATGAGAATCCCTGGAATGGTATTGTGTTATACTGCGGTTTTGTGTTGTTCCTAAATAAGATGTGCTATTACTTCTTTTGTCACAGTGTTTTAGTAGTTTTACCCTTTGCTTGATGACTTCACTCGCTCACTGAAGGTCTCAGTCTTGGTGGGCGATTTAAGGACAGGAGATCTAATATATATGCAAAGAAAAAGAACAGCCATTACAATGATATTCTGTGAAACAGTGACAAATTCTGCATTGGTGCGGCTGCATTCTGTACTTGAGGCTCTGGGTGGTGGTGATGGTGGTCTCAGTGGTGGTGCCGTTCTTGGTCACTGTGGTGGTTTTTGTGCTGTGGAAAAATAAATTCCGAATGAATTTACAGAAGACCTTGTGGCATTGTCCATGTTACTATGTTGCGGGCAGTTGTAAACCTTGTTTTTGGCTCCTCTGTGACTGTAGTGGTGGTCCTGTGGTGACGTGAAAAAAAGACATCGCTTTTAAAGCTTTCTTGCTGAATTTTTAACATGTAATTGGCAGAAATGGTACATACTTGATGGGATCATCTGTCTTCACACTAGAATATCTGTTGAAACAAAAAAGCAGATTTTCCAGCTGATTTTACACCCCCAAAATAAATTAAGCAAAAATCAGCAGATCATTTTAAACTAGCTCGGAAAAAGTACCGTTTGGTGTAAGATGACGTGGTCTTGCTGGAGGGGAGGGTGCTGTCAGGAGAAGAAAACAAAAAAATCACATGATTGCTTCATGAACGTGGCCAACACAGGACAGGCCAGTTGTCTGTCGAAAAGCTGGAATGTTGTACCAACCTGCTCCTCAGCTCATCCTGACTTCCACTGAACCTGCAGTTACAGAAAACCCAGTTATCTTTTATGTTCTTATCCCTTAAATCTACCCCCCCTTATACCCCTGAAAGGAAGAGAGAGATTTTGACCTTTTGGTGAGAGCCTGCACTGAACTTGTAGGTTTGGTGGTCTTCACCTCCTCTGGGCTCTTAGTACTGGAGAGAAAATGTGTTATCATTTATGTTAACAACATAAGAGTATGAATTATTCGAATATATATAAAATAAATACATTAAAAAAGAAATCCCTTACATACTGGTAATTTAAACTTATTTTTCTTTTATTTTTTACCTATCAAGAGTTTCGTTGGACTTGTACCGGCTTAACACTGATCTCCCAAAGTTTGGATCTCGGCTGTAAAGAGAAATACAAAAAAAAATCCAAAAACGAATTATGATTTCATGCAATCATTCAAGTGTAAGTGACTCAACACTTTGATCTTCATAGGAATGTAACATTTTCTTTTGTTAGAGGACCGCAAGCAGTCACACCCAGTTGCTCAGCTAAAGTGCGTGTTTGCGTTTCATACTCGACAGGTTCGTCCTCTTCCTCGTCTTTTCTGATCCAGCTGTTGTCCTTAAGCAGAGATGTTTTCTTCTTGCTATCGTCAATTGCCAGGCTGGGACTGGTGCTCTTATCTGTGAAACCAAGGCAAGCAGACGTTCGTTTTAACTCATATATTCAGACGATTCATGAACTTTTTGAATAAATTTAAAACTTTACATAATGCTCCTTTATCATATTACACATTAATGATAAGATAGCTTTGTTTCAATAGGAAAATGTTTGTGTGAAAAGACAAGTACTACTTAGCGTAAAGAACCTGTTGACTATGCACCCTTTTTCCAAAATAAGATTTGTGAGACTCAATTATTAACTTATCTTTAAATATTTCCCTGCTTAGAGAGTTGATTTCATTTGATTATTAATTATATCTAATTTATTTCACGCATTAATCTTGTACTGGTTGAATTTGTTTGAAGAGCTATGACTCTTACTCAGTCAGGTGAAAGGCAGCTTAGGTAGTATTTATATGTCGGCCGAAAATATGATAAATATTGTTTACAAACTTGTGCATACTGTGAGTATGTTCCATTTAAATCAAACCCATGTGAACAGAATGCAATGATTGTATCTTGTATCTGTATATTGCATTTTTTATTCATAAGCAGATATTTGTTAATACTTACAGGTTTGTCCTGAATACCTGCTCATTTTGGAACTTCACCTGAAAGTGAACAGGAGAACAAAATGCATCACATAAATGAAACACTAGGTGTCACTGCAGACAGGGACTATTGGCAGTGCCAGCTCTTTCTTTAAATATTCACCTGATTCTAAAAAATAACAGGCAAAACTGGAAAGAAATGAAGACAGAGGTTTTCTTAAATCCTATCAAATGCCTGGTACTTCTCATTATTGTGCCCTTTCTTCAGTTCTTCAGCTTGTCTTGTCTGGAGGTTGTTTTGTGAGCTGGATGGGTTTGTCAGTATACTTTAATTACAGTAGGTGAAGCTGTGGTCAACCCCCTGACTCAACTATTAAGCCCTAAACAGGTTATTCTTGATCTGTACCCATATGCAGACACACCCACCCACTGCAGCACACCTTTCCCAAACACACTATTGTCAGCAAAACAGAGGGGCATACAGTAACATGCCATTGGCTATTGATAATAAAGATTAGACCCTATTGACTACATAACCGTTACAAAACAAACAATGTCACATCAAAAGCTGAAGTCATATATACAGAAAAGTGTGAATTAAAGATGTCTGTTCATTCACAAAGTATGAATTTAATGTTTTGCGCTGAGTTAGCTCTAAATGTTTTTTCCCCCCCACAGCTTTGGTGTGTACTTAACCACCTACACAACTTAAATCAGTGGTGTCCTGTAGCTGACATGCAGCAGGATTGTGCAACAATAACCTGTCCAACGACAGAAATCAGTTCTTCATCGCACATGTAATATTTGAAAAATGTTCTGCTGATAATGACCTGAAACACACCAAATCTACTCTCCGATCAAAAGTATGGCAGCATGGCTTTGAGACTCTCACAAAGCAGTATTTAATGCTTCACCTTACAGTTAAAACAACAACTTTTTGTTCATTTCAGTTGTTAGATTTGCACTGTTTGTAATCTATGTTCACAGCAGGAGTTGAGCTCCCTTTAGGCTTCAGTGTAATACCTTGGGAAGGAACTCTTAACAAGTCTTTAAGCATATGTTTATGTTATGTCCCTGTCCTCCAGGAATTCCAAAATCTGTAAGGCACACGTTCACCCATTTCACAGAAGGTATGATGAATACTTTCAGGAAAAAAACAGCAATGTCAGTGACATTATGCGTCTCCGATGTTTTTTGTAATTATTTATCAGCCCCTTAAAGCAAATCTTTCCGTCTCTAACTGTGGCAAACATATATGTATTAAATGAGCTTGTCTTTTATCAAAAACTTGATTTAAAACGTCAATCAAGTCCCAGTAATGTACAGCACTGAAACAAACACAAGGTTGAAATTCCATTGAATCGATATTTTGTAGCAGTCATTAAACTGTTCACACACGATGGAAAGAAGAATTAAAATTGGACAGAAACATACTGTAAACCTCGGATTCTGATTTTTACGAGAAGCTGTTGAAATGATAAAGCAGCTAATTATTTACCTTGACTCTGTCCACTCACTCTGATCAATTTTGACACATGCAATATAAAAACGAGTGAGAGATTGTCTACGTACCTCCACTGAAGGCTCTTCGGCTCGCTATAAAACACTTTAATTCCGAGTTGTCTTCAGGTCGTTACACCTGTCTGTCACGTCGCGCTGTGGAGTCACACCCGTGTCACTCTTGGGTTTTAAACCGCAGGGGAAACCACCCAAGGGAGTGGCTTCGCATGGGAATAAAAAAAATAGCACTGTCCCTGTCACTCTGGATGTTTCTGTCTCCATCGCCACCAATTCAGCTGGACGAAATAGTTTCTGCTTGTAAGCTACAAAAAAGAGAACTGGGTGGAGTGTTGAAGATTGTTGAAGGACCTGCAATTCAGCTTGGGTGATGTGAAGCAGACCTAAACAATGGGTGTTAGAACATGTCTAACCATTAGAGTCCTGGAATTCAAAAACATAATTCAGACACAGACACTATTAAAGATGATACAATTACTCTCATAACACATTAGATCCCCCTCAAATGTGTCGCTTCTTCAACTGTGTGTCAGTATGATGTTGGTGTTTTACTTATTCCAACGGACAGCACACTTTGTACTTTGCACCAGCATTTCAAAGCTGATAAAAGCTTTGGAGCTCTAGTCTACCTTGTTTTCTGATATTATCTGAGTAAAATATTTAAAAAATGAATAGATACATTTAAAAAATCTATCTAACAAATAGCAGTCCTAAGTAGTACCTACCCAATTTAGTCTCAAAGAATGGGCCAAAAGGACTTGTAAAAGTCAAGATCCCTGACAGTGAGAGGCAAATGTAGTTTTATGGCATTTATTATAATGTTTTACAACATTATGTAAACACATTTAGAAGTTGAAATCATCAGGAGTGCGCATACAAGTGTTGTGACGTATCTATTTCCTGTTTGGCGTCAGGTTGTGAGGGAGTTGTTACCAGGAGTGGCGTGTTCTGAGTGATCAGAGGTATGAAAGGTGCATAGCACACAGGGGTGTGACAGAATAGTACTGATAAGCGTGCCCCACCTAGTCAGACAGTATGGAAGGAATGCAGACTGCCCTGCAATGACTTAACAGCAAAAGTGAGCATCCATAGGAAAAAATTAACCATGACTATAAGGTTCACGCACAGTCAAGTCTCAATGGAAAACATTATTAATTTTTTTTGACTGAAATTTAAGCTTGAAATTGTGCGTGCTTTAACATTTTTTTTTTTTTTTACAGAATCTAAGCTCTACAAGGAAATATTTTTTGGCTTTGACAATTAACTGGTGTTCTTTATGGAAGTTCAAATTTGAGACACTGACCAACACTAGGTGGTGCAAGAGCTATAATCTTTGAAAGTATGAATCAATTAAAATAGAGAAACACAAGTGTTCAAATTCAATGTTCAACATTCTACTATCTGACAGTGGGAAAGGCAGAAATGAAGAGATCTTGTTCTGCTGTGCGGACTGGGAGATAGCAATAAGGGTAAAAACAAAGATGAACAAATAAGTGCATAACGCCAGGGTGACAGCATTTAGTGGACCAAATCCCACTGTCCAGCCAAACATTTTACCCCTGAAAGGCTAAAAACCCGGAAGGTCTTTTACTGAGATGATACTGATCTGTGGATTACTATTTGAGAGATTTTGGTTAGGTTTAAACAGAAAATGTGCACCTTTAACAATAATGGTATTATTTAGTTGATTATGTCATGGCAGATCAGTATTTAGAAACTATAAAACCATTGCATTTAGTCCAGAGTTACACAAAAAGGGATCCTGACCAATGCTCTTTACGAAACTAAACATAAATCCAGATGCAGGCATGTCAGATAATTGGCTGCCATGAACGCCTTTAAATAGAATGTCAAAGGTAGAACACGTTTGAATGGCTTTTAGCTGACTTTTTAAGCTGGTTTTCAAAGTGCTGATGGTGCTGCGGGGCCTTGCATCGCCGAGCAGGCCATTCCATTGATTTGTGACTGGTTAGGAAGGCCAATTGCTTCACAAGAGTACCACAAAGCAGCCTAATACGGCTGTGTTTGAAAGGACAATTTGGAGTGTCACGAGGGGAAGTGGCTCTTGGGTAGCATCTATCACAGCTCCGCTTAAAGTAACGGTTTAATAACCTTTGCAATAAAAGCCATGATTTATTTATTTCATGAGTAACACCTGTATTGTTTTATTTGTCACAAATGTGACAAGACGCTGGCACATGTGAATTACCACTTTACCACAAGGGAAGTCTTGTTGAAAAATGCTTCACAAATGATTCACTTTTATGTGTATAATATGTTTACGTGGAGTCCACATTTTTTGGACAACCCCGGATATTGTTCTAAACATTTTGTTCTGCTTCACATTCTCCATTTAGATGCCTCGATATTTTTGTTCAAAAATGTTAAACTGTCACATATAAAACCCTTACCCAGATTTCCATAAAAAAATGTCTGTATCACAGAGACTAACATGACTGTAGTCATAGTGTAGGATTTCAATAACTGGGTTTCTCATTAGCCATATGATCAAAAAGAACCAAATACAACTTGCCTGTAGACTGTAAAGCAAACACATTGTAGTCCAACGGATATTTTAGAAGTTCATGTATTAAACACATTTGAAAAAAGATAAAGTGGCTATTATAAGACACATGAAAAAGTGTGCCCTGTATGCTGCTCAATAAGCAATTATAAAACCAGGAAATAAAAAGGTTTTCAATAAAACTAACCAGCCGATCCCTGTTTAAAAAAAAAAAGAAGATCATGTTCTAAAATTAAAATGACATTTTACCTTGTTGGGCCAATGATGACAGTGACAAGCCATGACAACGTCAAATTGCAAATATTCGGAGAGCAAGGCTGAACATGTAGGATTCCAATCAAACTTTTTAACGAGGCCTAAGTCCTGGATGTGTGCATGTTGGCTGGCTTTCATTCCTGACAGTTCTGATCATGTTTATTGTCTAAACTGTCGGATCATCTTGACCTAGAAACCCCCCCCTCTATACATGTGCTGCAAGAGCTGAAAGCCAATTTGGAGCTAAACAAGGAGCCTCTGGACAAGACTCTGTCTTCACGTTACATAATACAGTCCCAAATAATTCTCCAAAGGCTCAACCCATGATTTTTAACAACAGTGATACCTTCTGGCCCTCTGATGCTGAGCACGATAATCTCTGACTGCATCCTGGGTTGCTATGAAGACACTGTAGAGCGATCCGTGTCTTGTCATTGGGCCATTGCAATGCCATTGCAGCCAATAAAGCACCACAAGAGTCTGTATACATTATTGTTTCTCCCTCTTCAGCCCAATAAATGTAAAAGCACATCTGCGCATGTACATTTATGCCACCTTTTTTCAAAAGATTGCTGACTTCCATTTGAAAGCAGGGCGATTGAGCAGAATGATGTACTCACCATGAATTTCATAGACGTCAAACATGACACCGTATGTCATGTATCTTGCATTTCTGGACGACAGGTTTTGCCTGCACCTGGTTTTTTCTATTGCACCTGTTCACCTTGGAATGCTTTGGCCTTTGCTGACATTTAAACCGATATTACTCAACCTCTTCTCTGCTGTACGTCTGCTCCTCTCGCACCTTTGTCATCCAATCCGATGATGAAAACGCAAACCTGTCGACACAACCTGCAATTCCAAATAAACGTGCAATTGGATTTTCAGGCAGGATGATGCATATAAATAATTTCCCTCTGGGATTATTAAAGTATTTCTGATTCTGATTCTGATTCTGATAACAATTGCTTTTGGGTAAGAGTATGAGGGGTGAAAACCACAAAAAGGAGAAGTAAAGATGATCACTGTCTCCTTGAACAGTCTTCGGCTGACTTAGGAGGAAACGTCTGCCTTCAATTCAATTGTCACCAGTGAAGCGTGCGCAGACACTCAAAGATCCTGTTCGTGGCTAAGTGGATTATAAATAGTGTGGCATATGAAATCACACTTTGACTTGCACTATTTTTGGTTGATAGGAGTCTGGTTGAGCTCAGATGGGTCCCAGCTCTCCTGGACCATTGGAATAAACAACATAGTTGTATCTCTTATGGATATGAATATGGCATTTTGTCTTTTTCGGCCTCTTTGTAGCTATTCTTTGTCCCCCTTGTGGTAAAGTGTTCACCTTACAAAACTTCTGAATACATTTTTAATACCTAGCTTACATTTTATTGATATATTTCTCGTATACAACCAAGGCCCCTCTTGACTCCTGGTGACGAACTGGGAGGGCCCTAACTGTATGACTAAATTAAATGCCACGGTTCCATGTGCATAATGAAAAAAAAAAAAAGCTAACAATGGGGGGGTGGGGGTAATTTGTTGTCTCCCATCTTCACAAATGACGCTTTGTCGTTGATAACGTTATCATGTTCAAAACGGTCCGGGCAGAGGGGTAATTGATTAGAGAAGTCAATGACAACATCACCGGGTTTAGTCGTATGAAAATATCCCGGCATGCTAGCGACGCAAGACTCTGCCTGGGAGGGGAGGAGGGATGATGGAGCTAAGATGGCAGCCTTATTGAGGGTGCTGCCTCCTCGGGGTCAAGAAATATTCGAGGAAATAATGAAAGCGAAACACAGCATTTCTGATTACGACGGGTGCCTCGCGTGCACCTCTACGTGATTTGTTTTTCGTCCCGTCCCGACAGCGCGCGCACGCTCGCTCGCGGGAGGCAAACATCGTGCCGTGGTCGGCTCGAATCGGAAGACCACAGCTGCACCCTGAGACCGGCCACAGTTTTTTGCGTGTTCTAAGAAACCGAGCGCCGCGGATGCTATTTGTGGTATTTCTCCAGCTCGGAGCGGACTAATGATGTGACCTGAGGGGGGGTGGGTTGGGAAAGAGGGGGGATTCGATGACGAGTGGACTCTATCCGATGGCCAGATATTATTTGGCTGCGATATCCCGTGTGTGATATATGCATTGTTCTGCAAAACGATGATGTGCGCTGCTGCGGCAGCGGCCGCCGGTGGAGGGATTCTGCCCTCCTTGTCGCCGTCGATGGGGCTGGGTGTCAGGGTCATTTCTGGAGCAGGGGCCGATCTTTCTACCGTCGGTTCGGGAATGGGTTCTTGCCAGCTGCCCGGGGTCCAGTCGGATTGTCGGACTCGGTACCAGCTTTTACTCTCAGGACGAGCCCTTGCGGAAAGATACAGACGGATTTATACTACCGCCATCAACGACAAAGAGCAAGGGATAAATCAAGGAAGGTGAGTGGTTAACGTGAAAAATACAAGATACAAGAGGCTTCTGTTGTCATTTGCAGAGCTAGCTGGGCTAACGACCCACTGCTAACATTAACCCTTGCGTAGCGGTACGCTAACAGCAGCGAGCTAGCATTCATGCAGTTTAATTTATTTGGAGAGACCATATTGATAAGTCTGGCCTGTCTTAACTTGCATTGCGTTACGTGCAAACAAATGTGCCAGGAACTCAATAATTAGCTTAAGGGGTTTGATCACTAGGTAGCAATTTGGCTCTGACTTCCTTAGCTTGTGGGAGCAGTCCCTGCTAACGTTACGGTGGTTCAGCCTTCTGCGAGTGATTTCACTCGGGGTGCTCTGGAGACTGTATTTTGTGTTAGGGAAACAGAAACACAAGACCAATTCAGATAAGGGGCATTTGACTAACCAGCTGCAATGGGGAGAAATTAAATCTTAAGGGGCTAAAACGAGCTAGCTGGCTAACTGTCATTACACTAGTTGTCAGTTTGTTGGAAGTAGTGGGTGCCACCCAGCTACACGTAAACTCACGCTCCTCCTGTTTTACGTGTTTATGTGCTGGGTATCATTTAAAAACTTTCACTTCTATACCCGACAGCCTGTTTTTATGTCACTCGGTCGTCCAGTACAGCACCGAGTGTGTGTTTAGGCCCAACGGCGTCACTGTTAGCCCGCTAACGTTGACAATCGTTCGGCTCTATCCCAGGTTATATCAACACGAGCCCCCTCCCAAGAGCTACCAGCTGCCTTTTGGGGGGTAGCTGGACACCGACACGTTAAAACCACGACATACACCGATTTGTTTTTTCTACCCGGATAAATGTGAGGCATGTTTGGATGTGGAGGATGCGCTGGGAGATGGATGAACTCATTTGCTTTCCTGGCATAAGCGGGCGATACAGTTACGTCATTGTAGTCAGTTTGGTTTCTCTGTGTGTGGCAGGACTGTGGCGCCCGCTGTCAAAAAGCCAGTTGTAGTGACAGCTGTAGCACCACGAATCTGTTTTCCTAGAGGAATTACCTGTGAACGGTCGCTTTGAAACTGAAGTAAAAAGTTGAGCCATCACCCTGACTTTTGCACCCCTAAAACCCGTATTATTCTCGCTGTCAGCAGCCACTATTCACCAGAGACAGGCACCCCTTTAGGCGTGTTTGTGTTCCTGCCTGACAGATTGCAATCGGTTAACTTTAAGTTGTGCCCCTTGAATAGTCACTGTTGGTAAACACAATATTCAGACTCAGCCCCTCATGCACATACTCAGGCAGGGTTGGTTGGGGGGGTGGATGCAGGGCGCTGTGTCAGCTGTAGTAATGAGAGAGTTTGGGACCAGATGAGGAGAGGCAGCAGTTGTGAAAACAAGACAAGCGAATCAGAGCGGTAAACGATTACCCTCTGATTATTGATGGAGGTATTAGCCCAATTAAATTGTGCAATACAGATAATGTGTCTTTGTACCAATAAAAAGCGGCTGACAGTATAGCGTTGGCAGATTTTGAACAGAAAGTTCATGGAACACACATAGACACACATCGGAACTTGGATTAGTGGTGGTTGGATTGTCAAAAGCATCGTGGCGATTTTTCTTACGCATTTCTCCTACCACCATTCCTTAACCTAATAATGTTGTCAATGAGGTCAAAGAAAAGGCAGTAGGTGGTACTTTTACCAGTCAGGTGCGACCTGCTAGTGGAGGTTACTGTAATCAGAGCTGCTGCCAATGCAGAAAGGCGGTTTTTCACAACCCCAGCGACTTATTTACCTAACTATGCTGTACTTTAGACCTTAATAGAGGTGTCAGACAGAGGGCTGAAGAAACTTAGTTCCTTGGGGAAAACAAATAACTGTATTGGGTAGTGTGGGTAAAAGTATATTTTGAGCTACAAATGTCTCCAAATCCCAAATGTTTGCCTGACACTTTGATCTATCTGTGCCTTTGTATGAGTTATTAGGGCTTTAGTATGAGTTTAGTGCACCCGGGTTGTTATATCTGTTGTAAAAAACTACGGAGTGCAAACTTTAAAAGTGTAAACTGGTTCGTTTCAATAGCGGTTAGAAAAAAAAAAGGGAAGTGAAACGGCCTTGTACAGATTGTTTTATATTCAAAGAAACACAGAGAATAAAATCCAGCTTAACTTCCTCTGTGCTTTAAACTGTTTTCCTGTAAGTTGTTTTGTGATGGTGTCTATTTTAATGTCTATTTTACGTATATGAGCTGATATAACTGTGATTATAACTGTGTGCTTCCAGGGGAAAGAAGGCTTTAAGTAAGAAGAAGCTGAAAAGACGGCAGAAAGTCAAGTCAAAAGTCAAATCAAGAACCAAGGTAAGGAATTCTTTGCTACTGTGTCCTGCTTTTTTCATTGTTAAACTCAACTTGATGCCACAGAGGCTTCATATATATGTATTTTACCTTTTATGATATTAATCAACCTTTGTCTGTAGTGTTGATTTATATAGAAAGCTGTGTTAGAGGAACATAACTGCAAATAACTTACCAAATATTTCAGAAATATGAGGGGTGTGTACATGAGGTACTATGTGTATTTCCCTGAAACTGATGAAAAGTTGACTGACAGTTTTAATTTACAACGGCCCAACCCCTCGTGCGCATGGTGATAAATTCTTACATGTGCTCCGACTCTGCTGAATGGGCCGAAGAGATTGATGGCAAGATTAAAGATGAGGTTTGGATTCTCTGCAGTCTTGAGGGTGTTTGACAGAGCCATTATTTATCCTCGCTGGTCAGTTGCCAGTAAGCCCATCCGAACATAAAGCCGGAGAGGTGGAGAGGCTGAATGTGAAACACACGGGGAGTGGCTCTGACTTGTGCATGATGGCCTGTTGCCGAGCGACCTGATGTGTTCCACATCTCCACGGCAACGGTTGCCTGCCTCCATCTCCTGCATCCAGAGCGAGAGCCGGGCCGGCATCAGAGGATTTGTTTCCCTCATATTTATACTTTTCATGGTCTACACGTGTTCTGTTGTTGACTCCTAAATTCTTAGAATAAAAATATTTAAACATTTTAACAATCCAATCTATATAAGCAAAGTCTCAAGTGTTTGTTGACTGTATTAGGTTTTATTTAATTAGTCATATATATATATATATATATATAGATATATATATATATAGATATATATTTATTTGATTGGGACCATTTTGGAGATGGATGCTGTAGAGATTTATGCAAGAGAGAGTGGGCTAGTCATTAAAGTTCTCCAGTGAGTTCATGTCTTTGAGCATTGTAAAGTAGATGGAAAAGCGAGGCTCAGCCTGGGCCGGCTGGCATGAAAAGATGGGTTGTTGTTCCACTGGCAGTCATGTTGTATTTGTGCGTCTCGCGCTCACCCTTGCTGTGTCAAGCCTTTTAGACTGCTATCATCAGACTGAAGGGAGGTTTGAAAGCTCCTCTTCTGTCCTCTTTGCCAGCCACTGTGTTTAAACATGAAAGTAGGATGAGAACAAAAGACAGCCTAAACACTCATGATCCTTATGAGGAGGATGATGTAACGTCTTATTTTTAGGCAGAAGCTCGATCTGTTTTCTTTGAAAAAGTGTAATATTTAAATGTATTACCGCATAATTAGGATTTGCAAGGAAAATTTCCAATAAATCTTGTAATCAAATAAATTCTTGTAATATTTTTAGAAAACAGCAGCGTTTAGCTTGGGATACCAAAGTGGATTGGCAAACAGTAAGTCATTAAATCTGCGGGCAGCACACTGTGAAACCAAGGTCCTCACTGCTTTGCATTGTGGAAACCCCCTGTACACACAAAAAAAAGCAACATCTGGTCACATGTACTTATTTTGTCTTGCAGGGAGCTCAATATCACCAGAGGATTACATTTCTCTTCTTGATCAGAATGTTTTTTAGCAAATTATTGCCAGCCTTGCTTTGGTGATTATTAAAAAAAAAAAAAAAAAGTTTGTGAATGAGCAGCTTTAAACTTTCACTTGAGTTTTGATAAAAAGAATAAAAAAAAGCTTTGTTAAACTTGAAGGTCCTTGTAATTGAGGTTAATTAATGTCCCCTTTGCTAACGTTAGCTCAGTGCTAACATAGTTGTTCAGAGACACATTTAGTCTTTGACTGACCTTAAGATGTCAAACTAGCTCGAGTCTGCAAGTTGCTGCCTGTTAAAATGAATTTTTTTAGACCTAATAGAATATAATGAGGAAATGAACCAGCATTGAAGTAAAATCCAATCAGAGTTGCTAGCAGCTTCTGTTTGTGTCGATCAAGGTATTACACTCAAGTCAAATCTAGGCATGTCTCTCTAAAAGATGAAGAGTGTTATTGTATATGCCCTTTTGGGAAAAATAATATATACCATTAATGAGTTTTGACTTGTTCTCCATGTTGGAACCCCCTTAAATGAAAGGGACTCCTAGTTTTGCTATTCAAACATGTTTAAGTACAAGCTTTTTTGGTAAAGCCAGTATGTGGTGAAATCACCGGGGAAAAGCAGATGCAAAAAAACATAGCATGAGCAGTGTGTTTTGGGCCATTAGTCATTCAGAAAGCCAGGCGAAGACCTTAAAACAGCAGATAGCTCTATCTGCCCTCTCTGTGGCGTCCCAGCCAAAAAGTGCCTCTGAGACATCTATTTTTGATGGTTGTTAGGTCAGAGCCACTGTTCTCCCCACTGGTTTAGGCTGATAATGAATGACCTCTCTCCCCAAATAGATGACATCACCGTCTGATTGTGATGCCGAAAGCACAACACAGCCTCAGGGGCTCCATCGATCGATGCGATCCTCCCGACGTTGTCACAGGACCGGAGTCAGAATACCTCACTTTGTGGGATTAGAACGCTGATCAATGAGTTAGTTTGTCAGGTTTCCTAGGGGGCCTTAGCTTGTCTGATAATTGGACCTATTTGGGTTGAGGTGCACAAGTTTTGCCTTACTTCTACCAGGCCAAGAATGAGCTCATTCACAGTGATTGTGGAGTCAAATCGGCGGAAATGCCAGTAGAGATGCTGTGAGCAGTTTTAATAGCTTATATTTCTTTTTATTTGCAATACGCTCGTTGTCAAGTCTTGTTTTCCTTCGACTGGTGAACTACAGAGAGGCAGCAGAAGGTCAACACCATCTGTAATATTTTCTTTTTTTGAAGTGCGCTTTTTTCCCACTGTTGTCTCCTAAACTTGTCGTTTTTTCTCTTGTCAATGTTTTTTCACATCCGCCGCACGTTGGAGAATTTTGAACCGGCAAACATCTGTAACATTCTTTGTGAACATACTGCACAGGCTGCTCAGATGAATACGTCCTGGCTCCGGAGGGTAATATAGAGCCTAATGAAGGGTCTTCATGCTGTTTACGTTAGCCGATCTGTCTAACGATGGGCAAGATCAGTTCAAATTAGAGGGATTGGTGAAACTATGGAACAAATTCTTACCCATTTTTTCTTTAGTTTTTTTGTTGTTGTTGTTGTTGTTGGAGCACAAGATTGATGGGAGATTTATCGGTTAAAATGTGATTGTGATACCAAATATCATGGGTACAGAACGCATGGGTCCTGTTTCTACAGCAGCTCAGACTACAGAAGCCACAGTGTTTTTAGTAACCACCGCAGTTTATTTTGCGTGCTCTGAAGAAGTGGAGGAGGCAGGTGGTAATCAGCTGGTTAGACAGTTTATTTTTATAAGTCAATTTTGGGGTTAGTGTATTTTTAGCCAAGTGCACACAAATATGCGCTGTTTATTTCTGTCTATCTATACTAGGCTAGAGGATAATGGTTGAAGAAATAGTATAAAGACTGTATTAAACAGAGGTTTAAGCCTTCCGCCTCATCATTCTGATTGGATTGTGTGTATAATTAGACCTAAAGTAAAATTTAAAGAACATCTTATGTGTCATTTGGTTCCTTTGGGGAGCTCTAGGATGAAAAATCTGGTTACGGTGGAAAGCAGGGATGTGGTTTGATGAGCTAATAAAATCTGTGGGTGTGCATGACATAACTTCAGTATCCACTATCCACATGAGCTGTAAACAGTTTAGACATGTGAATCACAGCTAATTAATTGTCTTTGCTTCCGCGTGATACGGGGGACACAACCAAAACAAAACATGGAGCATTTTTTCTCATCTGTGGTTATTAACTCGACTCCCCCCTTGCCTCCCCCTCTCCCACAGGCCGAGAGCCTGGATGGAGTCCTGTGTGTGCCTGACATCAAGCTCCACAGCAACCCCTCGGCGTTCAACGTCTACTGCAACGTGCGGCACTGTGTGCTGGACTGGCAGCAGAGGGAGGCCTCCCTCACACTGGCCTCCCGGAGCTCTGCGCAGAGCGGCGACTCAGACAGCGAGGAGGAGGAAGAGTACCGCGAGCCAGCCGTGAAGCTGCCAAAGGTAGGAGCAAAGAGCCGCGCTGGCCACTTATCCGGCCCCCAGTGCGCGTAGTGCGATGCCGAGAACCAAGCCGTTACCCCACGGAGTCTTTCCACTAACCCACCAGGGCTCACCCTATTTTAAAATTTACTGTTAGAACTACAATTTCCTCACCAAATTTTATCACGCCGACCCTGTGAGAGTCTTTCCTCTATGTGCCTTCAAATGAATCCATTTAACTCACTGCTTCAGCCGTCACTCTTTATAATAATGGTACGCTACACCTGGGAACACATTTTAAAATGACTGTAATTATTTCTGATTATGTTTTAAAAAGTGACATTATTCAGGAATCTCAATTAGAAAATACAGCTTCAGATGAGCCTTTAATAATATTATCAGTTTAGATCATCATACTGGCATGTTGATTTCTTTCTTGATAGCATAAAACTGAGAGAACAAAAACAAACATTAACTCAGAACAAACCCTGCTTGGACTTTTACAAATAAATGAAAAGCTTTAAAGGGATGCCGGAGCTAGTTTTTCTAGGTATCAACACAAATCACATTTTAAAAGAGCATGTTGTTTGTTGCTCTTCCCAGTCTCTCATGCAGTCTGTCTTAGAGCATTAAAGCAAACCTTTGACTTCTGAAATTGTAAAGGCATTGCTTGGAGGTGGCGTGCGTGGGCGCAAATGTCATAATGGGTTGGAGTGGTCAGTGTTGGTGCTTAACTCTGCTCCACAGGGTAAAGTTTGCTTTGCGTTCCTGGGGCAGAGTGCGCGCCCGCCGCACGTCCGCCACGCGACCGGCAAACGCCTCTACAATACTGAGGAAGAAGAGAGGGCCAGGGTTAATGCCCAAGTAGAGAAAAAAGGCTCGCTATAACCAAATTGGAAAGCTCCTATGTGACCTTAACACGTGCTTGCTTTCCACAGGCAGCACTCCTTCCCTAAACCAGATTAAGTATTTTCAGTGATTGGATTGGAAGGCCTGGGCTGGTCTGTCCTCATAGCTGCTTTCTCCACCCTTAAATAGAATAAGTGTTTTGGAGGGAAAAGAATTAACGGGGGGAAAAAAAAGTCTCAGGCATAATTGTGTGCATTACAAGTATGAAAACAGCTCTGGAAGATGAGCTCTGTAATACAGCATATTCTTACTGCTCATCCTGGTTGACTGGTAACTTTTTACAAAAGGGTAGATATCATTATGGAGGATCATCATCTTCTTTGAGGCGAACCCAATAAGCTTTTGATGATATGCCATGTTTGTGGATTTAGTTCGAAACGCTTTTTAAACAGCTGTTGCCGGGGAACCACGTGTTGGCTACTGTTGTTCCTTTGCCTGCCCGCGTTTCAAAAAAGGCAACGCTAATGTCACAAGCTTAGACATCAGACTGCCTGTAACGCATTCCGACTTTCACATGGCCATTATCTCCATGCGTTGCGTCCCTTTCTCACCTACTCAGCCCTGCTCCACTTGAGTCTACTCATTTTTGGCCGAGTACCACTACAGTGTGGGCGTGGCTGTCACGACAAAGTGGCCCCAAAGTCCTGTGATGTAACAGGCGTGAGACACAAACACGACACAGCAATGGAGGGTATTGGGATTGGGATATTTACATTTGCTTTCATGCATTTAACAGACGTTTTTATCCAAAGAGACTGATAATTATATTGAAGAATGAAGTCTCCAGTGGATTTTAAAGACAGATTTACCATAAACAATTCTAACTTCAGGAGTCCTCTTGAGAGAAAATCCAGATCTTTAAGCAGGAGCGAGTTGAGAAACATAAGTTTATTTAGTGTTCAGTTTGTTATGAGGGGATTTATCTCTGGAAATTTTTTATTCAAAAGCTTCAAACATACAGTAGCACCCCATGTCCTAATTCTTTTAAATTTATTTTTTGATAAATAATGAAAAAAGAACACGTTAAATTTCCTGCACTTTGCTGTTGGTTTTGGTGTGTCTGTTTCCCCCCGTTTCTGCTGGTAGAAATGATAATAATAATAATTGCATGGTTGCCGTTGCTGCCTTTTATAGAAAATATTTTTTGTTAAGGAGTCGCCGTCATGAGTCATCCAAACGCGTCACGCGGTGGCCAATCAGCAGTCAGTAGACGTCACGTCTCCTGCTTGACAAAAAATTTAATTTCTGCCAGGTGCCACTCCCAAATGGAAAATCCTAAAAGTTGAGTCTTTGTCTAATATGTACTGGCAGAAAAAGGGCCACGAGATCACAGATTGCAGATTTGATTGTTTCTCACAAAGATGTTCGCTTAGATAGGCACCTGCACAGAAGCATTAGTCGATTCAGCTGAGAGAGAGGGAGGACAGGGTTATTTTCTACACCTCCATTTGATGTTCTTCCTCACAAGGCTTGTTAAGTGAGGTATTTCTCAACTTGTTTATGTTCAACCCTGCTCCTGTGTGTGTCTGCAGATCGTGGGCATTGGCCTGTGCGGGGTTTTTGAGCTGATTAAGGAGACCCGGTTCTCTCATCCCTCACTGTGCCTACGTAGCCTTCAAGCCCTGCTGGAGATGCTGCAGGGCCAACAACCTGAAGGCTTTCAGACCGAGCCTCCTGATGTCCTAGGTAAAGTAGATAACGTCCCCAGACATTTGGGTGTTTGTGCGTTGTCCCGTTCAGACCAGTGCAAATAGCCCCTCAACAAGTTGTGGATTTAAAGCTTTTAGAATGCTCAATGTTTGTTTTTATCTTTATGAATTGCAGTCCTAGGATATTTAATCTTTTACAACCATGCAATCTCATTGTGATCGTTTTTTATTTTTTGGTCAGAGTCTCTTTTCCAGTTGTTGTTGGAAACCACGGTCCGGAGCACAGGGCCCAACGACCCGACGGGACAAACCATCACGGCCCTCTCCTGCGCCTGCCTCTTCAGCCTGGTGGTGGCCTGGGGAGACACGGGCAAAATCCTGCAGGCCGTCTCTGCCATTCTCACCAACAATGGCAGCCACGCCTGCCAGACAATACAGGTAGCCGTCTCACTTTCACTAATTAATTCTCCAAGTTGAGTGTCAAATTTTCTGTGATTCATTGATATGTTTTGTCTCATGGTGGGGGGAAGAAAAAAGTTAGAATAAGGTAGATTTGACTGCATTCTGTAAATTGCATTTGACATATTTCTTGTGGTAGAACAGGTGACCAGGTGCTCACCAGTTCAGATCTCTGTCTCCATCGAGACCTGTCCATCACCCTGGACAGGTCACCAGTCCATCATAGGGCCACACAGAGACCAACAACCACACACATTGACCCCTAGGGATTGTTCATTTGACCTGAAATGCAAGTTTTTGCCTCATAGGTAACAGATAAATTTAGCCTTCAACTTCCATGTGACCCTGATACTTGTCTAGTAAAACAAACGGCTTAAAATCATTTAAATTTCTGCTTTCCTTGGCTTCGTAACTTCTCATTTATTCAATTTAGTGGTTTCCTCCAGATGTGTATGATTTCTTTGGACAGGAAAGTGTTTTTTTTTTTTTTTTTTTTAAGGAATAAGCGATAACCTCCGGCTCATTCATTCATTTCTTCTGTGTGGAGGCTCAGGGCGGTGTCTGGACGGCCAGAATTGAGTTTTGGGAAATGTCATGCCGCTCTGACCCTCCCGTTTTATTATGTTACTACGACTGTATTCTTCCGCCAATTAGCTGATCTTCTGCTTACATCCGTCTCTCTGTCTTTCTAGGCTCTTCTTCCCTCTCTCTTAAATCAAAACATATCTTGGTGAATATTTGATGTCTTTAACACAGACTGTTTATTAGTAAAGGAGCTTCTTGAATAAGCGCAGGTTCAGTTATATTCTTCTGGCTACCCATCCTCTGCTGGATTTTGAGTCATCACAGTGGGAGTCAAGAGTTACGAAGAGCGCAAGCTTTCACACAAATGTCTGTGTATTTGCTTGGGTGAATGAAATGGAGTGAGATAGCAGGTGTGTGTATCTACTACCATAGAAATGATGTGACTGGATGTGAAAACGCTGACTGAAAGAATGTATAGAAAAGGATGTGTACCATTATAATGAGAGTCTGACTCAAATCAGCAGCACGGTGGCTCACCAAGGACTTCCCGTTATGGTGTGTAACAGCTTTAAAGATGAGCTCTGTTATGTCTCATCAGAGGTTTTCCTTTCCCGTCCTGTTGATATCAAACCAGGTCCCCACCATACTGAACGCACTACAGCGGAGCGTGCAGGCTGTCCTGGTGGGGAAAATCCAGATCCAGGATTGGTTCGGAAACGGCATCAAACGTGCTGCCCTGATGAACAAATGGTTCCTAAAAGAGGTGGCCATCGATGAAGATGAGCGCTGTCTTCTGCAAACCGATGGCTCCTTCCTCTACTTGCTCTGCAAGGATGGTCTCTACAAAGTTGGATCAGGATATAGCGGTACTGTCAGGGTACGTAAGCTGCTTGGTGTCTTTAGCCATGATTTATCCACCGTATACGATCAGAAACAGTGGAATTAAGTGTTATTTTGCAGGTTCAGAAATCTGTTTTAAAAAAAATAGCAAATGTATTGGGGTGATATGAATGTGCCAAGTAACACAGAATTTTATGAGTTGAGGCTTTATTCTAAAAAAGACTTGAAAAGCAGAAAACCTTAATTTTCCTTTAAAAAACTAACTCCTGATGACTATTGACGATAAAATGAACCATTGTTCTTTGTCTTTTAACAGCATAGGAAAGTACAGCAAAGCAAAATGTATCAATAGTAGAATAAATCAAAAGACAGAATACAAAAGATAGGAAAAAAGCCAGCCCAAGCAATAAAAAAAAAAAAAGAAAAAAAAGGGACACACAGCGTCAAATGGAGATCACAACAAACAGGTTTTAAACACAAAGAAAAGGCAATCTTTGAGTGCATTTTTGAAAAATCGGTGCACATTTAATCAAAGTCTCAACAGTCATGGTTTTCTAATGTGTACTCCATGTCTCAGGGTCACGTCTACAACTCCACCTCTCGAATTAGGAATCGAAAAGAGAAGAGGTCGTGGCTGGGCTTCGCGCAGGTAAGCAGTAGAAGTCCTGTTCACTTGAGAAACGTTCAGATTTGTTGAAGCTATGGTCCCTCTGGTTCTACCTGTGAAGCTAAAGCAGTTGTGTTTTGCGTTGCTTCCTTCTCAGGGGTACTTATTGTACCGGGACACAAGTAACCACAGTATGTCCGCCATCAAGATAAACCCAGAGACTCTGGAGCACGAGGGGGCGGTCACCATGCCAGGTGAGTGAAGGAGGAAGCAAACAAACGCCTTTATGGACTTTTATCTCCACATTCCTAACAGCAGTTGATTGAGTGCATACATTTACTCTCTTTGCAGGTCAACATTCTGATGGGCAGAACATCATCTTCACAGATGGAGAGTACATAAACCAGATCGCCGCCTGCAGAGATGTGAGTCCTTTGACTCTTGTTACTATAGCTCCTCTGTGGGACAGCGTTCCTGTTTTTAAAATGTATTTTAGTTTGAAATTAAATCCACATCACTCAGATGAAACCAATAGCAGCTGCAAACACTGCTAAGGAACTACTTTTGATGTGTTATGGAATTGGAGGGTTGTGGACTTTTGGGTGGGGGGTTTCTGAGTTGAATTTCACGAAAATCCTAATTTTCTTCATCGCCATGAACTAAATCAAAGAAGTTGAACTCGAGGGGAATTCAATCATTTCCCTTTTTTGTAGTAAAAAAGTAAGAGTAAAAGGCCTCTTTCCTTATCTGTCATTTCCCCTTCTGTCAGCGAGTGAGATGAGTGGTTCCTGTAGATTTGAAGACCCCGTCACTCCTTTACTTAAATTAGAACTCTGCTGATCACCAGCTGTGCAGTGGAGGGAAGGCGTGACTGTGAGAGTGTGTGTTGTATTTGAGGACAGCGGCGCCACATGTGGGCATTCTCTGGAGGGCTTAATCTCACAGGCAGTTATCTGCATAAGCACCCTGTAATGTGAGTGGGGGAGGGGAAGACCGGGAATCCGTGTTTCTGATGTCGCAGTGAGGCTTTCTCTAGGCTAATCAAGGGGGTGGGGTATGGTGGTGGAGGCATGGGGGGGGCGAGGGGGGGGGAGCCTTTAGAGGATGCATGCATTTTTAGTGAGCAGCTTACAGATGCAACCGCTGCACAAACCACTTACACTTACAGTTTAATGATCTGCTGGGCCCATGGACGCTTTGCTTGCATCATTTCCACACAGTGAAAACCCGACCCTCCATCCAGTTGTCTTACCAAGGCTTCCGTTTTTTCTCAGAATATTTTTTTTCCCCACTAAGAAATTTCCCATTTGCCCAGCTGTGGGAGGGGGGGTGACAGTTGTTTTTATTTTTTAGGATTGTAAACAGCACATGAGTAATGAGTGCACAGGCAGTGATAGGCTTTCTACCAGCCGGCTCTGTCTGTCACTGTGCCTGTCGATGTGCTGACTCAAATCAGCAGCAAGGCAGCCCACCGAGGACTTCCCGTTTTTGGTGTAGAACAGCCTCAAAGACGGGCTCCGCTATGTCTCATCAGAGGTTTTCCACTCTTGCAGGATGGTTTTGTGGTGCGGATCTATACCATGAGTTCTGACCCAGCCCTGCAGCAGGAACTGCAGCTGAAGCTGGCAAGGAAATGCCTGCACGCCTGTGGCATCTCTCTCTTTGACCTGGAGAAGGACCTGCACATTATCAGTAAGTGATGACGCCGTGCGTCCTGCAGGCTTGGGGGTAAAAAATAAAAAGGGCATAAGAATTATCTAGAACCCAGAAGAGTTTAAATTCAGATGTTTTTGGTTCTAAATCTTCTTGTTTTCTCCTCCCAGGCACGGGCTTTGACGAAGAGGCAGCACTACTTGGGGCAGGCAGGGAGTTTGCGCTGATGAAAACTGCCTCAGGAAAGGTGAGTGGTGGGTTGTCTGAAACGTTTAGCATTAATGAAGGTTAGAGCAGCCTCGACTGTGGAGCGTGAGCTTTTTCAAGCTAGTGTCAGACTGATCATTGTAAAGGGTGAAGGAATTTATTTCTGCATGTTTTCCCCCTTCACATAAATCTATATGTATACATTCCTAAAGTTTATTATAGTAAAGCCTAAGATTATGTGATTTATATGTTATTCAAATAACTTAAGGTCATCTTTCAGTGATGCTATTAGAATGTTCCGAGTTGTGAATCCTGCCCTTGTTAGCTGTTATGTGCACATTGTGGTCTTAAACCTTAGATAATCAGTTCGCCTCGCTCTGCAGTATGCCTTGCTAATAGTACTCAAACGGGTTACACCCAGGTTGACAGAACAGGGAAACTGTATGAGCTTTCTGTGTGTTTTTCTCTAAGAGAACAAGCTTTCAGAAGTTGATGATCGTTTTATTTGAAATTAAAGTCAAAATGTGTTAGATATCATAGTCAAATCATATTTAATATCATATAATGGACTTTTTTTTCTAGCTGAGCACCTTCAGCTTAATTGCTGAATCTTTATGGCTCAATGAAGTCACCCCTCTCTATGTTAAGATACAAAGTTTTGATAAGGGATGTTTTTTTTTCCCAGACTTGTAAAACGACAAGAATTTGAACTATGTATGTAGGTGGTTTGGCGAGACTTGGGAGGGTGGGGCCGTTTATGCCTCCAACATAGGTGTGGTGCGCTGTCTTTTGTAGATAGCAGTCCAGCGCTGTCGCCTCCAGCACATTTTAAGATCCTGCGAAAAGGCCAGACCTCTCGGCTCACTTTATCTGAAGGAAAATAAAGGAACAGCTGACGTGTGAATTAGGTCCAAAGTTTCCTCATCCCTAGGATGCAACAACATATCACATATATTATTCTATTGAAAGATGTTAGATATCCTGGGTGTATGGCTTCTTGGCAACTGTCTCTTCATATGTTTCCTTTAAAACAATATAATTTGACCTCTGCACCAGACTTTATGCATATAGATGGACTATAAAAAGGTCCTATAGGCGATACACAAGCTACAGTCAAAATGACAGCTCTGGATTGGTGCATCCAAATTTCTTTTTAGAAAAATAAGAGCATTGTTCCTGTTTTTCTCCAAGTAGCTCTAAAACATTTAGTCAAAACCTAATCTTTTCTTTCTTTTGGGGTGTCTCATCTTCTCTGTCATTAGATCTACTACACAGGAAAGTACCAGAGCCTGGGAATAAAACAGGGTGGCCCATCAGCAGGAAAATGGGTGGAACTGCCAATAACGAAGTCTCCCAAGATTGTCCAGTTCTCAGTCGGCCATGATGGTTCTCATGCCCTTCTAGTCGCCGAAGATGGAAGTGTGTTCTTCACAGGCTCCGCGAGCAAAGGGGAAGACGGGGAGTCCAGTAAGATGTTTTAAAGCTACCGGAAATTATCGAGAAACAAAAAGAAAAGCAACCAGTCATGCTGGATTCAGGCTTATTCAGATGAAAATTTGAAGTCATTGAGTGTTTTTCCCTTTTTCTTTTAGCAAAAAGCCGAAGACAGCCAAAGCCATACAAGCCGAAGAAGATGATCAAATTAGAGACCAAAACAGCTGTGTATACAGCATGCAACAACGGCAGCAGCAGCATTGTCACAAAGGACGGGGAGCTCTACATGTTTGGGAAAGATGCTATTTACAGCGACAGCACCTGTAAGTTAACAACGCTATTTTAAGGTGTCAGCCGGCAGGAGCATTTCTCAGATATTCCAGCATATGTCTGTGATATTCTGAGTCCCACTGGTGAAGATGAAAGGATCGCTAATCATGTTTTCTGTCCACAGGTCAGGTGACGGACCTCAAAGGTCACATTGTAACTCAGGTCGCCATGGGCAAGGCTCATACGTGCGTGCTCACCAAGAATGGTGAAGTGTGGACATTTGGAGTGAACAATAAGGGGCAGTGTGGAAGAGACACCGGATCTGTAAGCCAGGCAGGCAAAGGTGAGCGGATGGAGAGAAATGACTCAAATGCAGAATTTCATGACGCTTTACATCTCCCGGTCTGACCGTCCTCCTGTTTATTTGCGTCCGCCGCAGCGTTCGGCGTGGAGAGCATGGCCACGGCCATGGACGAGGACCTGGAGGACGAGCTGGAGGAGAAGGAAGAGAAAAGCATGATGTGCCAGCCAGGCATGCACAAGTGGAAGCTGGACCAGTGCATGGTCTGCACGGTGTGCGGGGACTGCACGGGCTACGGCGCCAGCTGCGTGAGCAGCGGACGCCCCGACAGAGTACCGGGAGGGTAAGCCACACCCACAGGACCGGGGATCAGTCTGGCCAGTTTAGTATCCGGGCAGCATTTGTGTTGACAATTAGAATTGTTAAAAATAAAAAATCTCCTGCATGTTATTTTGTCCCATAAATTTCTTGCTAAATTAACATGACATTTTCTTCCCTTTTCTGTGTTTGCGTCCGCTGATCAGTATCTGTGGTTGTGGGTCTGGAGAGTCTGGCTGCTCTGCATGTGGCTGCTGCAAGGCCTGTGCCAGGGAGCTTGACGGTCAGGAAGCCAGACAGAGAGGCATCTTTGACGCTGTGAAGGAGATGATCCCGCTGGACCTGCTGCTAGGTACCTGTTTCCCTTTATACCTTTCGACTGCAAGCCCCTATTTCAGTCTCGCACGTGCAACGGCAAATCTGTGGCATGTTAGGATCCAGGCAAACAAGCTCTTTTGCTTCATGTGTGTGTCACACTGCAAAGAGGTGGGTAAGGAGGAGTGTACAGATTTACCACTTCACTGGCCTCCCCCCCCCGCCTCACGATCACGAATGAAGACACGGCGTGTCCTGGAAAGCTCAGTGTCGTGTGGAACGCGCAGGTCTTAAATCAGAGTCGGCGGTTATATCGCCATGCTGGTCCTCAGAGGTTTTCGGAGCCTCAGCGACAATTTTGTTTTTCTGTTAAGCATCAGTTGTGGGCCTCGCATAATCTCCCCGGAGACCGGCTCGTCAGATAAAGATCCGTCCACGATTTGTCCAATGTTCAGCAGTTTTGATATAAAGCAAATTCAGCCTCATCGGAATGGGCTCGCCAACCCGGTGGCCATCACTCAAAGCCACGCTTGTAACCTGGCTGTTGCACCCTCACAAAAAATGTAGCCCTTCACCTTGCGTTTTTCTTTGTGCTCTGTCCCGAATACGGCTCACCCATTTCCGCTCAGTCACCACTCACATTGTTCACATCTCCTTTAAATCAAAGATCGGAGATAAGTAATATGCATGCCATCATCTCATAGAGAAGAAGCTGGATCTCAGAGCTCATAACAATAAAGTATTGTTCTGACCAGGTTTGAGCACAGGCAGTATGTCCCTCTAAGCTGTGCTCGTGCACCGTCTGTGTGAGACCCCCTCACTCTGTCTGTCGCGCTGGCTGAAACGCTGTATTTCCGGCACTTGTCGTGGCTCACCTTTTGTTCCAATACCCGCGCTGCGCAGAGTCACTGCTTCTCCATCATGTCCGTCCATCACTCATTGATGTGTGTCCTGTTCTGCTCTGCTCTGCTTCATCTCCCTCCTCCTCCTCCTCCTTCTCCCCCCTCCCCCCCATGCATCCTGTCCGGGCGGCCTGTACCTGCGGCCTTTTTATGTTTTCAGCTGTGCCTGTCCCTCCCCCCCCAGGAGTGAACATCGAGGAACACATTCAGATCCGTCAGGAGGAGAAACGTCAGAGGATCAACCGGCGGCATAGGTTGGAGGAGGGAAGAGGTACGGACCAGAACTAGACAGAATCAGCCAGGGGAAGATTTTGCTTTCATTCAGAGTTAGGAAATCTCCGTGGAATGCTGTGCAGCGTAGGCGCAGGGCTTGTGGCAGACAGGGTGGCTGTAATGCAGGGAGTGAAATTAGGGACATTATGTCCATCCTTTTTTACCGTCAGATACCTTCAGGTGCTGTATTGGCTTGAGTGCTGTGCCTCGGTGACTTCCCCCTTTTGCTTGTGCCAACATAATTTCTAAGTGTGCGTGGTGTGTCTGTATACGTATTTCTGTGGTGTAGTATTATCATGTGTTCTTTCCCATTTGTGAGCATTGTGCATGCATGTGAAAGTTTTTTTCTCCCCTAGGCCCCCTTGTTTTTCCCGGTCCCATTTTTATGAACCAGCGTGAGCAGGCCCTAGCCAGAATAAGACCCCTTCAGGCACTAAGGCATAAACGGGACAAGCACAAAGGTACTATGGTCTTCACTAACTCAGTGGGTGCGGAGACACCCCTTTGACTCATCTCCCAAAGTGGCTGTCCCGTCCACCTCTTCTTTCACTCTCTGAAGGCAGGATTCTTGTGTGTTCACCAGGTTTCACCTCAAAACACGGTCTCACTGCGACTCACAGTGGTAGATGGCAGGATTAAAGACTGCTTTCAACAGGCTGATGACCTTTTTTTCTTGTAATTTAATCCCCAATTCTGTTTCATTAAGTATGTTATCATTAGCACATAAGTTAAGTCAGCTTTCAACATCTGTTGTGATTCAATTCTTAGGTTAGACATTTCTAATCCTTGAGTGAAATGTCTGTTCTGCCTTTTTAAAAAAAATGTGTTTATTTAGTTGTGTAACTGAATTTGCCATCATGCAGATAGCAGTTTGTTAGTTCATAGATACTGCTGCTGCATGATAAGCAGGAGAAGTTTGGAGCACTGAGTAGACAGAAGGCGAGTCTGACAAAAGGAGGCAGGTGTTTTAAAATTATAGAAAAAAAAAACATATACAGTTACACATTTGGGTTATGATATAGTTTATGAGAATCGAATATGACAAGCTTCATGGCCATAATGGCTGCTTTTCAGGCACTCATAGAAAGTGTTACATCAATTTATGTAGTCTAAAGTTAAAATTAAGATTAAGAATTGGAATTTTGGTAACATTAAACTGCAATAAGGATCTCAAAACTCACCAGAAAATGTCATATCATCGTAAATGTTCCTGTGTTTTAAATGTTTTTTTATTTATTTGCCTGGTATGCAATTATAACAGAAAATGTGTGTTGGGGTCACATTCTCTGTACAAAAGCAGCTGCTGGTCATGGATTTTGTTCGGATTAGCAGCTTTGTCAGATCCTCTGCTGTTGCTGCTCTTTTTCTTTGATGAACATTCTGCAAACACAGGATTGTCGAGAACAGAAATGTTCATGTTTTAATGTCTGCTTTTGGTACAAAAGAGTGCACCAATGGTTTTAAGTTATCCTATTTTGCTGAAACCATTCCTACGGGTTTCTACAGAATTGTAAAGCCTGGGTATACAAGCATATCCTCTTGAGCATCCTTCCTTATGGTTCTACACTAATGAATGGGTGCTCCCCATTCCCCTTCTGGGAATAGGAATCCTGTCTTAAATTGTCTGCCAGCTCTTGTGCGATTAAGATGTTATTTAAGAGCACCCGACAATGAGAGTGCACAGTTAATTCACCCCTCTGACTCTTTGAGCCACCAGCTTGTCAATATTTAGTTTCCATTTACTGGGGATTATTGAACCTGAAGTTGTCGTCTCATTCGTCTGGGATTTGTTTCAGAAAAAAGCCACATCAAGTTTTTTGTTAATCCAAAAATGTTGGTTACACCACTCATTGTTTTGCTGTCAAATACAACATGTGGGGCTTCTCGAAGAGTTCAGGTTAACTCACAGAGAGAAAGAATTCAGATCCTTTACAAAAGAGTCACTTTATGTATAGATCAAATTCTACAAAGAAGTGTTTCCAAGTAGGGGCTGAAAATAAGTGCTTATCTGTTTTTTGTTTTTTTTCCCTCAGCAAAAGCAAGCTCTTAAACAGAGATGACAAGGAAGTTAGCTGCATGATCACAGACATAACGCAATATGATGTTTTCTGTTGCGGTGTCTGGTCATGCTGTTTTTCATCTGAAAATGTCAAGCCGTTTGTTGTCAGCCGTAGTGTCTGGATCCTTTCCTTTCTTTGGTTATGTAGAGGGACTATGTCATTGACCTGGCTGACACTATAATCAGTGCCAGCTAATGTACCGTTCTCCTAATTAGCACTCCCGTCCCAATGTTTACAGTAAGTGTAACTTTTGTTGAATTTGGCCTTTTTTTTCCTTCTAATCGACTCCAGTGAAATGAACTTTGCCACCACTAGTGGTAGTCAGATAGGAAAGTCAAAAGCAAACAAACGTCTTAAACCAAGTAAGACGATACAGAAGCATTGTTCATTCCTCGCATTTCCCAAGTCCACATGAAATTTATAGAGATGGAAAAAAAAAGATTATTTGATAGTTCTTTTGTGATAAGCTGAACGATATACAAATGGTAAAAGTCTACAATTAGTGATGAATCAATCAATCCCAACACTGCCAACTGTGTTTTTGCCCCCTGTTTGTGTATAAGAAACCTGTCTATAGTCAGTGGTTAGTCCTTCCTTTTTACACTAGCTTGCTTTTTTTTTTCCTCTGCCCAGGATGTTTTCCTTTAGTTTTCCCTCTTCTTTCAGCTCTGTTTTTCAGGACTAAGTAGAGACACCCAACTCGGTGGTTTACAGGTGCAGCTACTCCTCACTTTCTCTGCTTTGCACTCAATGTGCCTACCGAATTGTTTTCCTTGTAGATGGCAGCAGTGAGCGCGGAGAGAAGGATGCCAGTAAAATAACCACGTACCCCCCGGGGGCGGTGAGGTTTGACAGCGAGCTCCGAGCTGTGCAGGTCAGCTGCGGCTTTCACCACTCAGGTAGGCACCTTTCCATCCAAGCTGCCTCTGGTCACCCACCATGCTATCCCTGTTTGTGTTATTTTAGATTAGAATGAGTGAACTAAATACAATGAGACTGTGTTAAAAAAATAAATAAGATAAAGCTGACCAAGATGCAAAGAATTGATTGATGATTGCTTACGTTGCTTTGCAGTGGTGTTGATGGAAAATGGAGATGTTTACACATTTGGGTACGGCCAGCATGGGCAGCTTGGACATGGTGACGTCAACTCCAGGTACTGTTTAGATTTGTGTATTTTATTGATATTTTTCCATTTGTAGCTAAGAGATTAGTATAAAAAAACCTAAAATATGCATTTTTTTTTTTTTTTTTACACAAGAATTTATTGTAACACACCGTCAGATATGTGTAAATGTTATAATTGTAAGTCTATACCTGCTGTTTGACCATTTTTTTTCAGTAAAAGATTTGTGAGAATATTTCAGTCTTTTTTTCCCTCCTTTCTGTTTAGTTGTGAAACAAACTGCTGCCCTCTTTACTCACAGCCTAAATTTACATTTCTACCTTTTCAGGGGCTCTCCAACTCTGGTGCAGGCGCTTCCAGGGCAGAGTGTCCAGGTGACGGCGGGCAGTAACCACACAGCGGTTCTCCTCTTGGATGGCCAAGTCTTCACGTTTGGCAGCTTCTCGGTAAGAGTCAACTGTGACTCCATCACCTTTTTTAATTAAATCTTCCATTAGAGAGCATTTATTTGCTTGAATAAAAGGAAATGTTTCTTTGCCTCCCAGAAAGGGCAGTTGGGCAGGCCCATCCTGGACATGCCCTACTGGAATGCAAAACCGTCACCTATGCCCAACATTGGTGCCAAATATGGACGAAAGGCCACCTGGATCGGTGCCAGCGGGGACCAGACGTTCCTTCGGATCGACGAGGCTCTGATTAACTCCCACGTCCTGGCTACTTCGGAGATCTTTGCCAGCAAACACATCATTGGGCTTGTGCCCTCCTCAGTGTCTGAGCCGCCTCCGTTTAAATGCTTGCTGATCAACAAAATGGATGGAAGCTGTAGAACCTTCAACGACTCAGAACAGGAGGACCTGCAGGGATTTGGCCTTTGTCTTGACCCCGTGTATGATGTCATATGGAGGTAAGACCCTAGACTGCTGGGTGATACAATGCTTTTACATTTCTATTGCACAAGGAAGTTTAAAAACAGCATGTATAGGGTATTTAATTGTATTTTGGGGGGGAATACATGTTCAATACTCAACACTCTTAGCATTACCCCAGGGTAATATTCTCATGTCGTAACCCATGGCCTTGGTTTTTCCTCCTGCTTTTTAGGTTTCTACCAGCCTCAAGGGAGATGTGGTGCTACAACGCAGTGATAGCTGATGCCAGAGTGCCATCTGCAACAGATCTACAGGCTCGCTGCAGCATCCTCAGCCCAGAGCTGGCGTTACCCTCAGGATCACATGCAGCCACCACTCGCTCTCACGGAGCCCTGCACATTCTTGGTAATCCTGAACATGAATCACTTGAGACGTTTGAAGACCTTGTGCGCCTTATAGTTTACTTTGTAGATGCCTTTTTGCCATTGTAAGATTACAACTGCATCAATATCTTGTTTTGTAAATGGATCTAAAACAGGATCCTCTGTGGTATATCATGCTGATTTTTGTTGAAATTTAACATTGGGACTGTTATTTGTGATCTTTATTTCAAATAAAGATTACTTTAAGTGCTTGTAAACTGGTCTGAGAAACACATTACGCATTAAATAAGTTGCTTAGAAAAGCTAATTTGACCACAACTGGAATTATCATACAATTAAAGAATGTTGTTCAAATAATTTTGTGATCTGATTATAAGAAACAACAATTTATTCCACTTAGGTTGCCTGGATACATTAGCAGCCATGCAGGAGCTGAAAATGGGTGTAGCCAGTGCAGAAGAAGAGACCCAGGCAGTGATGAAGGTCTACTCCAAAGAGGACTACAGTGTTGTTAACCGCTTTGAGAGTAAGTGTGCCCCTTACTCATGAAATAACCAAAAAGGTGAGTGACATGTTTGGCTTTTCACTGAACCAATGTGAATATCTTGAGACTTAACAAAAGGCTTTTCCTTTACAGAGCCCGTGAATAATTTAGCTCCTGTGCTCAATATGTAGCCTGCACGGCCTTATAGATTCTCTGTGTGATGTGTAGGTCATGGTGGTGGTTGGGGTTACTCGGCCCATTCTGTGGAGGCCATCCGCTTCTGTGCTGATGCAGACATCCTACTGGGCGGGTTGGGCCTTTTCGGGGGACGAGGGGAATATACTGCCAAGATAAAGGTATTTATTTACCTGTTTTCTACTTTTGCTGTAATTCTAGGATCCAGAGCTTTTTTGTAAAGCTGTTTGGTAAGGTTCCACCCTCATACTCACTGATTGTTTATCAGTCACTTCCTGTGGTATTTGTAAAAGAAAAAACTCAAAATTGTGTAATATTGTTTGACCAATTAGTTTTTAGTAATTCTACTTAGCGTTTAAGGTTAGTGTTAAAAATCAGTTATTTTTTATATTTTTATTTATTGATTTTGTTTTGATATATATATATATATATTTAGGGATCTCCTTTTTGCTTTTCTCTGGAATATTCTTCGAAGATTATATTTTTTATAATATTCTAGTTAAATTCCTAGACTATTCTTGGAATATTTTTGGTTTTGTTGCCCATCAAATGGTTCAGTTTGTGGAAGTTTCAGAAATAATAATGAAACTTGTTAAATGTTGACTCCCTGAAATAATTAAGTAGCATATAAGCTTCAGTGATGAAGAGGCTCTTTCTTAAAGTTCCTTTTTGTTCACAGCTTTTTGAGCTTGGACCTGACGGAGGCGACCACGAGACGGATGGTGATCTGCTGGCTGAGACTGATGTCCTGGCTTATGACTGCGCTGCCAGGTTCATTTAGTTTCTCACTTTTTATGATCTCATCATAATGAAGTCGCATCATTTCAGGTTTCGCTTGCTGTGATTGATTATCTTTTTTTCCTTCTTTTTCATCAGAGAGAAATATGCCATGATGTTTGACGAGCCGGTTCTGCTGCAGCTCGGGTGGTGGTACGTAGCGTGGGCCCGTGTGTCTGGCCCCAGCAGTGACTGCGGCTCTCATGGACAGGCAACCATCACCACTGATGACGGGTATGACTAACCAAAACAAGATATTGAGTCAATTAATATTTCAATTGGTCATAGTGATAATATCGGTCGCAGTGCGTATTTAAATGCAATTTGAATGGTGTCTCCCTCCCCACTTCTCTCTTTTTTTTAGCGTTGTCTTTCAGTTCAAAAGCTCTAAGAAGTCAAATAACGGTACAGATGTTAATGCGGGTCAGATACCACAGCTGCTTTACAGGTAAACTAATTTCGCTCCACTTTCTTCGAAGCAATTCTAGCCTTTTGTCTCCTGGCTTTCAGGGACGCAGTATTCATCTTTTTTTGTTTTGTTTTTTCACTGTCAGGCTTCCTTCAAATGATGGCAATGCATCAAAAGGAAAGCAACAGACCAGTGAGCCAGTCCACATTCTCAAACGGTCATTCGCCCGGACCGTCTCAGTGGTGAGCGGTGCCTCTTATGTTTGACCGGCGTTTTTGTCAATCAGCAGCGTAACTGCTATTTAGACGTTTTATTTCACCGTGACTTTGTCTCTTTGTAGGAGTGTTTTGAATCACTGCTGAGTATTCTTCACTGGAGCTGGACCACCTTGGTTTTGGGTGTGGAGGAGCTGCGGGGGCTGAAGGGTTTCCAGTACACAGCCACCCTGCTGGACCTGGAGAGACTTCGCTTTGTTGGCACCTGCTGCCTCCGACTTCTTCGGGTCTACATTTGTGAAATCTTCCCAATTGCCGGTAGGAACAGAAACAAACAGAACGCACTTCTGTGTTGACTACATAGTCTATAATTTGCAATGTGCTCTTTCATTTTATGCGGCGTAACATGCATCAATGCTTGTACATAAAAGGCAAATAAAGAAAGGACCGACAAAGTTTTCCTGACTTACTACGCAAGAGAAATCCTTTTAATACAACCTTAAAAATGCCTGCTTTTTTCATATAATATACCATAGTTGGCTTTTTCCATCCTTTTGTTTGGTTTCTAGCCAGCACCAAAGCTGTAGTGGAGGAGTCGAGCAAGCTGGCGGAGTGCGTGGGAAAGACACGCAGCCTGCTGAAGAAGATTCTGTCAGAAGGCACGGACAACTGCCTGACAAAACTGGACAATGACCCCCAGGGCTACCTGTCTCAGCCTCTCACCCTGCTGGAGGCTGTGCTGCAGGAGTGCCACAACACCTTCACCGCCTGTTTCCACTCGTTCTACCCAACTCCTGCTCTGCAGTGGGCCTGCCTGTGTGACCTGCTCAACTGTCTAGACCAGGTAGGAGGATCTCATACGGGTATAAGAAGAAAGATTTGTTCCTAAGAACAAGCTTTAAAACAAGCTCTTCTTGTATTTTAGGACATTGCTGAGGCCAATTTTCGGACATCCAGCAGCCGCCTGCTGGCAGCTGTAATGTCAGCTCTTTGTAACACCTCAGTGAAGCTGACGTCCATCCTGCCTATTGCCTATGACGGAGAGGTGCTGCTGCGTTCACTGGTCAAACAAGTCAGCACAGAGAACGACTCTGCCCTTGCTCACCGATTTCCCCTGTTGGTGGCGCATATGGAGAAGCTTAGCCATGTGAGTGACCGCCTCAAGGGAATGCAGGGACCTTATTTACAGCAGGTGGTTTAGTGTTTGTTTCTTACACCTTTAGACGGAGGAGAACCTGATGGGTATGACCAGTTTCCGGGAAGTACTAGAGAAGATGCTCGTGATCGTGGTGCTACCCGTGAGGAAGAGTCTGAGGAAGGAAGTGGAGCTGTTTTCTCCTCACCTGGTCTCCAATACGTGTGGTCTGCTGGCCTCCATCGTCTCCGAGCTCACTGCCTCTGCCCTGGGCTCTGAGGTAATTTCCCTTTGCCGAAATCCCTCCAGGATTTGTTGGAACACCGGGCTAAACTTTGTCAGTCAGTTAAACATCACCTGCTCTTTTAAAAAAAAAAAAAAAAAATCTTCTCTTACAGTTCTTTTTTCAGGCTTATAATAAGGACGGTCACCTGTAGTTTCGACACACATTTGGTTTATGTCTGGCTCTGTTTTGGGTGTTTGCATTTTTTACTCATCTGTCTGTTTCATACAGTGTCTCCCCTCAGTTTGGGGAGAACTTGAACCAACTCAGTTTTTATGTGGTTTGCGTTAGATCCGTCACTGAGGTCTTTCCTCATTTTTTTGTCTCTTCTTATCTGTTGTGACATCTCTTTTTATTTGAACCTATTGATACTCACACAGCTTTTCACAATGATAGACACTGCCTCTATTTGTCCTTAAGGTATGCTGAGTCATTAAGTGGGAGTGGCAGATATCTGTCACCCTCCCTCTGATGCACTCTTCCTTTAATTACCATCACTCCCTGCAATGTAATGCAGTCAGAACTGGTGTTGCCATGGCAATGTCACTTGACAGCAGCCCTTCGCCCCACTGTTTTTTCCTCCCCTGTCTGTTGTCAGGGAAACAACTCCTCCTCCACGGGGTACCAGGATATGCCCCTCTGCAGCTGTGTCTGGTTCCCTGTTGTCCTCAGACTGACATGAATAATAACTGTTTGTTTTTAATAAAACATGAGTTTTTCTTTCTCCCATTTCACATCTTTATGTTTTAAACATTTTCCAGGCCTTTCTCTTCAAATGTGTTCATTGACCCACAGGGCTTATGCAACAGTACTGGTATTTTGGCTGCATTTCTTAGAATTTTCCTGTCCACCAGGTTGACGGGTTGAACTCCCTCCACTCTGTGAAGGCATCTCCCAACCGCTTCACTAAAACAAGCCAGGGGCGCAGTTGGAACACAGGCAATGGCTCACCGGACGCCATCTGCCTGACAGTGGACAAACCAGGCGTCGTGCTGGTGGGCGTCTGTGTCTACGGAGGAGGGGGCATCCACGAGTATGAACTAGAGGTGCTGGCCGACGATGTGAGTGAAGACGACGCATGGGATCCGAGTTTGTTCTGTTGGGTTTTCAGTACATCCTTTTTTCTGCTCTTTTTGTGATGTTTTCTTTTCCCGTGTCCTTCAGGCCCAGACAGAACACCCAGGCGACTCAGCACATTCTCACAGGTGGACATCTCTGGAGTTGGTGAAAGGCACCTACAGCACCGATGACTCACCAAGCGACATTGCTGAGATCCGTTTGGATAAGGCTGTGCCGCTCAAGGTAAGTACGCTCTGCAGGAAATACTGCCAATAGATTGACTTAGAATCTAAAAGGTATGCAGATATTTTGCACAATGACTTTTTAAAAATCCAATCTGACTTCATTCTGTCACAGGAAGGGGTGAAGTACGCGGTCCGATTACGAAACTACGGCAGCAGAACGGCTAATGGAGACGGAGGGATGACCACGGTGCAGTGTTCTGATGGCGTGTCCTTCACCTTCAGCACCTGCAGCCTCAGTAGCAATGGGACCAACCAGACCAGAGGTCAGATCCCACAGATTCTCTACTACAGGTAAGCAAAGAGCCGTCCTCTTTTAAAGACTCGCATTCGAAGGGGTTTGTTTTTTCTGACTCATTTCTCTCGCTGCTGAAGGAGCGAGTATGATGGGGACCTACAGTCTCAGCTGCTAAGCAAAGCCAACGAAGAAGATAAAAACTGTAGCCGAGCCCTGTCTGTGGTCAGTGCTGTGGTCAGAGCCGCTAAGGACCTCCTTCATAGAGCATTTGCAGTTGATGGTAAGCCCAACCAGCATTTTGTTTTTACAACGTTGTTCATTGTTGGACAGACAGTGGAGTTAATATATTTCACATACAGAGTTATATCTTTGTTTTTTTCTATCTCCAGTGGATGATATTCCAGAATTGCTAAGTTCTTCCAGCCTGTTCTCCATGCTCCTGCCTCTTATTTTGGCCTACATTGGCCCTGTTGCTGCGTCTGTGCCTAAGGTAAGGGTTCAAACCGGGAATGATTGTCTCCCACCAAATAGCTTCTCACTGATGTAACTACGTGTGCTAAATTGTTTCCTATCTCCCTCTAGGCTGCCGTTGAAGTCTTTGGACTAGTTCAAGAGTTGCTACCTGCTGTCTCTGCCCTCAACCAAAAATACGCCCCACCCACCTTCAACCCCAACCAGTCAACAGACAGCACAACTGGCAACCAGCCTGAGCAGGGCCTGTCGGCTTGCACCACTTCAAACCACTACTCTGTCATTGAGAGCGACCACCCTTACAAACAAGCTGGCGTCACACAGTACAGAGTAGGGTTTGGCTTTTTGTCCTTGGCATGCTAAACATGATGCAAAATCTGTGTTACCGATTAGAAGAGGCCTAAAGTCCCGCTCTGTCTCACAATTCCTCAGGTATCATTCCCCGACTGTGTTCGTTGGACCACTATCGAGTTCGATCCACAGTGTGGCACTGCACAGCCAGAGGACGTCCTGCGCCTGCTCATCCCCAGCCGGACGCTCCACCTGTCCCACCTCGGGGGCAAACCTTTGATCCATGACACCATCAACACATGGACCGAGCTCAGGAAGTTCTCCGGCTCCACAGGCTGGCCGACCACCGTCCTTGTCCTGCCAGGTGAGAAAAGAACAGCAGTTTAACCTAAATGGATATTAAGCCTAAGGTATAAGTATTGTTGCCTTTAACATGTACAGAATCCTAATGAATCTCAATATTCATTAGGAAAGAGGAAGGTGTATTATAATTAACCAATCTCTTATTCTGGTTATAAAGTACATCATAACAAAAATGTTATTGTTTTTTCTTTTCTCTCGGGATGGAGCTCAGAGCTCAGGAGGATTGCTACATCCCTTACAGCAACGTTTCGAGAAAATGTCCAAATTACTTGTACTGTGATTTGAAAGGAAAGATTTCCTGTTATATAACAGTAAAAATAAGAACTGCCTGTTCTGTATTTGGATAATATATTTCTGCATTTAATCTCAGACCACAGCTGCTATTAGGATGAAATACATTGGACACTTGTGAATAAATGAGAGAATGAATAAATCGACTGAGCACAAATATGGTTTCGCAACCTAATTGTAGTTCATTCATCTTTATCTTGATGTTTCTGTATGTAATCTATTCTACTTAATGAGAATATTAAACATCTCCCAACAATAGGGAGCTATTAGTATACTTGCATTCCGTGGCTAACCTCTGCCAGCTATTTTATACCATAATTTGTTTTTCTGTCTTCTCTGCTTTCAGGAAATGAAGTTCTGTTTTCACTGGAAACGGCCTCAGACTATGTAAAGGATGAGAAAGCATGCTTCTATGGCTTTAAGTGTGTGGCTGTTGGATATGAGTTCAACCCTGGCCCCGATGAGGTAAAGGCACTCATCTGATGTTTTTCTGTGGGTGCTATAGTATTTAGAGTGCAGTTATTCTCTGTTTTTCCTCACCTGCTTCATTTGACTTATACGGATGGCCACCACAGTTGTTTTTTTTTCTTTTATTTCTGTAAAGAATTTACATCCTCTACTGAGAAAAAGTGCCCAATTGATGCTCCCTCTGGTGATGCAGCTTTTTTTATTTGCTTTAAACGAATCAGCAGAAATTATGTCTTTATCACATTTCTGTTTTGCAGTTATTTAAAAAAAAAAATCAAATGAATAGTCACTAGTGGGTAAAACCCCCATTACTGACTAAACTGCTTGCAGTGCAGATGGCTCTTCACTTGCTTGCTGACCTTGTTTTTAGTGGCTGACTCAATGAAATGATATGCACTTCAATTTGTATTCAAGAATAGTACAAATCATCCCTTTAAAGGTATCCCTACATTCTTCTCTGGACTGCATCATATCTTGGGTCCACATTTTGAAAGAAAAAATTGATTAACCTCTTTGTTCATTTCAGGGCATTATCCAGTTGGAGAAAGAGTTGGCGTACCTGGGCAGTGTGTGTGCTGCGGCTCTGATGAAGAAAGACCTGGCCCTCCCCATTGGTATGGAACACAGAGCGCAAAGAAATTAGTCGTGTGAAGTCAGAAGATAAGTAATGTCACATTCAAATTCTTTTCTTTTATATTTCCAGGCAATGAATTAGAAGAAGACCTTGAGATTCTTGAAGAAGCCTCTCTTCAGGTATACTTTCTTTTAGGCTTTCTTTTGTGTGAAGGATTATTCCGTTTTTTTCGGAAGTACTTTCCTAATATCCTTTTTTGATTGCTCTTAATTAGGTGTGTAAATCCCACTCGGGGATCCTGGGAAAGGGTCTGGCTTTGTCTCACTCGCCGACCATCCTGGAGGCCCTGGAGGGGAATCTTCCTCTTCATCTCCAAACCAACGAGCACTCGTTTCTCGAGGACTTCATTACCTGTGTACAGAACTCAAGTGGAGGTCGTCTGGCCAGGTAGGTTCGCGTGATTATAGAGACTTCACAGGGACCATTAGTCTGATGTGGTGAGGATGAAACAGGTGTGCCTGTGTAGGGCATTACCGCTGTTATTTCACCCCTTATTATTGTTTTTTTCCCAGGTGGCTGCAGCCAGATTCATACGCTGACCCTCAGAAGACATCTCTGATCCTGAACAAAGATGATATACGTTGTGGGTGGCCAGCTACGGTGGTCGTTCAAACTAAAGACCAGTATGGGGATGTGGTGCATGTTCCTAACATGAAGGTATTGGATGGTTTCTCAGCAGAAAGCGTATTATCCTATGGGAAAGAACGGTTAAATACGCGGGACCTTTCTGACTTGTTCGCCGTCTGCTTCCCATCTAGGTGGAGGTGAAGGCAGTACCCGTTTCCCAGAAGAAGTCCGTGCAGCCGGATAATGTGAAGAAGCTGCAACGGCTCCCTGGGGGCTCCTCCCCTTCGTCCTCTGGTCCGGACCTCACCTTTGGAGGTCTACCAGTGCCTAAGCTGGAGGCCACGTACGAGCCGATGATAGTTAAAGAAGCACGATACATTGCCATTACCATGATGAAGGTCAGCACTGCACAGTTTGGGGTTTGCCCACTCACTAACTCTCTCATTTCACCTCACCTCTCTTGCGCATTATCCAAAATGAGGATGTTAGACAGTATGCATCTGTCCGGAAGTCGTAATTAATACATACATTTATTACATCTTTAATCTTGATCAGACATACTCTAAAGCTGAGCATTTCACTTGGTGCCACCTTTGTTTTTATTGTTGCTTTGTTTTAGATTTATGTCTGCAATTTCAATTTGAGCAATAAACCACATTAATTTGACTATTAATAGTAAATATGAAGCTTTTTATTGAGGATGAAGAGGGAATAAGTGTCTGAGACGCAGACCTGTCAAATGAGGCGGTTTCTATTTGGGGAATGGCAGAGCAGTTTCTTCCATCACACTAACAGTCATCATCTATTTTAGGCGTATGAAAACTACTCTTTTGAAGAGCTGCGCTTTGCTTCCCCTACTCCAAAGAGGTAAGTGAATATAGCCCATGCCTTTGTGATTGAGATACAATCTACTTATTGACCGTTCCTCATACAGACCCAGTGAGAATATGCTGATCCGTGCCAACACCGATGGAACCTACAGCGCCAACTGGACTCCAGGAGCTGTCGGCCTCTATACAATCCATGTCACCATCGATGGCATTGAAATAGGTATGTATGTGAACACATACTGTGAAATTTATGCACTGATCACAGCCACCGTTTCCCTCACCTGGTCACATAACAGGTTTTTAAGTTTCAGACACAAAAATGGCATCATTCTTTTAAACGAGGACTTTTCATCGGAACCGACAATTGATACTGTTTGAGTTTGAGTCGTGTTCATTCCCTCTTTAAGATGCTGGTTTGGAGGTCGAAGTCAAGGACCCGCCCAAAGGCATGATACCACCTGGAACCCAGATGGTCAAACCAAAAGCTGAACCTCAGCCGAGCAAGGTGAGGGTTGTTTTTCTGCAGCCGGTTGCCCCCAGTTTCTAATATAACCACCAACGTTTTTTTAATAGAGCACGCTTGTAGTCACCCTGCAGATACAGCTCAAAGACCATCATTTCAGATTTCAGTGTTTTGCAGCACTTTAAACTCTTAAAATACAGATCTCCCCAAGAAGTAAAAAGGTTTTTTTTTTGCATTTATGCTCCTAGTTTTTTCACGTGTGTGCAATTGGAGATCTTTTCTCCACAATGATTTAGTTTGCTGTTCTGACAAACCAAGCAAACAGTGCACCACAGGAAGCAGCGGGCTTTTAAAACTAATTACAAACGTCCTGTGCAGCATAAGAAAGAATCGCTGCACAGTAAACAAATGCAGAAATCCTCATTTACATTCTTCAGAAGATGAGAAAAATGGCTTTCAGTGTGATGTTGCTTTCCTTTGTTTGATACGCAAATAGACGGCTTATTTCCGAGTCTGCCTCCCACAAAGAGATGAGCTCTTGAATGACTGAATACCCCGTTTCTCATTGCTCATGGTACTCTGTTAATGGTGAACATGCCAACACACTGAACGCTGGGTAAAAAGCATTTGGATTTGAGCCATGAACCTCCAGCAGGGAATGATTCATGGCATACTTTAACAGAACTTGTGACTGGAAATGGCTTCATAGGAAGGAAGTGCGGTCATCATCATTTTTGTGAATTTATTTAAAGCCAAATATCCAAATGGTTGTGGGGAAACAAGCAACATGTGCCTTTATTCACTTTTGTTTGTTATCCTTTGGAACTTGTGTTCTGTGGTCTGTGATGCTTCAGTGTACAGAGGCAAAAACCAAAAAGAACAAATAGCGTCTGACTTGTTCTACTTAAAAAAAAAATAAAAAAAATAAAAAAATAAGCTCCTGAAGTTTTTCTCATCTTTTGCCGGGACAGTGCGTAAACGTGGACGCAGAGTCTTTTAGCATGCAATCTCCCACTTTCAACATGCCCCGCTTCCTCTTTTTCTCCTTTTCTGCTGCTCTTCTTGTCGTTTTATTCATTCTATTCTTTGCTTCTGCCTCTCACGGTCTCCATCTCCCCTCTGCTTCTCTCAGGTCCGCAAATTTGTGTCCAAGGACAGCGCAGGCCTGCGCGTGCGTAGTCACCCCTCCCTGCAGAGCGAACAGATAGGCATAGTGCATGTCAATGGCACTATCACTTTCATTGACGAGGTAATTGACTGAAGACCAGGCAGGCTATAAATAAACTAGCTGGAGCAGTCGTCTTCACTTTTAATCTATTTCTGTTTCTCCTAATGTGGATCAATAAGTACTGAATCACAAATATTGCAATCCCAGATGTTTTGACCAGATGAACAGCTTTAAGTCATTGCTGTGTTTAATGTGATTACCTCTATCTTACGACTTATTGCCTTTTTAAAAAATAATTGGTGCTCTAACTTTTTATGTTGCTTCATACTCTTGCAAGGCACTCTGAGGCTACATGAAAGACGTTGACGCTTTGCCTTTTCAATGGAGGTGGTGCATGTCAATGTGAAATTGAGTTGGGTGGAAACCCAGCCGTTGTGCGACGATCTCGACAGGATTGTGAAGACTTTTGGGGGTGGGGGGGGGTACTTTCCTGCAGTCTCAGAGATGCCGAGCGTGGGTATGAGGATGCTCCCTTTCTGTTTTCTGTAGTAACAGGATGGCATGGCTGTGCTCTGCTCTGTTGCTTGTTTTCCCCTTAGATCCACAATGATGATGGTGTGTGGCTCAGGCTCAATGATGAAACAGTAAAGAAGTATGTTCCCAGCATGAATGGTTACACAGAAGCCTGGTGTCTCTCTTTTAATCAGCACCTGGGCAGGAACCTTCTGGTCCCAGCCGACGTAAGTAGAAGAAGGCTCGCTGTGTAGTCTGATTCAGACTGATAATAACAGGCCACTGCACTGTTCGTTTGGGGGGGAGCTCAACTGTGTTGTTTAATTATAAGGAGTTTTCAAGGACTTAAATCTGTTTGGCACCTTCTCCACGAAATGTCCTTGAAGCATGGTATATCATCAAATCCCAGTGTAACTTGGTGGGGTGGGGTTTCTTGCATGAAATGTCCACCGAGTGTGAAGCGTACACTAACACACTGTGCAGACGGGCAGCTGCTGGCGGTGTGCATGCGTTGACCCATGTCTGGCGGCAAAAAGTCGACTGTAACCAACGCTTGTCTTGTTCTTTTGATGGCCACTAACTGCCTCACATGGCTTAGTAGTACGGAGATTATATTTAGTGCTTTAATGTGAAACCCAATGCGAGGACTGTTCCGCAAGGAGAAATATCTAAGGGAACCATTAACCCCTGAAATGCAGCCAGTTAGTGTACTGTAGGTTTGTTTTTCTGTGTTTTGCTCACATTAGCTGGTAAACGGCTGCACACCACAGCATGCCATAACGAGAGTGTCTGTCACATTTTGCTCCATGCCACAAAAAGACTGCCAAAATGACAGAAACGACAAGGAATTTGACAGTTTGAGCTTTTGAAACTGTCATTATTGCATTAAGAAAGAAAGAAAAGTATCCATAAGAAGGTAGATTTCTGTCATGAAGCAATCACCGATCCACGAAAGGTCTCTGTGGAGTGTTTTAGCTCTCCTGCACTAGATTTCCACTGATGCACTGGGATGCTTTGGATGCTAAAGAAAAGGTTTCCATGTCAGGTCCCTGTCTGAACAGCATGACACACGACATCATCCAAATGGGGAGTTTTTTTTGGAAGTTTCTCTTTTACCTATATTACCCTTTTTATTATTATTTTTTTCTAATCTTGTCATTCAGTGCAGACCTTTTTGCAGGCTTTGCCTGTACTGCACAGTCCCCTGCGGGCCATTTTTAATCTGTGCTCCACAAAGAACTGGCCTGTCGCACAACACTCGGGATGTGTCCTCTCTTTTTTGCTCTTTCAAATAACCTCCTGTCCTGGAAAAAGGGCAGAAAGGCCAAGCCTATTCTTTTTCTTCCAAAAAAATATGTTCACCTTCCCCTTCCCTTGTTTCTCTCCTCTCCCGAGTCGTCTACTGTCTCTTGACTGTCTTACAATTTGTTGCTCAGAATGTCTTTAACGCTAGCCAAGGAGTCAGGGATATCGGCTTTTTGTCATGGACTCCCTTAACTATATTCCCACCACAGGTGAGTTGTATGTAGGAGGGATGGATAGTTTCACTGCCCCATAGACAGTTGTCTATTTTTTACTCCTTTTTAAAACCTTTTTAAACCCCCTTTGTAACGTTCTCCCAGTGTTATTGACAGAAAAAGATCAAACCTTAGTTGCATGGTTGTCTGTGCAGTAATAGAACAGCATCTCAATTACTACTTCTCCTTTAGACTATTGCAGTCATCACCTTTGGAAGTTTAAGTAACTGCCATTCAGGCTTGTATGTTGCATGGGGTTTCAGATTCTTATGTCCAGTCTGTTGCATGAGTTCTTGTTTGAAAGGCTTGTAATATGCACTTTAGTCCTGTATCCATGTGCACCATAGCATGCGTCCTTCTAGACTGTACAAACTGCTTATTTTTGAGTAAACTCACTCTTTCCTTTTTTTGTTGGTATAAATAAATTTGCTCCAAATTTGAATGAATGAATTCATAAGTTGCACCAACTTGGGATGTTTGGAGGTTGCACATAAAATTCTTGCAGCGTTACCTTTTTTTTAAGGACAAGATTTTAGGAAGAAAAAATAAAACTCCATTGTTTTCTAGGATTTATGGGTTTATTCACTTAATAAAACTTTTTGCCTAAGATGGATTGATATGCTTTAGCTTCCTGATATCTATTGGATACTTAAGTTAGGCATCTCTGTTTGGCAAGGAAGGAAGTATGTAGTTTCCCCCAAATGATCTAACTGCATTAGTTTATTTATTTTGAAAGATACCCACTTTTAATAAAAGCCTAAATCTCTGTTGGGGAAAGCTGTCTGTGTTTGGTTTTCCAGCTGCATCTCCTGGTACAGTTGTGCAAGCCGTACCCCGGTCTTGTACATGTTTTTACATCTGTTGCTGTATTCAGACTCTAATTCATGCTCTTGACTCTTCCAGGAGGTCAGGGGCCAGATGGAGGAGAACGTAAAGGAGGTGAGCAGCTGCCCTTCCCATGAGGCTCCCATTCGGGTGCAGAACAGGGCAGGGCAGGGTGGCGGCCCGGGACTTTATAAGGTAGTGAAGACCGGCCCCTCTGGTCACAACATCAGAAGCTGCCCAAACCTTAGGGGTATCCCCATTGGAATGTTAGTTCTTGGCAACATGGTCAAGGCCATAGGCGAGGTACGCACTCACGCAAAATAATGCAATATGTTATTTTGTGGCTGGAGCTTAATGATTCAGTCTGCTTAGATCAAATAATATTCTCTAAATGATTCCTTTTTCTTTTCTTTTTTTTCCGAGTAGTTTTGGCCTTGAAATCTAATCTCACTTTCTAAGTCCACATCAGCTGCTTCTGGGCGTGGGTGTGTGTTCACTACTTTTCCCCCTTTTTAAGGAACATGTCAGTATGTGTGACCCGACTAATTTCAGTTTGTGTACAAATCCATTGCAGTTTCAGGGCTTCGTTCTCAGCTGCCTTCCGACTTCTCAATGAAAGCTTGATCACAAAACGTTTGGAGTCTCTCTGTGCCTTGACTTTAATTTTCTTGCACTTTTAACAGCTTTGTTGGTATTGTTTAAACTTTTTTAAATTTATTTTTTAATCTCTGGTCTGTTGATATGGAGCCACTTTTCATTGGCTGCTGTGGTGTGTCATGCTGTTCACTGGTTTCCTGAACTGAACTACCCGTGGAATGCCCTGTGTGGATCTAGGTTCTGCTGCCTGCCTATACTAATCTTTCCATCTGTGTCTGTTTTTTTTCCTCAATGATGATATTTCAGGGAGTTGAGAAAATTCAACTTCTTGCATTTACCTTTCAGTGAAACACTGCTTTTGTCGAGAACGTTTTTGAAAAAAATGAAAATTTGCTGAAACAGTTTTTCCAGCAGTGTCTGCTGACGCCTAAAATCAATTTTAATGTGATTTGCTGCTGCTAATTTCATATGTGCCATTCTAATGAGATGAATGCTCGCACGTTCTTCCGATTTTCTGTAGAGGAGATTTGTCTCAGCATCAGACGTGTGGTGATAAATTTAATGTTAAGCATGTGAATGGTTTGAACTGTGTATGTGTTTGTGTGTGCGAGAGAGAGACAGAGCATGGATAAAGAGATTTGTTTGTGTATCAGGTGGTCAACTCAGAGGGAACATGGGTACAGCTTGATAAGAACAGTGTGGTGGAGTTCTGTGAGAGTGATGAAGGAGAAGCATGGTCATTGGCCAGAGACCGCGGTGGAAACCAGTACCTCCGCCACGATGAGGGTAAGCCATTGCTCCACCTGTCTGTCAATTGGTAACCTGCTGCACTCTGCAAAAGTCTTTGACCACCCCTGATTTCTTCGGATGTTGCCAATGAAAGAAATGGAACAGAACTTGAAAGGTTTGAATAGGCTTAAAAGCCCTTTCCCTTCTTTTCCCTTTCTTTACAATATCTTCTTGACAGCCGTCCTCCCACACATTTTATTTCTGATCAGTCATGGCCAACAGCAGAAGGGCCAACTGAGGGTCCAGTAAGATCTCTCAGGTCCTGTGTCAGATCCTTATACTTTTTAAGGACCTAACCTTCAGAATCTGTTCATCTGTTATAGATACATTCTGACCAGATACTTAAAATTTTTAAGGAAGCAAGTAAGTCTGAAGTCAGTGCTAAGTGGCTTAATGAGTAAAGTAGTCAATGCTTTGAGGGATAGGACTGAAAATGATTAAAAAAGAAGCCAACATCCAAAGAAAAGCTCTACAAGCCGTCAAAAATGTTCAGATCGGCTCCTCGGAAGAAAAATTGAAAGGAAATCGGCTGTGGCCCAAAGACTGGACTGTAGCTTTTGGATATTTGTGAGTCACTGGGTTAATGTCAATTGGATAAATTGTAAGACGGGATGATCTAATTTGCCGTTGCAGAGCAAGCGTTGCTTGAGCAGGCGAATCAGACCCCCCCTCCCAGCCCCTTTTCTGTGACAGCTTTCAACAGAGCCGCAACCGCAAATGGAGCACAGGGTTTTGACTACGGCATCTCCAACAACAAAGGTAAGGCCAACTGGATGTACGCTCCACTCTGAAGAGTAGAATAGAATAAAGCTGCTCACAAATGTAGACAAAGGTTGGATTTAGCTTTCTTACATAAATTATTCAATTTTATTTCAGTGGCACTCAAATATTTTGAAAACTGAAGTTCTCATTCTTCAGACTAAGACTTAAAAGGATGTTTAATCACTTTTAATATACATTTTACCCCACTACTTTGTTTAATATCCCATCTTTTTTTTAATCCATCAACATTATATCACTTTTTCTTTTCTATTTCACACATTTTAACTAAACGATTGCTAAAACAATGCTCAAAAATGAACCTCAGCAAAATGCAGAAGTTTCCCCGGTAAATCCAGTTCATCCAATATATGTCATTCAATCTCTCTGAAGCTGCAGGCTCCATCTTTCTCTGATCTCTCATCTCTTTTTTGTTTTATGCATGTTTTTCAGTGTGTCTGCTGTAGCTGTTTTCATGCCTAACATCTCTGTAATGTCAGGCATAACGTCTGCACGCATGGGCCAGTCAGTGTTGTTTCGACCTCTCTGAGCTCCTCTTATTACTCTGTATTTTTTTATGTAGATTTTGGTATCCCAGAAAACCTCTGATCCGCGGACATCATCACACTGAGCTCATCAGTTTTAATGCAGCATCAGTGAATGAGCACCGCTCTGCTGCGTTATCACTCTGATGCAGTGCTGGATTTCTTTTATATCCCTTGCATTGTTTGAAACTAGAGCTCGAACTTTTGGGACTCAAAGGCTGTAAGAAAAAAGAACAGAACATAATCAGAAAGGTTTTTTTTTTCCACAGCCACATTTAATATCCCAGTCATTTTTTCCTGTCTATATTCAAGCCTGTGTTAGTCAATGTGCTGTTGAAAACCTTTCCGTGCAGCAGAGTTTGCCTCTGTGTGGCTGTAGGGACATATAGGGGAAATTTAGAGCATCTGTGCGAGGCACATAGTCACATGTTTTTAGCCGTTTGATCTTTTTAGGTAATCAGACAGAAACATTTGGCCTGCAAAAAATCACATGGTTTATCTTGTCACAAATTTTGTAAATAGTTAATTTTTTTCCCCGTTTAACATATCCCCAAATAAAAGCACAGTTTTTGTGGTAATACAATATATTTGGGTATTCGCATGTGTGAACACTAAAACTACAACTAGCTTATGGGTTAATGATAATTGAGATGATATTCACAAACTGCCAAAAGAATTAATCTTTTTAGGTTGTGCGGCATCATTTTTCATTGGGTAGATGCCAAAGCTGTGTGAGCACGCAAGAGGTTAACCTTATAGACAAATGTCACCGGTTTCTGCAGTAATGTTCCGTGATATTTCATTTCAGTGAAATTATTTTTGGCTCCAACGACTAAAGAAATGGCAATATTTTAAATTCTGCATGTAGATTATTATCACGTTGTTGAGTGGAGACATAGGAGAGATAGTGAGTAGCAAGAGGTTTCGAATGATTAGCTCGATTTCGTCCCGCTTTCTGGTTGTAGACGCTCTGAGAGTGAATTTTCCGACTTGTTAAATCAGTAGTACACGTTGGCCTTTGCTCTTTTTTTTGCAAGTTTTACTTAGAGGGCTGCACCATGGGAAGAGCTGTTGGTATATTGGCCTGAAGTGGTGAAAAATGAGCTGAGATTGGATTATAAATCACCTCATCAAAATCTCTAGACGGAAGTCTGAAAGTCTGCTCTGCTTTTATTAGGAGGAAATGTGTGTCGCCTCAGAAGACTCTTTTATTCTTTCTTTTTTTTCGCCGTGCATGAAGTTGTGGTGTCCTTTTATTCTTTTTGATAAGCATGCATGCCGGCTCATATCTTCTGACTTTTTTTTCTTTTGGTTAAAGAAGCAATCCAGAAGCTTTTTCTTCAACGAGGAGAGTTCCAATCCCACCAAAACCCTCATGCCACTTTCCCAGCATTTGTCTGTGAGATGCCCATTTTAGATCCTTCCCCCCGGCACATTTCTGTTGTGTTGCGGAAGATGACTAAAAGACTGAAAGAAATTAAACCGAATCGCCTTCATCGCCCATAAGTAGCCTCAAGCTATAGTATCAGCTCTAGTTTCTCCCCTTCCTCTGTCTCCATGTTTGCAGGTGACCGGTTGAGTGCCATACTGAATTCCATTCAGTCTGGGCCCTTCCTCTCAGCAGCTCCCTCCTCCTCTGTATTTGAGCAAGCTGCCCAACCTCCCTCCTCCTCCTCTTCCTCCTCCTCCTCCTCCCTTGTCCACAGCCCATTTGTGTTTGGACAATCCCCCTCTCAAGTGTCTCAGCCACAACCACAGCTTCTGAGTAAGTCTGTCCTGCTTTCTGTAAGCGCTTGCTTGCACAGGCGTCGATTTCTTCCTCAGCTTTAGAGGGAAAAAAAATCGAAAAGATCCATATATTTATCTATATATTTTTTCTTTCTTTGGATTCCTTCTAAGTGTTTATATGGGGAGGACAGGAGCAATAAGTGACACATAACGCCGTGGTTATGTTCAAAAATGCAAAAATATCCAAAACACCCTATCAAGTCTAAAATGTAATGTTTATCAGAGCTAATTAAAAATGCTCTGGAAAGAACTTTCCAATATAGTACTTAAATTATATATCTTGATAAAATGGATAATTTTGCCATGAGCTCTCCTAATGGGCTGAGTTGCTTAGTTCTTCGTCCACTGTGCTTGCTCTCTTGTTTGGTGTGTCTTTTGCTCTCTTTTTTATGTTCACTGCTGCTTTGAATTGAAATCCTCATCCTTCATCCCCGATTGACGCCTGATTTCATCAATCGCCCGAACCAGCCCCAAAGCCTTTGTGCAAATAAAAACAGGGGTACTCTTGATAGACGCTTTAATAGTTCATAGTTATATTTAGTCTACATTCACCTATAGCAAGTCTTTACATTTACACCTTTACTGGACAATTGTCATGATGAAACACCATATTATGAAAATATATATAAAAAAGCAACAAGGTTCAAAATGTCAGTTTATCCGTCTGTGACTGTCCCAGTCTACATAATATCCACTGTCTCACTTCTGGTCTGTTTTTCCGCATTGGACTTCTTCACTTTAAGACTTCTTCCTTTTTTCTTTTATTATTATTTTTCAGTACCGTGTTGTATGTGTCTTACAGAGCCCTGGGGGTGTCATTAGGTGGACAAAAAAAAGAAAAATAAAGCAAAGTTGTTGGTCTTTTCCAATTCAAAAATTCATGTCCTCATTTGAGCATAAAAGTACATTTCCCTTTTACATTTCCTTTATCAGTGTAAGTTTAGAGTGCCATTTCAAAATGTTCTCTTTGAGAGTTTTTAACAGTTTTAACACTGTTAAAAACGCAGCTCAATCACTTTAATCCAGATTTTGTGCTTGAGAGGCCATTTTGCCACTAAAACGTTTTATGATGCTGACAGGTTTCTAGTTCCTTTATTTATGATCCTCCCCCACCCGGGGGTTTCAACTAAAAGGAGTCCTCGAAAAGAAGTAAAGAATCACCAATTCCTAACTCCTCCATTTTTCTCCATGATATTTACAGGCCTCTGTAAAGCGTTTGTTTCTTTGAGTGTGGCGTTCTCTGTCCGTCCCCCCCCCCTTCACTCTAACACGTTGTCCTTTTCCTAGTTCACCCTTTTGATTTGAACCCATCACTTTTCTGCGTGCTTTCGTGTTTCTCTCTGGTTTCCTCCTTGCATTCCATGTCTTGCTTGTTTACCTTGCTCCACTGTTTTCCGCTGTAGATGGTTCATCACGCAGCCTTGCTTCTCGTGAGCGTGTGCACAAAAGCAGTGTGTCCGTGGCTGGGCATGGTACTGCTCTCTCATCTCTCGCTCTAAGGCAAAAGGGTGGGTAAATCACAGCATGCATGCCTCCCTCAGACTGAGCAGAGGGTGGGTAGGAACTCGGCCTTCTCTGACGGGAATATATTTGCCTTTAATATGTTACCACTAACCTTCAAACTGGGGCCTTGAGCACATTTTTGTATATACTGAAAGAGGAAAAGATAAGGTTAGCTACAACATTTTGGATGAATTTGAGAATTGGGATGTAATTGCCATATATAGGCCTGTAGACATTTAGAACGTCTGTGACCCACAGGATGTCTACATTACGTGCTTGGTTTTTGCTGGATGCCTTGGCTTAGTCAAGTTTATAATTGTGGTCCTTGAACTGGGCTGGAATCCATCTTTCATCAGCACCTTCATGGTCCACAAGCTATCATCATTCATATCGCTGTTTAATAACATACAATGTGCCCACAAAAATAAGAAAAAACATCTTCTCAGTCCAGTAAATGTTACAAGAGCATTCCTTTCAGAATCTTCCTTTCTTTACACTTCTTTTACTTTTGGAGCTTCAATGGTCTTTTTTTTTCAATTCCGTGCATTTGGCTACATTATTGTTCTTCTGTCAGATGTCAGATGTTGAGTGTTAAAGTAACACTCACCTCTGATAACGCCCTGCTTCGTGGTGTAACTGTGTTTAAATCATCGATGTTTAGGTGACCGAGGGAACCTGATGTCCAGTGCGCGCTCAATGTCTCCAGGCTCCAAACAGCGCCAGGAGAATCGCTCGCCAAAGCAAGAAAGTCGGGGAAGCCGCTCCTCTGAACAGGGAAGGATTAAGGCAGGCGAGGGGGGTCTCTCTGCCAGCGAGGCCCTCATCCTGCGGTCGGACACGGCCAAACTGAGATCGGACTCCCACAGCCGCTCGCACTCGCCCAACCACAACACTCTGCAAGCTTTAAAGGCAGACGGTCGTACCTCGGGCACCCGTGCCGAGTCCCCGAATCCTGGCTCTCGCTCCTCCTCTCCCAAACAAAAAGCCGTATCCTCCTCGGGGAGATCTAGTCCCTCCGGCACTTCCTCCCAGCACTCGTCTTCAACCAACCACGACAAGAACCTCCCACCTAAGGTTAGCCCCCCGTCCAAAGCCCGGCTGGATCCTCCCAGGGAGAGATCAAAATCAGACTCGTACACTCTGGACCCAGACACACTCAGAAAGAAGAAGATTCCCTTCACAGAGCCTCTTAGGGGCAGATCTACGTCCCCTAAACCTAAACTATCACCGAAAGACCCGAATAAAGAAGTGACCAGTAATACAGAAAACCGTGTTCCTTCTCCCCAAGTTACCCAAGAAAACCTCCACAGTGAGGTAGTGGAAGTCTGCACCTCTAGTGCTCTCCTCTCCAATGATGAGGGAAACGATGAGAACGCGGAGGTCCTTAACTCGGACGAAGGCTCGTGCAAGGTGCACTTCAGCATCGGCAAAGCCCCGGTCAAAGAGGAAGTTGAGAGCCGCTCTTCCCCCAAAGTCAGCCGCAAAGCCTCCAGTCGCCACACCCGCCCCAAAAAGGACAAAGCCGGGCCTCTGTTTAAGGGGGAGAGCAGTTCAAAGGTCACGGAGCCCGCCAAACAGGCCATGTCGCCCTCTGTGGCCGAGTGCGCTCGAGCAGTCTTCGCCGCGTTCTTGTGGCATGAGGGCATTGTCCACGACGCCATGGCCTGCTCCTCGTTCCTCAAGTTCAACCCAGATTTGACCAAAGAGCATGCTCCGATTCGTAGCTCCCTGGGAGGACAGGGGGCTGAGGAGAAGGAGAGCAAGCTAAAGAACCGTCACTCCTTAGAGATTTCCTCTGCACTCAACATGTTTAATATTGCTCCACACGGCCCAGACATCTCCAAGATGGGTAGCATCAACAAGAATAAAGTGCTATCTATGCTGAAGGAGCCCCCGCTACCGGAGAAGTGTGAGGATGGAAAAGGAGAATCGGTGAACTACGAGATAACTTCTCATCCCGTTATGAGGGTAAAGTCAATCTTGCCTTTGACACTACAGCATCTAGTAGCATTCTGGGAGGACATTTCGATGGCCACTATCAAAGCAGCCACCCAGAACATGATCTTCCCCAGCCCGGGCTCAAGCGCCATCTTGAAAAAGAAGGAGCACGAGAAAGACAGCAAAAAGGCAAAGAAGGAGAAGAAGAAGCGGGAGAAGTCTGAGGTGCGTCCGAGAGGGAATCTGTTTGGAGAGATGGCGCAGCTCGCCATGGGTGGACCGGAGAAAGACACCATCTGTGAGCTGTGTGGGGAGTCGCATCCATATCCTGTCACGTACCACATGAGACAGGCTCACCCAGGTGAGAATCCCGGAAGAATGTAATCCTGCCTCAGGCAGCTATTGTAAAGTTTACCAACCATGTTTACCATGTTTGTGTTTTGTTTTGTTTGTTTTTTTTACCGTCAGGTTGTGGCCGCTATGCCGGGGGCCAGGGCTACAACAGCATCGGCCACTTCTGCGGTGGCTGGGCCGGAAATTGCGGAGATGGCGGCATTGGTGGCAGCACCTGGTACCTGGTGTGTGACCGTTGCCGGGAGAAATACCTCAGAGAGAAACAGACTGCGGCCAGGGAAAAGGTATCACTTATGAGCTTTCATTTTTCCTGTCATTTTCCTTTCATTTTTCCTCTTAGACTCCTTTAAACTGAAACGATCTTGTTCGTTTGGCTTCTTTTCAAGGTTAAGCAATCAAGGAAGAAACCCTTGCAGGTGAAAACCCCCCGGGCCCTACCTACGATGGAGGCCCACCAGGTGATTCGGGCAAATGCGCTGTTCCTGCTCTCCCTCAGCAGCGCAGCTGAGCCCAGCATGCTCTGCCACCACCCTCCCCGGCCCCTTCACTCCCATCTGCTTCCCAGCCTCAAGGAAGGCGTGTCGGAAGAGCTGCCCAATAAAATGGGCTGCCTCTACCTACAGACACTAGCAAGGTAATTAGGGGCCCCAGTCGATATCACATTGCTTCACAGACCTGGAAATGCAGCAGTTAAGCATTTAAAAATTTGTTATCCTTCCTCAGGCAACACACCGAAAACTTTGGGGCCTACCAAGATGACAACCTTTTCCAGGATGAGATGAGGTACTTGCGCTCCACGCCTGTTCCGGCGCCATACATTTCCGTCACTCCGGACGCCTGCCCCAATGTGTTTGAGGAACCCGAGAGCAACATGAAATCCATGCCCCCCAGGTTAACCATTTTCCCTCTTCATTCTTCACCTTTAATGTCTTTTCGCATCTCGGTCAAAGCTGCTGAAAATTAATGCGTACGGTGTTTGCCATATTAATTTGATTTTGGGCACATTTGCTTTGTGTTAGTCTGGAGACCAGTCCGATCACAGACAGTGACACCGCAAAGCGCACGGTGTTCCAGAGGTCGTACTCAGTTGTAGCATCTGAGTACGATAAGCAACACTCACCGTCTCCAGCCCGGGTCAAAGCTGTGCCCAGGCGCCGGGTTCACAGCGGCGACGCAGGTAGGCAAACGATGAGGGATTAACACACTTTCAGAGACGGTTCAAGCATCATTTCGAAATGAAACCGCTCTGCTTTTGACACAGAAGTGGGCTCCTCGCTGTTACGCCACCCGTCTCCAGAGCTGTCCCGTCTGATCTCGGCTCATGGCTCCCTCAGTAAGGGTGAGAGGAACTTCCAGTGGCCTGTCCTGGCTTTTGTCATCCAGCACCATGACCTGGAGGGCCTGGAGGTGGCTATGAGGCACGCTTTGCGGAAGTCTGCCTGCAGGGTTTTCGCCATGGAGGTATGCAATTCCATTTCCATTATTTAGAACTGTCTCTCTCTTCCAAAACTCAGATATTTTTTCTTTTGTTTGGTCATTTGAAGTTGATTGACTTTTTTTTTTTCTGATCTATAACAAATAGGCTTTTATTTTGATAAGACTTCTCTCATTTTTTAAAAATGTACCACGTTATATCCCCATCAGGCGTTCAACTGGCTGCTCTGCAATGTGATCCAGACCACCTCCCTGCACGACATCCTTTGGCATTTTGTAGCATCTCTCACCCCGTCCCCCTGTGAGCCTGAGGATGAGGAAGATGAGGAGAACAAGGGGAACAAAGAAGTTGTAGAGCAGGTAAGAATGATGTAGTTGCCCGCATTCTGACTTTATCGGGCTCCGTGGCATTCTGTAAACGCACACATGTCCACGCCACACAGGAAAGAGACCTGGGAGTCTGCGAGCACCCTCTGTCAGATATTGTGATCGCTGGAGAGGCAGCTCATCCTCTCCCCCACACCTTCCACCGCCTCCTCCAGACCATCTCTGACCTCATGATGTCACTTCCAAGTGGCAGTTCACTACAGCAGATGGCACTCAGGTATAGTTTACATACAAAAGTATGCCACTTTACAAGGGACGGTTTGCTTAATGTTTCTAGTTTACTGAAACATCCTTTAAATGTTTTGCTTGTGACTCGTTCTTGCAGGTGCTGGAGTCTCAAGTTTAAGCAGTCTGACCACCAGTTTCTCCACCAGAGCAACGTTTTCCATCACATTAACAACATCTTGTCCAAGTCTGATGATGGAGACAGTGAGGAGAGCTTTAACATCAGTGTGCAGTCGGGTTATGAAGCGATCAGCCAGGTAAAAGTTCAACCACCAGGCGTTAGCAGCTGCTTATTACTTCGAGAGCTAGTTGTGACTCAGATCTGTGTGCGCTTTATAGGATCTCTGCCTGGTCACCTGTTTGAAGGACCTGACCAGCGTAGTGGACATGAAGACGTCGAGTCGCCCCGCCATGATCGGCAGCCTGACAGATGGCTCCACCGAGACCTTCTGGGAGTCTGGAGACGAGGACAAGAACAAAACCAAGAGCATCACTATCAGCTGTGTGAAGGGCATAAACGCTACCAAGGCGTCAGTTCATGTGGACAACTCCAGGGACATTGGGGTAAGCATTTCAGCGGACCGCGGTGCTGATGATGATGCTAAAGTGGGACATGTCTAGACATGCGTTTGCTCTGTCACACCAACAGAACAAAGTCACAGCAGTCACATTCCTGTGTGGAAAAACAATAGAGGACCTTTGCAGAATCAAGCAGGTATGAAGAGTCTTTCTGGCTATAAGAAAAAGATTTCTGAAAAAAAGCTTGAAATAGACAGTGTGATGTTTTATTCAGACAAACTTGATGCATAGTTTATATGTACCATAATATTTTATAGCTCTATATGTTTAATGGTTCTTTTTCAGAGAAGCATATTAAAGCAAACGTCCACTTTTCCCCCCCTCGCAGGTTGACTTGGATTCGCGTCACATGGGCTGGGTGACCAGTGAGCTTCCTGGGGGAGACCATCATGTGATCAAGGTGGAACTGAAAGGACCTGAAAACACCCTGAGGGTGCGCCAGGTTAAGGTTCTCGGTTGGAAAGAGGGCGAGAGCATCAAGATACCCGGGCAGATCTCTGCCAGTATGGCCCAGCAGAAGAACTGTGAAGCTGAGACACTCAGAGTTTTCCGCCTCATAACCTCACAGGTCTGTCCTCTTGATTCAGTGTTTCTTGAACAACTGGATATTAATTTGCAGATTCATTTATTTGGGTTTCTTAAAAACTTCACACATACGTTTCACATTTAGGTATTTGGAAAGCTTATATGCGGAGATGCAGAGCCCACTCCAGAACAGGAGGAGAAAAACCTGCTTTCATCACCGGAAGGAGAGGACAAGGTGTCTACTCTCAGAATTTGACTGCCCCGTCTCATTCTCATGGTCAGTTATGTTAAACTTAATGCTAATTCTTTGCATTCTCTGTGAACAGGCGCCATCTGATGCAGACCTTAAAGAGCACATGGTTGGGATAATTTTCAGCAGGAGCAAACTCACCAACCTGCAGAAACAGGTAACCACTACTGTTTAGTCACTCAACATGGACCTCTGTAGTTAAAACGCTGCATTCAAACTCTGAATTCAAAATTCCAGGTGTGCGCACACATTGTCCAGGCCATCCGAATGGAAGCCACGCGCGTGCGGGAGGAGTGGGAACACGCCATCTCTAGCAAAGAGAACGCCAACTCTCAGCCCAGTGATGATGACGCCTCCTCTGATGCCTACTGCTTTGAGCTCCTCTCCATGGTCTTGGCTCTGAGTGGCTCCAATGTCGGCCGACAGTACTTAGCTCAGCAGCTCACTCTCATGCAGGACCTCTTTTCTCTGCTGCACACTGCTTCCCCGAGAGTACAGAGACAGGTGTGAGGAGAATTTCAACATAAATGCACGATTAGGAGATAAGAGTCATGCCTTTTAGTTTTTCCAGGAAGCTTTTGAGGCTTTCTTGTTCATTGAAAATACATGAAGTCTACATTACAGTAAGTCTGTAACTGTGCAACACTGTCATTAAGTGGTAGCAAACTGATTGTGTGTGTGCACTGTTGTCATGCTTATATAAATGGATCTTAGTTTAGGTCAGGTATACAATCAAAACCTGGCTGTTACAGGAAAGTGCCTAAACATGCTAAGCCAACCCGACATAATCATTGAGATGGACGTTAATCCGAAATTAAATGTTTTCTAGATGTTTTGCATGAAGTAGATTATATAGAATAGAGACTGAGCCTTAGAATGTTAATGTTTTTCTCTTAACATCATTGCGCAGGTGACTTCGCTGCTTAGACGCGTGCTGCCAGAGGTGACACCTGTGCGTCTCGCCAGCATCATCGGGGTGAAGGCTCTGCCTCCAGCAGATATCAGCGACATCATCCACTCCACGGAGAAGGGCGACTGGAACAAACTCTGCATCCTGGATATGTTCCTCGGCTGCATTGCCAAAGCCCTCACCGTCCAGCTGAAAGCCAAAGGCACCACGATCTCGGGCACAGCTGGCATGGCTGCAGGGAAAGGGGTCACAACTGTCACCCTGCCCATGATCTTCAACTCTAGGTTAGATAGTTTCAGTGGGATTCTCAATGTTATGTGCTTGAAATGCATTCTTACTCTGAAACAATGAAGTTTCCCTCTTTGTAATATGCATTTTTCCCCCCTCCTTTCTTTCTGCACAGCTACATCCGCAGAGGGGAGAGCCACTGGTGGATGAAAGGCTCTACTCCTCCACAGATTGCAGAGATCATCATAAAGCTGGTTAAAGACATGGCAGCTGTGAGTCCATGCTAAGCTCTGTTATTTTAAAAGTGCTGTTAACAAGACCGTTCAGGGATCAGAACGGCTAACCCTGCCATGCGCTGCCTTGTAGGGTCACCTTTCAGATGCATGGTCCAGAGTCACCAAAAATGCCATAGCTGAGACCATCATAGCCCTCACTAAAATGGAGGAGGAGCACCGATCTCCTGTGCGCTGTATTGCAACAACGAGGGTATGAAAAACGTGGCGTAATGATCAGCGTTTAGAAATAGTGTATTTGTGGGGGGGTCTGTATTCTTATACCTGTACTGTCCCCTCAGCTGTGGCTGGCTCTGGCATCGCTGTGCGTGCTGGACCAGGATCACGTGGACAGGCTGTCCTCCGGACGATGGATGGGCAAAGACGGACAGCAGAAGCAGATGGTGAGATATAGATCATTTGCTAAGAGGTGCCACTGTTTTGAAATGAATCTATACAGCGTGAAATACATAATTTGTTCCCACCTTTCCCGCCCACAGCCCATGTGTGACAACCACGATGATGGCGAGACAGCAGCCATCATACTTTGTAACGTGTGTGGAAACCTGTGCACCGACTGCGATCGCTTCCTCCATCTGCACCGACGCACACGCTCTCACCAGAGACAGGTTCGGTTTTAGGATTTTACCCTAACACGAGTAGTTCAAATAAGTTCAGCAAAAAGACTTTAATTGATCTTACACCTGTTTATTGTTTCAGGTGTTCAAAGAGGAAGAGGAGGCCATAAAGGTGGATCTCCATGAAGGCTGTGGGAGAACCAAGCTCTTCTGGCTCATGGCCCTGGCGGATTCCAAGACAATGAAGGCCATGGTGGAGTTTAGAGAGCACACAGGTAACGCAGCAAAGCTCTACTGGAGTTGCGCACCATTAAGTCGGCATTAGCTGACTTATGCTGTGATCGAACCCATGTTCTGACGAGCCAAACGTTATTTCCCAGGTAAACCAGCATCCAGCAGCTCCGACGCCTGCAGGTTCTGCGGTACAAGAAATGGGACGGAGCTCTCTGCAGTGGGGAGCGTCTGCTCGGACCCAGACTGCCAGGTACTGACACCCAGCGAGCTCATCAGCTCAAATCATATTGTGAATAACGGCTTCCTTCATTTTAAAAGAAGATACCAAACTAAAAAAATATTTCACAACTTTTTATTAGATATTAATAGACTTTTGTTCTGTGTGAACAAAGTTTATTATTTCTGTAATAATTTTAGGTATTCTAACCACAGATTTCCTTATCAGCCACTGTATTGTGATGTGAAATAATATGAAAATAATAAGAAGTAACATCCCCCTCACTTTTCATGTTATTCGTCTATTAGGAGTACGCTAAACTGGCCTGCAGTAAGACTCACCCCTGCGGACACCCCTGCGGAGGAGTCAGGAACGAGGAGGCCTGCCTGCCATGTCTGCATGGCTGCGATAAGAACACGGGCTGTTTGAAACAGGACGCGGACGACATGTGTATGATCTGCTTCACGGAAGCGCTCTCCGCTGCTCCCGCAGTACAGGTAGGCTCTCGTTGTAGTGCTCTGTTCTTCACCTCAGGGGTTTGAATCCGCTCTCCCTTGGTATCTAACTCTCGGATCTGTTTCCAGCTGGACTGCACACACGTGTTTCACCTTCAGTGCACTCGTCGCGTTCTCGAAAACCGTTGGCTCGGGCCCCGAATAACATTTGGGTTCATGTTGTGTCCTATTTGCAAGGTAGGATGCCACCCATGGATCCATACCACCCATTGGATATACTCCACATGGGGGGGGGTTACCAATTTAATTAACAATTATATTATTTTCTACAATTATTTCTTCTTACTTTGTCACCCAGTCAGCAGAAATATTTTTTACAAACATTTGCTTTTATTGTTTACAGAACAAAATCAATCACTCCGTGATCAAAGACCTGCTCGACCCCATTAAAGAGCTGTACGAGGACGTGAGGAGGAAGGCCCTGATGAGACTGGAGTACGAGGGTCTGCACAAGAGTGAGGCAATAACCACGCCGGGAGCACGCTTCCACAATGACCCCGCAGGCTTCGCTATGAACAGATACGCTTATTATGTCTGCTACAAGTGCAAGAAGGTACCGAACATGCCGCATTTCAATTTGTACTCCATGTGTCGTGCGTGGATGGAAAATGAACAATGTCGTTGTCGATAGGCGTATTTCGGGGGGGAGGCTCGCTGCGATGCAGAGGCGGGACAGGGCGATGACTACGACCCCAGCGAGCTGATCTGTGGAGCATGCTCAGATGTCTCTCGAGCTCAGGTGGGTAAATGATACCTGTGAGAATGTTCACACTTCTGAAGACATTCTCTTGTCAGACTGTTAGCCCATCCTTAACATCTGCTGTGTTCTACTGTCAGATGTGCTCCAAGCACGGCACGGACTTCCTGGAGTATAAATGCCGGTACTGCTGCTCTGTGGCCGTCTTCTTCTGCTTTGGCACCACACACTTCTGCAACGCCTGCCACGATGACTTTCAGAGGATGACCAGCGTCCCCAAAGAGGAGCTGCCTCACTGTCCTGCTGGTGATTGCTTTGCTCCTTTTGTCTCCATCTCCTTGTCTTTGATATCAGAGCTTATTTTTCAATTTTATAACATGAAAAATCTAAGTAGAAAACTGCCATTAAACCCATGTTACCCGAAAAATATTTATGTATGGTGACACATGGCCAGCAGCTAAAATACACTCATTTTTTTAATAACTGCAAGGGACCTCAAAAGTGGTTAACCAAGCTTGGCTTCAATCTGTCTTGGTGCTGATTTTGGTATAATTTCAGAATCATTGGTTGGTTAATTTTTCAAATGGAAAATATCTCACTTTCTGTTCAGTGTGTTCATTTTGATTGAGAGTGGGGCAGTTAGGTTGGGTAAAGCTCACTTGTTTGGATTATTTTAGTTTGTGTTTTTAAAGCACAAGGAAGGAGTCCTCATACCAAAGAAGCATCCAAGACACTGAAGGACACAATCATATGAATGCCTCCTTCAAGAATGTTGCCTTATATGGGCCAGATGGCCTGGAGCTTAAAGCTGCCCATTTTGTATCAGACCACAAGTTAAAGAGGCCAAAATATCTCGCTGGATGGTTCCTGATCTTTTGTGTTTTCAGTTTTACACAAGTTGGATACAACTTCACAATTCCATGTGCTGCTGTTGTAGTCTTTTATCCACAGCTTTCATGAACTACAAAAAAGCACATTTTCTAGCTACTTGGTTTCTTAAAAGTTGATAATACTATTAATTATTAATAATACTGTTTTTCTAAAAATCAATTTGAAAAAATGTACAGTATGTGACTCCTAAAGATTGAACTTTATTGAAATTCCACCTTCCACTATTTTCACCTTTTTCATACAAATTTTTTTAAAAAACTCTGAGATGAAGGGAATAATGCTATCCTCTCTGTCACAGGGCCCAAAGGTAAGCAGCTGGAAGGCACCGAGTGTCCACTGCACGTGGTCCACCCGCCAACGGGGGAGGAGTTCGCTCTGGGCTGTGGGGTGTGCAGGAACGCCCACACCTTCTAATCAGCAGGAGACTTTTAACAGAGAACCAGATTTGTCTACTGTGATTTCTGGATGCTGCTGCTTCTGCTGCTGAAGCTCAGCAGAAAAAAGAAAACTTGACTCTTGCATTGGTCAAGTCTCCTGGACACCAGACCAGGTTTCTGCTCTACTCCCAAGAGTCCTCAGGTCTGCTCCTTTTACCAACATCAGTATCCAGGCTCTGCAACAAGCACGGGCAGTAGCTCTTTCGGATTCAGAGCAACCTGAATAAGGAGGGATGGGGAGGGGGGAGGGGGGACAATTTTAAAATAAAGAGAAGAAGAAAACAAAAAATAAAATAACTTGTGACGTGTTTGCATGCGGCCGTAGTATTCCCTCGGCTTTTATAGACGTTGCACACCCCCCCAATCACTGAAGTGTAACAATACAAGATTAAATATGAAATAAATTTGCTTCAATGCAACTGTGGATGAGCGTGGGTTTAAAAGAAGAAGAAGAAGAAAAAAAAAAAGGAACGGGCCGTATTTCCAGCTTCCTAACTATGAATTTAAAAATATTGTTGTACGTATACTTTTTTTTTCGTAATCTTGTACAGTATTCTCCACTGTCAAGTGCATCATGGGTTGACGGACAAAAAAACAAAAACAAAACAAGAATTGGTGGATAAGACTGTTAAGAATATTACATTTGGGAGGAAATAGTGTACGATTTATCTAAACTTGTATATAATTATACTATTCAGAATAGCTGTATTCCGAAGTTGCTCTCTTCACTTCAGTTTTGTTTGATATTCTGGTTTATGTTTTAAGCCAGAGGTTTTAATGAAGTGCAATACTGGGTGTGCCTCCTATTTTGCAGCTGTCAAACCTATGGAATGTATGTCAAATAAAGCCACTGTACATTTTTATACAGTAGACAGTCGTAATTTTCCCTCTTTAAGTGTCAGTTGTCATCTGCTCTGTGTTGGAGGAGGATCCTCACATCTACAGTGAATAATGGTGGATGTATATCTTGTTTGCAGCTCTGATTAATTGAGAAAAACAGACAAACAAACACCAAAATCCCTGGAGAGATACAAAATAACCAAACAGAAATAAACCTCACTGTAAGATATGATACAGCTGAATGAATTTGGGGGCCAGTCTTCACACCAAATAAAGTTGTGCACCTGTTTTTGCTTTTTTCCTATTTGGAAGCAGAGAGGCCTGGTGTCAGGGAGGAGGGAAAGTCTTTGGGATGGGGGAAAGCAGCTGCTGTTAAATAAAAAGCTTACTACTTGTGAATCTGCTCTGTAATATCTGTGGTGGATGGAGTTGAATGGTAATAAACCAGATTCTCTGTTTCGCAAAGTATACACGGTGTCACCCGTTAATGAGTGGTAAAAGTACAATTTCAATCAATATACATTTA